TTTTTGTTTTTGATTTTGATTTTGTTTTTGTTTTTTGCTTTTTGATTTTGTTTTTGTTTTTGTTTTTGTTTTTGTTTTTGTTTTTGCTTTTAGCTTTTTGCTTTTTGTTTTTGTTGTTTTGTTTTCCAAGTCCCGCTCAAATGGCGCTGGGGAAACTACTCGGGTCTACGTGTGTCCTACATCCAGCGGGCTGCCATCTGGCGGAAACGTGTTTCGTAATTCCATGCCTCGCGATGTATGGTTGGGGCCACTTGGCCCCACGTGCACGTCCTCTCCGGAAGCGGTGCATGGGGCCGATGGGTGGTCATGACAGAAGTTCGCGTGGGGCTGTGCGAGATGCCGGTGCTGCACCCAGCCCTTCCCAGCCGCGCGGAGGGTCTGATGTCATGGTGTCGTTTCGTGGTGTTGGGTCAGCCGGCCCATGGAATCTCAAGCCTCGGGCAGTTTTCTCGAGCAGCAGTTCTCGGAGTTGTGGGAATGAAAAAGGATGCCGGGAAACGTCGCAAGGCGCCGGACAGACTGCAGGAGGACTCGGGCCCCGCCCGGTCACCTTGCCTTTCCGCTCCACTATCGCGTTCAGTCGCGCATGGTCATCAAGCAACTGGCAGGTCGAGTTTCCGTCAGGGCGATGCACCCTTTGCTTTCTCTGCATTCTGGCCCAAAAGTCTGTAAGCCCAAGTAAGAACGCAGGCACCGTGCCGAATCTGTAGCCCACGTCGCGAAGCCCGCCCGCGCCATCCGCTTGGCCGCCGTATCTTGCAAATAACTCTGGCACCCTAATTAACTTGTTGTGCTTCATCGGAGCACGCGCACACCGAATTCGTGGTGCTCGCATAGCACAACAATAGAACGATTTACCACTGCACGACAATAGAACGGTATACGCCGCCCCCCACATGCACATGGAGCTCTTGTATTGTTTTCTTGCGGAGATGCCATGAAATCTCCGCCGCACGCAAGACATCACACCACCACATCCACCACCACATCCACCACCACGTGCCAGACGTCCGGAGCGAAGGTCTTGACCTTTTCCAAGTGGGTGACAGTCCCCGCAAAGCAATCCTGCACTTCTTCAACAAGCGTTGTGAATTGGTCCTTGTGGACATTCTCGTGCACATGCACAATGGTGGGTTCTTTGGAGCCCGTGCTTGCAAACCGCGCGATCGGCCACGATGGTTTCAGGCTGGGAAGCAACCCGAGGTTCACATGACTAATTGCCGCAAGCTCCCAGGCAGCCAATCGCTGCGTCGCACACTCGTTGGACTCATGGAAAACAAAGGCCCTGTATCCTCGGGCTACGAAGTCGTTGATCTCGCCCTGGGTCACCACCTGGCCGCTTCTGAACACCTTGTACATATGCCCGTTTTTCTGTAGACCGCGCACCAAACCCTCGATGGACCAAGGATTGATTTCCCAGCAAAAAACCGTGGCGCCATTCGCTAGGTACGAGAGGGTGAAGTACCCGATTCCAGCGTACAAGTCAAGCACGGTCGTCCCCTCGAGGTGTCGGTAATTATCTAGTATTCTCTTCTTTTCTTTGATGTTTCCGCGGGAGAACATAGTGTATCTTGGAGCCCACGTCTGGTGGATGCCGTTTTGGAACACCGTGCACCAGAACGCCTTTTCGAGGTCGGGTGCAAACGGCTCCGCAAACAATTGGGGTGTGGGGTCCGGGCCAAAGTCTCCCCACAAAGGCACAATATTAAAGGGCCTTCGCATGGCGTCCTCCTCGATGATTGGCTTGTTGATTGCAAAATGTGTGACTGTCCCGGGAAGCGCTGTTTGCATGTATCGGAAAAACTCATTTTTGTTTATCAGAGTATCGAAAGTCTCGAGCCAGAGGTCCGAGTCGAATGACCCTGTGTTAAATAGCACCATGGGTGGGTACACAGACCATTTCCTGGGTGTCTTTTGAATGAGAGGTGGGATTTTGCTGTGGTCATCGTCGCTAAAATGCTCCCGAAGGTACCGTGTGACATGACCTGCGAAGGAGTCATCTTGCATCGGCATTGGCCGTTTCACAACCAGAACCGTGATATCACCCGCATGCGTTTTGAGTAGTTCGGCAGTCTCTTCAACAGACCCACGAGAAAGGATGCTGAACCTTGTGCCATCTTTTTTTATTTTTTGAGACTTATCTAGTAAGTTGTTAGCTTGGAGAATGCTCTTCAATGACTTGACGATTTGTGCGTTCTCGGTGGTAATTTCAGCAGCCATTGCGCAAGAAGAAATTGGACTGTTCCAAACTTTTTATACCAATGTACCTGAAGGGCTGAATGCCTTGAGCGTGCTCCTTGTGCTTAAGTTGGTCAATTCCGGTGATCATCGATATTTAGTTGATCATCGCGCAGCGCGCTCTGGAGATTGGAACTATGGAAGCATCACAGTAGGTAAATGAGCGAAACGTATTGCATACATTTTCCTGTTGAAAACCCCAACAATTAGATCAGACTCAGTGGTGGCGATAGATATTTGAATATCGTAGAAACCAAGAGCATACACAGCTCTCCTATTTACGAAAAAGAATTTATGATACAACAACACCGTATACGGCCCTGACATAAAATACCATGAATGCGCGGATCAGCAAGATTATCAGAAACAAGAAAACTCGGTTCAAATGATTCCAATGTTAAAATAACACAAAGAGGACGAAAACATTCACATAGCAAAAGAGTGGCTTGCAAGGTATGCTGGGGATAAGCAACAACGTGGTTAAAACTGTGCGTACCTTATTTTGTCGAACCGTCTCCGCGTCAGGTAATACCAATTATGGACCACTCGCAGTGCGTTGAGCCTGCAAAGGCGCATTGTTGTCAAATTTAACCAAGATCCATTAATTCACACTTCTGGCTTCCTCGAGAAGCCTCCAAGGAAACTTATGTCTGTATTTGTACGTACACGTTGTTGATATATAAGTACGTACGAATAAAAATCTGAGTCTACTTGAAAAAGAGGCCGGCACATGGAAATTAATCTTCTCTCGGAACACCCGACACGGTTGCTTGAGCTGCGGGGAAACAGTAGGTACTGCCATTCCAAAGCCGAGCTAACAAATTTACGAAGCCACGACGCACACAGAAAAAGACGGGAAAACTCACACCACTGATTCCGTTGACTTCCAGGGGCTTGGCCATAGTGCAAAGGTTGGCCCCAGGCGCCGCGTGCTCAGGCGCGATAACAATAGACGGATACCACCTGCCAATGCCGGCACATGCAAATACCAAATGGAGGCCCGATTCCCTCGATCCGTTCCGTGGATTAAAACCCCGGGCGTATTTTTCCAATGTTAGAAACGGCCCGGAATCACTATGTTGCCGGCACCCACCAGCACGTCCCGCTTGCAGCTGGTGCTTGGCCGGGCCTCTTGTTTCAATTTTAATGTACTAGACAACTCGCGCCTCACAGCTCGCGCGCGCTCCCCCGGCATCGTTCCTTCATGTGCTGGCTGCCCCATAAACCCCTCGACATTTTCCGTAGAGCTTTTTTGTTTTTTGTTACCCGTGGCATCTGCATCGTTGACTCCCCTGGCCTTTTCTGATATCGCTCAAAGGCCCCATAACAGGCGATTGCACAGCTGTTTGGATTTCCTGCTGGCACCGATCCATCTCAGTCTCTCGGCCTCGAAATCTCGACAATAACATTGACTCTGTTGGACATCAAGCATAGTTCTCGTAATAGCAGCCACATATCGTTTGCCTGCCACTTACCCGCCCAATTGCAACTCTGGAACCACTCCAATTGTCAAGATTGATTCAAAAATGTCGGAGCCTCAGCCGCAACCCACCATCCCTTCCACATCCCCACATATCCCTCAGCCCACCGACAGCCCCCCGCCAAACCCGAACTCGGAGTCTCTGTCTCGCTCGGAAATCAGCCCTGCGAGCGCTACCGCGGGCGGCAGAATCATACTGAAGAATGTCTTGTATGTGGGTGGCTTGAGCAAGTCTGTTTCGGAAGACATTTTACAGGAGTTGATGGGCACCAATGATGCAATCACTTCGATCAAACTCTTGAACGACAAGAACAGGCCTGGGTTGAATTACGCATTCATCGAATTCCGGTCGGACGAGCAGGCACGTGCTGCGTTGGAGGCCTACAACGGCCAACCGCTCCACGACTCCATGCTCAAGATTAATTTCGCCTACCAATCGTCAACATTCACCACTTCCCAAAACACCGACGAGCAGTTGTTCAACATTTTCGTGGGCGACTTGTCCCCTGAGGTTGACGATGAGGCCTTGTACAAGTTCTTCTCGCACTTCCAGTCCTTGAAACAAGCACACGTGATGTGGGACATGCAAACCTCCCGGTCCCGGGGTTATGGCTTTGCCACATTCCGTGACTCTGCAGACGCAGATCTGGCGTTGCAATCGATGAATGGCAAACTGCTTCTTGGTCGTGCCATTCGCTGTAATTGGGCTTCTCACAAACAGGCCCCCGGGCCGAGACAGAATGCTGCACGCACTCAAAATCAGAGACCGTATCGAAATCAGTATCCAAGATACCAGAGCGGCGCGAGCCCAAGCCTTCCCAGCAACCAGGGTTTCGTCATGGAGCCGTCCCCGTTTCCGCTTCCAATGTCACTTCCCGGCCAGGATCTCCAGCAACAAACTTTCGTGCAAGGCGCAGGTCCTCTGATGAACCCTCAGCCATATGACGTGGTTGTTAGGCAAACACCGTCATGGCAAACCACAGTGTACTTGGGCAATGTGGCCCACTTCACGCAACAGAACGATCTTATTCCAATCTTGCAGAACTTTGGATACATCATCGACTTTAAATTTCATCCAGAGAAAGGATGCGCTTTCGTCAAGTATGACAGCCACGAAAGAGCGGCCCTGGCCATCTCCCAACTAGCCGGATTTAACGTCAACGGAAGACCCTTAAAATGCGGCTGGGGAAAAGCCCGTGCTCCCCCCACCAACCCGTATCAAACTTATAATGCAGTCGTTGCCCCAATGTATGGTGGAGGACAGTAGTGTGGCCTGTTTACGGTGAGCTAGTCTTACCAGAATGAGATTGCGAGCCCCAAACCGTTCGCTCTCGCAAAGGATATTCATCAGCTCTGTCGGTCTTGATGTGGTGCGGTGAAACAGGTATAATAGCAGGAGAAACACCATATATAAACAGTCATTCTGTAAGAATTGATAAGAAAAATAAAGGACGCGACGTATTTTATCTCAATACTTTCTATGCGTCTTACTTTGATGCTCCCCGCTTTTTCCCAGCAATAGAGAGCGCACCCTCACTCGGATGGACATGAGCAGCGATTGAAAAAAAAAGGACCCGAGAATACATCTTCTCAGAGCCAACATCATCGCTGTTTCTGGAACTAAAGTTCTTACGCACACGAGATACATTTTGTTCTCAGTGACTTCACTGCAAAGCTCAAACAAAGTCTGAGATATTATTCTTTAGACTTAAGATCACGCTTTCGTGAAAGATACTCAAACAATAAGGTATTGAGAAAATCCGCTTCTTCCACATACGCTGACGAGAGAAAGAATACTCTTCTGCTCTAAATCGTATTATTCCCGTTTGGAAAGTTATCCACCATAGTCTCCGGAACCTCGCTGCATGTACTTCCTTTTGTTGACCTTGGTGATTCTACTGATTTTATATATTTGCATCTTCGCCAGCATTCCATACACGTTGCTTGACTCTCTATTTAGCTCCGACAGGTTGACGTTCGCCAAAGCGCTCTCAAGCAACCACAAGTATCTTGGATTCGGCACTGCCCTTCTCGTTGTTGTCATCAGTGCCATTTCATTCCAACCCAACAAATTATCGCTGCTCTCAAAACGATTACTCTCGCTAATGGCCGACTACAAACCAACATTGATGAACCGCAAATGGCTTCCTGGTCTGGCTCGACAACAGAGATCGACCAGAGAATCACGGCTTGCTTATAAAACCGGCGGCGAAATAGGTGGTTTAAGCAATGAAGGAAACACCTGTTTCATGAACTCTGTGCTCCAGTCCTTGGCTTCGTCGAGATCCCTCCTTAAATTCTTCGGCGATAACATTTACGACGATAGAAAGGTGCATGCTGACGGTGAAGTCACAAAGATGAGAACTGGCAATTTGAGCTCGCACATGAAATTCACGGCAGCACTCAAATGTTTACTTGATGATCTTAATGGCGCTTATGGTTCTCGCGGCAAGGAGTTTAGCACGCGTATGCTCTTGAAAAGAATGCCCGACGGGCCCAAGCAAAACTTTTTTCTGGGGTATAATCAAGAGGATGCCCAAGAATTCTACCAGCTGGTGATGCGCATTGTGGAGAAGGAATACAAAAATACCTCCCTGAGTCAGCCTTCCTCACCGGGGCCCGAAACCAAAGATGATGTTTCAAAGTTTGTTCGCTCTGCAGACATCCCAAATCATATATCTGGCTGTGAGCGTCTCGGTGAATTGGGACCAGTGTACGTTCCTGCCCATCAAATTGACCCAAACGTGCCCAACAGTGAGGACCGCCTAGCCCCATTGGAATTGGTCACGCCTGTCGATGGTGTCACCGCCGAAAGGATTGGATGCATAACATGTGGTGAAATTGGCGGAATCAGGTACTCTGTCAATAGTGGATTGAGTTTGAACTTGCCTTACGACAGATCATACGGTACACACTATGAGCTTATCCAATTATTGAACGAGTGGAAGAAGCCAGAACTCATCGATGATGTTAACTGTAATAGGTGCGGCTTGATTCAGACAAGAGAGTTTTTACAGGAAAGCATCGAGACATCGAATAACGAAAAATTGACTTCCCACTTCTCAAAGCGCATAGACGAGATCAATCAAGAGCTCGAAAAAGACTACATCTCAGACGAAGTCTTCGAGAAATTGACCACGAAGCAGATGATTCGGAAAACGACCAAGTCAAAACAAATTTTGATGAGCAGACCTCCCCCGTTGCTTTGCATACACATCAACAGATCCGTTATAGACCCCAACACCTTCATGATAATGAAAAATGGAAAGAGTGTGTCGTTTCCGGCCGTTTTAGACTTGAACAACTACGTCGCAGACCCAAGCTCGATCAATATGGACGCAAGACTACCCTTCAGCAAACGGGATCAATTCAAGACTGAAGCGGCAAATGATGTGGCAAATGACGAGGCCTTCACATCACTCGACGATGGGGAGCTCAACAACGAGGCATCAAGCGATTTGAATGTGGCCGACTCGCCTGCGGAGACATACCAGTCTCCTCCAATAGAAAACGAAGACTTGAAATATCGTCTCAAGGCAGTGATTTCACACATGGGCACCCACAATTATGGCCACTATATTTGTTACAGACGTTGGCGTGGTATCTGGTGGAAAGCTAATGATGAGGCCATTTACACAACCACCGAAGCGGAGGTACTTTCGTCTCCGGGCACGTTTATGCTATTTTATGAGTTGAAAGATTCTGCCGATGAAGACCAAAAAGAGTTTATGGATGAAGAGGCGGATGAAAAGAATGACTCCGCTACTCTGAACAACGCAAGCCCTGATGTTTTCTCTCTGCTGAGCCTGGAGAATGAAGAAGAAGAAGATCTGAGAGATTGCACCAATTCCAACCCCTCTATTTGGGGAGATCACCGAAGTGATTCTGAGGAGGAGCGCAGAGAGTTGTTTCCTGATTCGGAGTTTAATCCAGGTGAAGAGCGTGCCTATCAGTTCTAATGCTGAATAATCAATGGATTATACAAGTGTGAAATCGAGATACTCCAACCTATCTTCATATTCGAATAGTCCTCTGCAAGTATTTCGTTAGTTGCGTAACATGAACTGACGAGAAACCAAGACATAGGACTTCAGTAGTAGCTTTAGTACATATGCAAGTAAATAGAAAACACCATGCTATTCAGAATTGTTACCATTTACCTTTAGCTCGTGGGAATTCCGGAATTATCACTCCAGAAACATTCGAGCTAATGCGCTTGTGTATAAGCCCGTGTGCTAGGATCAGAGCACGCGATGCTCATCTCGAGTAACGCACTGGCGCATCAAACGAAAAGAGCAAAAATGGGCAGAAAACTCAAAGGCAGGCAATTTCAAGCAAAAGGCTTGAAAGGTGCTCTCCAAGTACACATTGCGCAGGAGAAAGTGAAACAAGATACGCAAAGGGCTCTCGAAGCACAAAGCCAAACGCAAAAAGATAAAGCGAAGTCTGTCAAAAGTGGAGGAGCAAAAAAGAGACAACCGGTACACGTCGTTCAAAAGAAAGCTTTCATTCCTTTCAGTCCAAATGAAACTTTACTCTTAGTGGGTGAAGGTGATTTTTCCTTTGCCTGTGCACTTGTGCGGCAGGATCTCATTCTGCCTGAAAACTTGATTGCAACAGGTTTTGATTCAGAAACTGAGATGCAGACAAAATACCCTGAAGCTATGGAAAACGTGAAATTTTTGAAGGAAAGTGGAGTTTCTGTTCTTCATGAAGTTGATGCAACGAACCTCATGCAATCCTTAAAGTTGAAGTCGCTGGGCAAAAACCAAAGAGTAAGAATCTTTGAGAATGGAAAGAGACTCAATTATGTGATGTTCAACTTTCCACATAATGGCCGGGGAATAAAAGATGTGGACAGAAACATACGAGAGCACCAGAAACTTGTTCTTGGATATTTCAAAAGTTGTATTGCCTTATTTGATGTCGTCAACAAACGCTCCAATTCCGCGGCCTCGGGGTACCTATCCGAAGAAGATAGTACAGCCGAAAAAATCGTCATGTCATTGTTTGAAGGAGAGCCTTACATCTCTTGGGGTGTGAAGGCATTATCTCGCAGTGTAGGATATCGTGTTGAGAGATCGGGGGCATTTGATTGGCCTTTTTTTGCAGGCTATCACCATAGACGTACCAACAGCATGAAGGATACTACGAAGCCCGCATCCGAGCGTGATGCGCGTATATACTTGTTTGACAAAGCTCTTTCAAAAGAAGAGTTTGAAAAGTTAACAGGCAAAAAAAGTAAGAAGAGAGATGATGATAGTGACGAAGACTAAAGCGGTTCTTTCCATAAAGAAGCACATTTATTATGCCGGGAAAACCCGCACACAGTCATCGATGAAGAAAATCTCATGTGTCAAAGGATCCCGAACTTTCCCATTGCGAACAAGATTGTCTCTCTCGAACTTACCTTCGGGATTGAGCAATTTGTCAAATGGGTAGATGTTTCCATTCGGGAGTTTGAATGGGTTGTTATATATACTGGTGATGAGTTGGGCGTAAGGTAGGGTCTGACTCAAAGAGTAAAGTTCTGGAGAACACACGGGACACTGATTGATTTTCTGGAGGAGCTTGTAATACTGGTTTGGACCGCGTAACGACAAGTCACGCAAAGAGCTGGAGTCTAAATTGTCCAAGACACCATCACATTTACCGGCCTCAAAAATTGTATTTTGCCGATTGCAAAAACAAGATTTTGTTTTCAAGCTGGAGAGCCCCGCAGAGAGATAGACAAACAATGGGTATGTTTGTGGGATACCATATACTTTAGTGTAGTCTTTTGTAAAACACTCCGATAATCCTTGCCAGTATTCTTCGGTCAGAATGCGGTTATAATGGTTTAATTCACCAGGCTGCGCGACCACCAGTTGTGATAGAAGCGAGGCAATAAGGGATCCAGGTGGCGGGGAGAGGTTCTGAAGGGTTTCCGCTGACATGCTTAAGCTGGAGATACATACTAGCAGGGACCCGAGTCTGGTGAGCCTGTCACGATTCTTCACAAAAATTTCATCTTCGTTGTGTCCATAATTCTCTCTTCTAGCATATGGCGCTAGATACTTTTTGCTATATGCCGTTGCTTGGAATGGGTCGCCACTCTCGATCAAAGATAAATACTTGCAGTAGTGGATTTCGAAGAGTAAGTTTGAGCCAACCTTTTTGAGTGCTGTTCGGTTGTCATTGTACCATGTGGAAATAGCCTCGAGGTCATGGTCTTCACGTATAGACCTGTGGACTCGGTTATAGCTGGAATAGACATCGTGATCAATGAGCTTTGAGAAAGAAAGACGTGAGCGCAGCTCTAATTTCTCCAAGACCTCGAGGCCAAAATTGACATCTTTCTTCACGTTCGACTTCAATAAGTAGTCTACAATGAGTAGGTTAGTTTCGTCACGGTACCAGCTGATGAGGCTCTCATTATGCAAATCAAGGACTTCTTCTGATTCGGTATTGCTTGCACCATCGCTACTTTCAGAACCTCCACGTGCTCTCACCGTGTAATTCTTGAGCTCACTCAACCGCTCAGCTCGATAAGCCAACCGCAGTCTATAATCCTGGTCTTTTTGAACAGCCATAGCGAGTTTCTTGTGATGATGGTCGTAAACCTTGATAAGACGTTTTACTGACGCAAGTTTCTCGGCGGCAGTGAGCAGGGAGCATTTCTTAATTCTGGAGATTTCCTCCGTGACCAGTTTCTTAGATTTTTCGATCTGTTTCTGAATGATTTTGATGTTTTTCTTGATCAACTCGCTAGGCACGACAAACTGCACGCGGTGGGTTTGAACGGCAAAACTTAGTGTAGGCTCGCTCATTGCTCGACTCAAGTTTAAACCAGGCCCGATTTGTATAGCATGAAAGTAGGTATGAAATTCCCTATAGTGTTAGATGGCATGCAGGCCCGAGGGGTCAGGAATCTGGGGTCTCCCCATGTTGAGTTTGGGGAACAGCGAAATAGTGCGCGCGCAACACTTTTAAAGAGTGGCAAAATGGCGCAATTTAATGTATCGAAGATTTGATTTCCTGGTTCGAGATATAATTCGACTAAGTGTTAATATCTTCAAGTGAGAAGCTGGGCGCATAGTTGCACCTATCATGCATGTATCATCAACGGGTGTAAAATTTGCGTCACTTCTGTAAATATAGATTTTGAGCTACTGAATTTCAAGTTGCTAACTGGTACAGCTGCATCTACCAGCTAGACATATAACCTTTCGTGTCAAACAAAGTATCTTTTTTTCTAAAAAGGAGAAGACTGTAAAGTGTGGGGGGCTGTTCCGACAGAGTGCATTCACAATCAGTATCTAATTAATACATTCGTGATCGCCACTCCTCATGTCATCTCTTCCTCGATTCGAAACACATCTCTATTCCCAAGATTTTGCGCCTGCACCAGAGTCATTTCAATAGGTTCTGTATCGTTGAGCCTTCCGTACGTGTTTTGGCCCCTCCCAAACAATCTTGCTATTTTCGCCTTGGCAGAGCCGTACTTTGAGGCAAGCCTCTCCCGTAATAGCAGGCGACCACTTTTGCCAATCAAGAAATAGAGCGCGAGGAATATAAGCAAAATAAAAATGAACAGCCCATAGATTCGATGCGGTTGAACGGTCCACTTCAGCTCATGAGGTTCTTTGTTATAGGTCTCATAGTCATACTGAGGATATTTGGCGTCAGCTGGAGCTTCGGAATACATAGGGCGTTTCGACACGTGCTCAGCTTCCGCACCATAGATAAATGTCCCTTCAGCCGCCGTGAAAACGTATCCGGGCCTGGGTAATTCGACAGCCAGGGAGTCCAAGCGCTTAGAGTAATTGTTGAATGCCTGTGTGTACTCATCATTGGCGTATAGAATCGCTCTTCCTAGTGTCCACGAAAACGAAGACCCACCCAACTTGTCCATTAGTTGCAAAGATTTGAATTTGTCATTTTTATTGGGGATTTCATTGATACCAAACCGAGGAAAACCTAATCCAACATGTAAGAAATTTAAAATCCAAGATGCTTTGAAGCAAAGCTCAGCCAAGTCCTCTTCCTTGATTTTGGCCTTGGGATCTCTTATACTATTCATTTCCAAGAGGTCAGTCAAAGGGCTGTAGCAAATTTGCTGGGTTTTCTTGTATATGACACTATAGTCATACTTTTCAGTCTGCGAATCCTCATTCAGGAGACTTTGCGATGTAAGCAAGCTGTTGACAATATCCCAATACCCACTCACACCTATGAAGTGATTGATATCAAAGTCAAAAGAGGGTATCATATCACTTAGTAAGCAGGAGCTCACTTTGCTTTCTTCCCCTAACTGCTGGCAATTCCCACTATATTTCGACTTGCCCAGTGTATAGGTGTTATTAGCGAGAACAGGAAAAATGGAATTCATGCACTCCTGAAAGTCACTTCTTCCCGTGAAGTCGATGTAGTGGTCATCTATTAGGCCAGTGAAAGTATATCCTTTAGGCAAGCACGGATCCGATATTGGGGTACGGAACCGATATGCATCTTCTGGGAAATCATTCTCCTTTCTGAAGTCCTCAAGAAGAAGTTTGAGGTACCTGTGATGCGCTTGGAACATTCCAAATCCCAAAAATGAATCCGAGTACACGCTTGACTCTGTCAATTCTGGAGGAGCATATTGATTATTCGATATGGCGTCAACTGGCTCAGTGACGTTTTGGAGCTGCGGAAGGGTGTAAAGAGAGACTTTATACAAATTGTTGTTGTGTTCTTCAATTTCCGTCTTGTTGGGTTGAAACACGACTTGCGTCGATGCTCCGCCCATGTCCAAGAGACCATACGTGGTATGATCTTTGCCATGCTGGTGCTCCTCGGGCCAATCGAAAGATCCCACTAATGAGTTGATAGAAAGCCATCCATATAGCCCTTCTATGTTTCCATCTACAATATTCACGTGAGATTTGCAGTCTGGCATGAAAAAGTCCGAGCTCTGGATCAAGTACTGACATACATTCTCTAGGATTGGCTCCTGCTCGTTGGGTGGAAGTAGGCGCATCCCCGCTGTGGCATGAACAAAAATGGGCGTTCGATAATGCTCGGATTTGGGTACCACCGACCCGGCAAGATTGAGCAAATAATTGAGGTGATGTTTGCCCACCTTCTGGGGACTCTGGTTGAATGATGAAAGCCCCGGTTTGATGGACCGGTGCCATTTCTTGCCTTTGTGCACAAAGGGAAAGCGAACAGTCTTACGCTTATTGTCGTTTTCTCTTTCTGTGTCTGATTCGGAGTCAGAGTCTTCATCTGTTAGGAGCCTGCTCCGCTCACCCTCATCTGCAAAGAGTCTTCGGACTAAATTCACTCTGGCTGCACCACCGATATTCGTTCCAGCATTTAGAGCATGGTGGGGATTTAGCCAATTATACACGTGTACACGTGATCCATGTGATCCGGCGTCAATCACGACGATATAGTCATAAGGAATACCTTCCGGAGAAAGTATTGGGCCAGGGCTGATTTTCCGATGGGCCTTGGACTTGCGTTTCAGTTTCGGTGACATATCCAGCATTGCGGATATATTTCCAAGTACCTGCGAATGTGATTGTCTTGCCCTTTTCCTCGTGTGATGTCCTCTCGCAGATCAGAAGAATGGGTGCCTGTAGATTACCCTGTCTTATTCACATACAGTTCCTGAGGCCCTTAATCCTGGCGTGTCCTAGAACGTGTCTGGCGCGATAGACACGTGACGCTGTCAACGCGGCATTTCCCTGCAGTCTAATTCGCCTGGAGATAAGACCAGAGTGGTTTATTCCACTCATCGTTCCACATCAGTTCGTGACGAAAAAATGCCGGAATATCAAATCATTGGGTATGTCATTACCTCCAGCTGATTCGGTGACAGTCTGATATCAAGCTTTTTGGATCCTTGCTTGAAACATCCAGCTGAAGCTACCACCACTCATGACTCATTTCGAACCTAAATTGTACTAACTGCACAGGGCCGGAATCATTGGTCTTTACACTGCATTCCAGCTTTTGGACAGGGGAATTGATGCCAAGCAAATCAGTATCACTGCCGAATTTCTTCCTGGAGATGAGTCCATCAGATATACATCTCCCTACGCTGGAGGTAATTTTTCATGCATTACAGGCAATGATCCAGACACGTTGGCATTTGACGAGTATACCTACAAAAACTTGAAGAGAATTCAGCAAGTTTTGGGCGGGCCTCAGTGTGGTTTGGCAGAAACGGTGTCTACGGACTACTGGGACACGCGGCCAGCAGATGTTAAAATCAGCTCGTTGAGAAGCTACCTCGTCAATTATAAAGAGGTACCCGTGGCAGACTTGCCCGCGGGAGTCCTGTTTGGTATTCGATTCCAGTCATGGAGCTTCAATTGCCCCAAATTTTTGTTCAGCGTGTATGAATACTTGACAAAACAAGGCGTGTCTTTTCAGAAGCAAAAGTTGCAGCACGTTTCCGAGGCATTTGGTGCAACCACTCGTGTGGTCTTCAATTGCACTGGGCTCGGGGCCAAGGATCTTGGTGGTGTAGACGATTCGGCAGTTTATCCCACCAGAGGCCAAGTCTTGGTGGTAAAGGCGCCACATATCACCGAAAACGTGATGAGGTGGGGTGATGACTATGCTACCTACATCATCAAAAGACCTTCTTCCCACGACCAGTTAATTTTGGGCGGCTTCATGCAGAAGGATGACTGGACGGCAGATACCTTCAGGCTGCAAAACATGGACATCTTGAAGCGGACAACTGCTTTGTACCCTGAGATTCTTGAGAAAAACCCTGGCGGCCCCCATATTGAGGACCTCGAGATTCTTCGTTCGGCTGCTGGTCTTCGGCCCAGCAGACATGGCGGTGTCAGAATTGAAAGGCAAACCTTGGACAACGGCCGCAAGTTGGTCCACAACTATGGAGCTAGTGGATATGGATACCAAGCCGGCTTTGGCATGGCCAAAAAGGCTGTTGACTTGGCTCTCCAGCATCCTTCCAAATTGTGATCTTCAAATTTAGATCGCATTAAATAGCGGGGTTCAACCCTCTCTGTAAGAATGTCACCCTCCCATAATAAAACGAACACTAGTTGCTGCTATCAATCATGAGCCCTTTCTCTTCCTCTGCTTCGACATCAACGCCATAGTCTCCTAGCGCTTCGCCCCAATCATTGAACCACATATTCCGGGACATGTTGCTCCGATGGTCCAAGAGTTTCTTTATGACGGCAACATTCCCTATTTTTCGCAACTCTTCATCCGAAAGTTTCCTGCCTGTGAACTCAACATTGCCTCCATCTGGTGGCCATGGGAGGTTCAACTGGTCGTCGTCGTCGTTTTGCTTAAATTTCACGCCATCACCCAATGCATTGCCCCACGGAAGAACCCAGGTCCATGGCTGTCCAAGGGCGTTTTTCAAATTCTGATATATCCCTAAGTCATAAGGAAAGATCAAGTCGTCTGGCGCGAAATTCTGCGGGACAATGGGCTCATCTACTTCATTGTGGATGTCTCTTAATTCCAAGGAGTCATACATTGCCGCAGTGGGATTCCACGATGAAAGCGTGGGCATCTCCTTGTTGTGAACCATTTTGAAATTGTTTCTTATTTTCAACCAAAGTCTTTCGGTGTGGAATTGAGACTCAATGCGCTCAGACTCCCAGACCTCGATCTGCGTTTTTCCGCTTGCAAGATGGAGGATGCATTTGATGAACAAAACAAAGACGGCGAAAAACACAAATGCGTCTAGTGGTACTAACAAAATCACCGCCGTGAGCTCCGATTTCCTGATCAAGTATGCGGGCAAGTGCATGTCATTCCAGAAACCCACTGCACGTTTGAGAAGCTCCCATAGAGTTAGCCCTGTGGCGAATATCACCCACACCAAGAATCTGATGAAATGCGGTGTATTCCCATTTCCCACGCAGTTGTTTGTCCAGGGGCAATGATGGTCCATTTGAAGCACACAAACATTGCATTTTCTGCAATGGTGTGCTCTTTCTGGTTTGAAATTGTTGCATTTATTGCACCATCTCTTCCAGCGAGAGGGTGGTGGAACGTACGATTTCGGGCCAGTACCAGGACGCTTCCAGATAGCCAAAATATAGGATACCCATACCATGGTCACGTACACTTGGTAACAAATCTGGGCTCTTTTGCTCATGTGATTCGAGAATATGAAGAAATGGGATCCATACCCTATAGTGGCAATCAACGCACAAGGAATCTGTTGAAAATGTTAGTTTTGGGTTCGGGGAGAAGGTAGCTCTATGACGTGTACAATAAAGCAGAGTTAACATACAATTATGCCGAGCATCGGCCAGCGAAATTCCCACATTGCTTGATTTGGCTAATCACGTAGATTACAAATATTGGACGAGAGCTCAGCAGGACGCGCGTTGGGCATTTTATTCCAAGCAGGAGGCTGACTTCCGAGCCAGACAATCTGATTGATCCAGATTCCCTGTTCTCTAACGCGATCTTTGTACTTTTCTCATCTGTCCCATGTAATTTAAATTTATGGCTGATTCACTTTCTTTGCGCTCCAGGTTTCTTTCTCTTCGTACCGCATCATCAACGCTCGATTGGGAACATGACTTGCAAGCACCACAGGTATAGATCTTGTGCCAGGAAAGTCGAAGAATATCAACAATGTAATTAATAGTTTGCGTGGAAGCATTTTGCTCATATTTCCCTCTGAAGCACATACCTCTAAATTTCACATGAACTCGCAGAGCCGATGACCTCACGACTCTTTGATCATCCAGGCTTACTTCTCTTGATTCCATCGAATCACAACTTCGATATGCTTTGATTCTGATCTTTATTGAATTTTTTGTCAAATTTATGGTCTTTTGTCACCCAAAATGAAAAACCTAGCAGCTTGTGGAACAAACGCGTCACGTGACCAGTCTCACCGAAGTGGCGATTTGGTGGCCGTGTGTCCAAGAGCCCTACACCAGCCTTATACTTCAACAATGGTATGCCGCCCGCCAAACATGTGAATTATCCCCTCAAAACTTACTAACCTTCTCAGACTTCTATCGGAACGGGCTACGACTTGTCTAATAGTGTTTTTTCGCCAGGTATGTTCCACCCCACGCTTCTCGTTCGCCTTTCATTGGCCACATACTAACATTCTAGATGGCAGAAACTTCCAAGTGGAATACGCCATGAAAGCAGTGGAAAATGGAGGCACATCTATTGGCATCAAGGCCAAAGACGGCATTGTGCTTGCTGTAGAAAAAATTGTCAACTCCAAATTGTTAGTCCCTGGTAGAAACAAAAGAATCCAAACTATCGACAGACACATTGGCGTTGCATACTCAGGCTTATTGCCTGATGGGCGCCATTTCGTCAATCGTGGCCGTGATGAGGCCCAATCCTACTCTAGCATCTACAAGACCCCTGTGGGCGTCCCTGCTTTGATGGACAGGTTGGGGCTCTACGTACAAAACTACACTTGTTACAATTCTGTGCGCCCGTTCGGAATAGTGTCGATAGTCGGAGGCGTCGATGAAAACGGGCCCCATTTGTACATGGTGGAGCCAAGTGGAGCTTTCTGGGGCTACTCTGGAGCAGCTTCTGGAAAAGGTAGGCAAACGGCCAAGCCCGAGTTGGAGAAGTTGGATTTTGAGCTGTTGACAGTGAGGGAAGCTGTTAAACATGCAGCCAGAATAATTCACCAAGCACACGAGGATAATAAGGATAAGGACTACGAGTTGGAGATCTCCTGGTGTTCGTTGGAAGAAACGGGGGGACAGCATCAGTTTGTGCCGGAGGACTTGTTGCAAGAAGCTATCAAGCTCGCTCAAGAAGAAGACGACGAAGAAGATGAAGAAGAAGATGAAGAAGATACCGAGATGGCCAGTTAGAAACACTAGTTGCCTGGGTGCGGTGTAGATCACAAATAAACGACAGATAAAACGAGTCATAGCTGGTGAGATTAGTGTATGTAAATTTTATTTGCAATGCTTCGTAATTCATGCTGTATGCCAAAAATGCAGAACGATGCTGCATAGCATGGGTCCGTGTTCTTCAAATGATATAAGGTGTGACGCGGTGACCTCCGAGATCTACCAGGACTACCGCAGAAATGCTTAATTTTTTTTTTTTTTTTCAATCAGTCTGTTGCTGAAAACTTAATGAATATTTCGTGGAATAGATGACTCCTGTGTAATCCATAAGAAAATCGTCTTTCCAGGGGCATTCTTCCACCAACACTTCCACAGGTCGCACCTCACATATATGTATACCCTTTTTGGAAAATCATCTACACGAGGCTCGCTGCTCAGCCAAACAATAACCCAAGGCGAACACCAGAATTTCAATCACTACTCCAAACTTCCACCGACACCTCACGATCAATTCGTGCGAGGAGCCCGCTCACTTTATTCTGAATTTATCAAGAATATTCTCACCACGCTAACTATTTTAATTAGTATCACGCATGAGATGCTGCATTCTTTAGAGCACACCCAAAATACAACTCTAGACAACGTGTCGCTTGTTCCAGATGGACCTGTCCCATTCGAAAACCTGGAATACACTGCTAACTCGAGTCTGTTCATAAGTCATCCTAATGAAATTCTGCGGATCGAAGAATTGACGTCGAATAAAAACTCGGTATTCGAGACTTCAGGCGCGTCGTCAGGTGGAGCTGAGCAGGAATGTTCCCAAGCCAACTCGGACGATTTTAGCCTGATCTTCACCCCACTAGAGAAACTTAACGCCACCGACAAACTGGACTCTTCGGGATCAAGCTTTCATGATGGACTTCGGGATTTGGAACTCTCAGAGCATGAAACAGATCCGAAACATACAGATGAAGCGGACTTGCCACACTCACAAGAGGGCGACAATGAACATTTGAGTATCTCGCACAAAGAACATGCATTGAACTGTTTTGAACTGCCGTCTTCACATCCTCATAGAAAGCCATCAAAACGTATACACTCGCCTCATCAGACACCTTTAAAACATCTGGAGAGGTCTATACAAGTATCTCCAAGTCCTTTCCTGGAATTGGAAGACGGCTCCGAGTGTCAAAGTTCTTCACTAATTGATGACACCCAGGCGCAATTCGACTTAGATATCAATATTGACGAGTACAAAATCAACGTAGGGCAACGCCGAGGATCTCCTTGGCGTAACTTTCGTTCCACAAACCTTCATCCCATACCATTGCAGCAGAAAAGTGTGTTGAATAAACGGGACTTCTCTGAGGCTAACACTGCTGGAGTGTCTTCCACGGACAGAATCGAGGATCTTTCTAAACAACTCACGAATTGTAAAATTCAACTCAAGCTTTACGAAAAGTTTCTTCAGGATTTGATTGACAACCAGTCAGTAAACGTTGACGAAGTTACAACATTGCATCTGTATCTTGACCGCAATACAGGCTCAGCCACGAACCCCAATTCGTTCGAACCAACAGTGATGAGAGACGCTTTCCCAGAGAAGGAGCTGATAGAAATGGCAAACTTGTTGGAAGACTTATACGCAAGCGTGGAGGAATATCAGAACAAGTGGCGTGATGCTGATAGCAAGATTTCGGGACTCAACTCTTCCATGGGGGATTTTCTGAGAGAGGTTGCTAGTATCCTTCAAAAGCTTGGGATCAACACTGCCAGTATCATTGATAGCGATGCGTGTGTAAACCCTGAAGACTATCTTGATCGAATCTTGGATCTACTACGTAAAGTGCATACCACCAATCCTTCTTCAGCGTATACTCCGGCCAAGTCAACCCCCGTCCGGTCCAGAAGCCCATCTGGCATTGAAGAGTATCGGGATTTCTCTTCCATAAGGTTGCCCATTCGGAAACAGGAAAGCGGTTTATCTGAATTTGGCAGTATGACTTCAACGCCCCACAAGTCCGATCTGAGAACAATCGCTGATGGAAGTATCGACATTAAGCTCCAAGAGTATCAGGCCATGATCGACGGTCTTCAAAAGGAAGTCAACGAGCTCAAGAGCCAAAGCCGTATGGGCTCGGTTTCGGATCTAAGTGATCATACATTCTACACTCACAGATCCCGAGACAGGGAAAAGATGTTTCACTTGAAAAAGGAGTACGAAAACCTACAAGAAGCGCATCATGAACTTATCAACGAGCATCACGGGTACAAAAATTCCCTGGAGCGGACCGTCGCTTCACTCCGGGCCCAGTTGGAAAATCTTCAGAAAGACAAGCATAACCTCCGCTCGGAATTGACGGGCATGAAGTGCATTCAGCGAGATTTGGAGGTATCCGTGGAGAAGCAACGGGTTCTCACGGCAGAAAAAATCAAGCTTTCGTACCAGGTGGAATCCCTCACCCAGGATAAGGTGAGCATGCAAAAAACCCTTGAAACCTTCAGCGAGAAATTTTCAGCAGTTTCAGAAAAGAACACGCCTAGCGTCGACGCACTACGCAAAAGGGCCAACCATTCGTCTGATCTCCTAGACCATTTGTTTGAGTTGGACGTCGAGGAATTCGAGAAGCTTTTGAAGTCATTCAACAAGATTGCAGACGACGACTCGCTTGAGGACCCGAGGAAGAAGATCGGCCTTCTTCTGCAGTACAAAGGGACCAGGATTTTAGATCAGCCGGGAAAGGCCATTCTGTCGATGCGAGACGCGCACAGAGCGGTGTTCCAATTCTTTTCTCGTGCGGTGGACGTCATTGTCAACGACCACATCCGGCTTCTTTTGAAGGAAAGCGAGTTGAAGAAGAGCCACGATCTGCGCGTTGCTGAACTCAACACCCAAATCAGGGTTTTGGAGGAGCGCAACAGGCAAATGAGCGAGCGCCCTGAATACGTGCATTCTCCTCGACTGAAACTACGAATCGAGGAGCTCACCAGCCGCTGGAAAGCCGAGCGAGAGGCAAGAATACTTGAAAATAGACAGGCCGAGAAGCGGTTGCACGAGTTGGAGCAGGAGGCGAAAACGAACACCTGATCACTTGTCCTGGTGCACATGGTTTGCAGCCGGTCCGCACCCAAGTGTGTTGCAGCATACCAACAGAATGCACCCTTTTTTGATTTGTTTTGCTTTTTTTTTTTTCACGCAGACTAAAGAAACAAGCCCACGAATATTCCCTGAAGATATACATGGATCCATCCACCTGAGGTCCTGCCCTCTCGTCATCAACCCGTGATTCTCCGTCTATCGCCAGCAGGCAGTCCCCTACATCCGTGCACCTTGCGACAAGCTTTCTGAAAGAAAAAATTTTCCAGCACACGGGACTACCGATCTAAGCACCACGTCTCCTATTATCATGCCAGAGCCAAGCTACGAGGATCTCGAGAAAGAAATTTCGGTGGATGACATCGACTTTTCCGACTTGGAGGCGAGATACGCCGTCGACGCCAACATCGGCTTGGAGAACTATGTCGTGGTAGATGGAGCCCCTAAGGCCCCAGCTTCCAAAGCCCCATTGTTGGAAAAAGTGTTGAAGAAGTTCTTGTCCAAAGCGGGCGAGGTGCTCGAGGGTGAGGCTGGAATCCACCTCCCAGTGGAGAACAACATGACCAAGGGCTACCTTTTCGTGCAGTACAAGACACCTGAAATGGCCGCTGCCGCCGTGTCGCAGTTGAACGGAAAGCCCTTGGATGCCAAGCACAGATTGTTTGTGAACAAGCTCTCCGACATTGAGAAGTACTGTGCCGAGGGAAGCGTGCCCTCCACGTTTGTTGAACCAACGGTGCCACCCATGCAGTCCTTCGGCTACTTGAAGTCGTGGTTGCAGGACGACGCAGGCCGTGACCAGCTCGCGTTGCACTACTCGGAAACCGTGGGTGTTTTCTGGAACAACAAGAACAACGACCCCAAGCCTGTGTTCGAGCCCAGAAAGGGCTTCACCTCGAAGTACGCCAAGTTCTCGCCCAAGGGCACGTACATGTTCTCCATCCACCCACAAGGTATCCAGTCCTGGGGTGGGGAGAACTTCGAGCGCATCAGCAAGTTCATCCACCCTCAAGTGCGCTTGATTGACTTTTCGCCCAGCGAGAAGTACATGGTCACCTTGTCCCCTGCGCCAATCACGCCGCCCGACAACGCAGCCGACGCCAAGGACTTCCCCTTCGGCCCCGAGTCCGAGGGCCACAAGTTGGTGATCTGGGAGTTGGCCACCGGTGAGCCCGTGAGAACCTTCGCCTTGCCTCCCCACTTGGAGGCGCTGAAGGACATGCCTTGGCCTCTTGTCAAGTGGTCTTTCGACGACAAGTACTGCTGTCGTCAAGGCCCCGATGCCTTGGCCATCTACGAGACCCCATCGTTCCAATTGTTGGACAAAAAGCTCGTCAAGATCGAGGATGTCATGGACTTCGAGTGGGCTCCCGCGGGTGTCAAGCTCGAGGGCTCCCGAGCCGAGGCCGGCGAACATGTCTTGTCTTATTGGACCCCAGAGACTACGAACCAGACTGCTAGAGTTGCATTGATGCAAATTCCCTCCAGAAAAGTCATTAGAACTGTCAACATCTTCCAGGTCAGTGACTGTAAGATGCAATGGAAGCCTGACGGCGCCATGTTGTGCGTGAAGGTCGACCGTCACACTAAATCCGGAAAGACGTTCTTTTCGAACTTGGAGTTCTTCAAGACTACCGAGAGAGATATTCCGGTGGAGAAGTTGGAGTTGGACGAGGTGTGCGTGAACTTCTCCTGGGAACCTACCTCGGACCGGTTCGTGATCATCACCAGATTGGATGATGGCAACGACAACCCTGCCATTGCAAGAAACGATATCACTTTCTACAGCCAAGAGATCACCGGTAAGGGTAAAGCCAACAAGTTCAAGGTTTTGAGCAAAGTGCAAAAGAAGCACACCAACACACTTTACTGGTCGCCTAAGGGTAGATACATTGTGACTGCCACCATTTCTAAGACTTCGGGCGAATTGGAATTCTGGGACACCCAATTCGAGGATGAGAAGATTCTTAAGAAGACCGAAGTCAAGTTGTTAAAGTCTGAAGATTTCGGAGGAATCACCAACATCTCCTGGGATCCTTCTGGTAGATTTGTCGCTGCCTGGTCTTCTCAGTGGGTCCATGCTATCGCAAACGGTTACAAATTGTTTGAGCTCACCGGTAATTTATTGAGAGATGAGTCTATTGACTTGTTCAAGGACTTCATCTGGAGACCTAGACCAGCTTCCTTGCTCACAGCTGCCGACTTGAAGAAGGTCAAGAAGAGCTTCCGTGAGTACAGCGCTCAGTTCGACGAGCTCGATGCCATGGAGGCCGATGCTGCCACCAGAGAGGCTATCTTGTTGCGTCGTAGATTGTTGGAGGAATGGAGATTGTACAAATCCAGATTCGACAATCAAAAGACCGAGGACCGTACTATTGAGGCTGAGGTGGTTGAGGAGATCAAGGAGGAGATCATTGAGGAGAATGAAGAGATTGTTGAATAAGTGCCTCTGCACTCCTGGGAATGGGTCATATGCAATAATTAAACTACTAAACATGCACACATGGATACATGTAGCCTCTGATACGATACACGGGCCTCCGCGGACGTGGAAGTTGTTCGTGGTTTTCTCTCATTTCTATATTATAAATACACTTGGCACTGCTGCGTGTGTTCACACTCTTTTTTTGCGCTTCAAACCCCTTTGGTCCGCAACTGAAGCCCGTGCCATTTGGCTATCTCGTCTTTCAACACCTCATTCACTAGACGGTGCTGCTTAATCATGGGGATCCCTTTAAACTGCTCGCTTTCCACCAAAATAGCAAACATGGAGCCGCATCCCCCACTGACGTCTCTGACGTCTAATTTCTTCGGGGTAAACTTTTCATGTAAAATGTCATAGATCTTCTGTTCATAGGCCTCCATTGGGGGCGTCGATAAGAGCCTGCGAGAGATCACAGAAGCACGCGTGAACATGGCGGGCGATTTGCATAGCGACGAAAACATAGTGACGTATTGGCGCTGAAAGTTTTTCACAGACTATGGCAAGTTCCACTGGAATCGATGATTTTACTTAGTAATGGGAGTGCACCGTGCCCTGCTCTCTGGAGAACGCATAGTGTGCGCGAGGCCAAAAATTGGACGGTTCAGTAATTCTGTGAATTCTTCAAACATCAGCATTCGCTGAAGCAGCTACCTAACGTGAAAAAAAAAAATAGATCTGCATTGTTTTTTTAGGCCTTGAGAAACTGAATGTAACTTTTGTGATCTTTCAGATGCTACCTTGAACCAGGCCCGCACCGCGTCCTAATCAACAATTGAAGGCTAATGGCGACCGCGCATGATACTTCTCCAATACCATGGCAAGACGTGAGATTCTGTGAGTAAAACTCAGCATCCCAATTCTTCCGACGCATTCTCGTCTAACTTCTGTGCGTGTTGTGCTCTCTTTGGCCTCCGTGGTAAATCTGTGATATATTCTGGCGATCCTCTTTTACGATGCCTCTTCGTATCGTAGTGTGCGGTGACGACACGGTTGGCAAGTCCAGTCTCATTGCCACACTTGTGAAAGACGAGTTTGTCGCCAACATTCAGGGTAAATTGTCACCTGTCAGTATTTCCCGAGATGATTATGCCGTTTTGGGCGAAGCTAATTCTGATGTCGATACCGACATGGAGAAAACTGACATGCGATCAGTATCACAGTACATTCCAGACTCCACTGTGGTGATCGACACTGTGTCTTCAGACCATGCTGCATTGAACAAGGAGTTAAAGCAGGCGGATGTGATTTTGTTGTTGTATTCGGATCACTATACCTATGAGCGTGTTCTGCTTTTCTGGATGCCAATGTTTCGTGCGCTGGGGGTCAACCTACCCATTGTGGTGTGTGCCAACAAATGCGATTTCATGACAAAGCTGCCAGAAAAGCCGACCTCCAGTTTCAAGCAGCAGAACAAAGAGGAGTTTGTTCCTTTGATCAATGAGTTCAAAGAAATCGAAGCGTGTTTGAGATGCAGTGCTAAGCAGAACATCAACGTCGTGGAAGCATTCTACCTTTGCCAGCGTGCAGTTACACACCCTATCTCTCCAATTTTCGATTCGAAAGAAGGAAATCTCAAGCCAGCTGCCGTGAAGGCCTTGCAGCGAGTGTTTTTCCTATGCGACGCGGACCTCGATGGGTACCTTAACTTTGAAGAGTTCTCTGCTCTTCATATGCGATGTTTTGGTAGAAGCGCTTCACAGAATCACTACGATGATATCTTGCAAACAGTCAATGCCATCATTCTCCCGGATTGTGATAATAAGGGCGAGGTTAAAGGCATCTCAGAGAACGCTTTCATCATTCTCAACAAACTATACGCTGAACGGGGCCGTCATGAGACCATTTGGGGGATCTTGAGAGCATTTCACTATACGAACTCGCTCTCGCTCAACGATCGGTTTCTTTACCCGAAGGTGGAAGTTAACCCTAATTCAAGTGTAGAGCTTAGTCCAACCGGCTATCGGTTTCTAGTTGACTTGTTCTTGAAGTTCGATAGAGACAACGACGGAGGGCTCAGCGAGGAGGAAATGACAAACTTGTTTCTTCCAACTCCTGGGGTGCCGAAACTTTGGAAAGAAACTCAATTCCCCTCTTCTATTGTGTGCAATGAGGAAGGATACGTGTCTCTACAGGGCTGGCTCGCACAGTGGAACCTTACGACATTTCTAGATCACCAGACTACGCTCGAATACTTGGCATATCTTGGGTTTGATGAGGGAAACTCGGTGAAAGCAATCAAAGTCACCAAACCAAGAAAGCACCGTCAGAAGCAAGGCAAGCAGTATAGGGGTGCCGTGAACGACCGAAATGTTTTTAACTGTTTTGTCCTTGGAGCTCCAAAGTCAGGAAAGTCTTCTTTATTAGAGCTGTTTATCCGGGGAACTTATAGCGAGATGTATCTGCCCACAATCATTCCCAAGCTCTGCGTCAAAGACATCGAACTTCGTGGCGGGAAACAATGCTACTTGATCTTGGAGGAATTGGGTGAGTTGGAGCCTGCAATTTTGGAAAATCAAAAGCGTCTAGATCAGTGCGATGTGATCTGCTACACCTACGATTCTTCTGATCCCGAGCTGTTCCAGTACATCGTGAATCTCCGAAAAAAACACGCGAGTATTTTAAATGACATTCCGTCCGTCTTCGCTGCTCTCAAGGCTGACTTGGACAAGCAGCAGCAGAGATCAGACGTGCAACCAGAAAACTACATCCGAAACCTATTTCTTGGCTCGCCATTGCATATATCCAGTTCGTGGCCCATGTCCATCCATGAGCTTTTCATACAGCTTGTCGATGCGGCTAAAATGCCCAGCACTGCCACTCCCGGACTAGACCCGCATCCTGACACCGCAGAATTTGAGAACATGAAGCGCATAGGCATCGCGGGAGGTGCGATCACAGTAATGACGCTTTTCTCTGTTTGGATCTTTCGCAGTGCTCAAAGGCTGGGAAGGACTTGATTCGCATAAGTGTACGATCTGGAATTCGAAGTCTAGTTGGCCGAGGATATGTTGATTAAAGATTGGTGATCTCTCTAAATTCTAAAGGCCTCAAAGAAAGTTATTCGTAATTAAAACTGGCTTATGGATGCATTTCCCAAGTTTTTCAGAACAACAAGGCATGCGAACGAATTGAATCATGTGGACTCGCATAGCTCGAGTTCGCTTTCAAACCGGATTTTCGTAATTCTCGGACGCTGAAGAAAATAAAGCCCAGGCTGTTTTGGCGCTTTCATATCCGTACTTTCTGCTGAAACGTCCTATTGCCGTACATCATTACACTCCTTCGCCCCTCCTATTTATTCGCCTGACCCACAGCATTAAAGAAATTCATGCGTGCATGCAGCACTCACTTTTTTTTTTGTTCATTCTATAGTGCGGTGATGCGCATCTCTGCTCTCTGCTCCCATTAAACTACTGTACCATAAAAAATGTCTGAGCCAAATTTCAAGCCAGTGACTGTCACAAAGCCTATTCCCAATCTGTTTGACTTGGGAAATTTGGCCACGTTTGACCCCAACCCCTTGGACAATGCCAAGTTGAATGACCCCGAGCAAAAAGAGGCCTACTTGGCCTCGGTCACCAGAGACAATCTCCAGCTTCTAATCAACCAGGTTTTGTCTTTGCCAATCAAAACCACCACAGACACACATGGCTCCTCCACAGGTCAAGACTCCACCATGACCCTTATACAACTTCCTGAGCCCACCACGGCGTTGCCCAGAGAGAAGTCTATTCCAAAGGACAAGCCAAAGACGAAGTGGGAGAAGTTTGCCGAAATCAAGGGTATCAAGGCCAAGGCCAAGGACGGCAAGATGGTATATGACGAGGCCACTGGTGAGTGGGTTCCTAAGTGGGGTTATAAGGGAAAAAACAAAGACCTTGATGACCAATGGTTGGTGGAAATTGATGAGAAGTCGAAGGGCACTCCCAATGAATTGATCGACCCAAGATCGTTGGCACGTGCCGAGAGAAAGAAGTTGGTGAAGAAGAATGAGTTGCAGCACAAGCGTAACGTGAAAAACCTGCAGATCTGATCGTTCCAGGATACAACAGAAGAATCGCAATCTGGGTATATCGACAAATTAGGTCAGCAAAAAACGGAAAATGCCTTCAGGGTGTGAGCATACGATACGTTGCGCGTTTCAACTAGCAGCATCCTAGATTTAATGATAGTATAGTAAGAGAACTTTTTTGCATATTTAATTAGTGCTGCCCGACTAGTGCGTCTACCAAAACCCAGTATAAGAGTCGACGTGATGAAGCTTCTCATGAGGTATCACTACCCTCGTTTGAATTGCAGGACATAGAAAATTACGGTTGAGATTGACCAGAGACCCAGGAGAAGCTCATAAAGTGCAGAGGATAAATCTTGGTGTCGCAGCACAGATGATTCCTCAGTGATATCAGGCTCCAGCAGGATTCGCGCAGTTCTCGAAAGACAAAACAGTCATTCCCCAGATTTCCTATAAGCTTTCCAAATTCCACGCCTTGTTCCCATTCCTATCCTTTTCGCTGACTCCAGACATGACCCAAACTTTCGATGCTTCTGATTACCAGGAAATGATCGACGTACGTGCTTTATGAGAACCCCCCTAGATCACCCGTAAGGTTCATCAGTTACTAACATAGCAGGCGATTTTGAGCGCAGCTGATCTTGACAAGATCTCGATCAAAAGAATCAGAAACGCAATCCTGGAACTTTTCGATGTGGACTTGATGCCCCATAAGGTATGTACGCATCGGGGTGTCTCGAATGTCACCACAGCCAGTGCCCTAGGGCCGTCAATTACTGTGTACTAACCCACAGGAAAAAGTCAATGAATTGATATTGAATAGGTACTACAAACTCGCCGATGAGCGAGCGAACCCGCAGCCCAATCAGGAAGACCTGGAAAACCAAGACCATTTGATGGCCTTGCGGCTTCAAAAAGAAGGACAAAAGCACGATACTCGCCGCGGGCGGTCCGCCGTTTCGAAGGTGAGTAAACCACGGAAAACTGGTGCACGTACTGCGCCTAACAATGGTTTCAATGCAGATCTCTTGCTTTCCCCTCAGCTACAAGAAGTGATTGGAAGTGCTCGAATGAGCCGGCCACAGGTGGTCAAGCAAATGTGGGTATACATTAGGGCTCATGATCTCCAGAACGCATCTGACAAAAGACAAATTTTGTGTGATGAAAAGCTCACCAAGATCTTTAAGAAGAACACCGTGACGATGTTTGAGATGAACAAGCTTCTAAGCAAACACTTGTATAAGGAAGATGAGTTGACCTCGAATTGCAGTCTTTCTATAGCAGGGCTGATCGAAAACGAGGAAAAGAAGCCCCCGAAATTATCCGAAGAAAACAGTCGCTCTCTGTCTCCAGACACAACTGTGAAAAGAGAGAAACAGGCGTGCGATGACGCCAGCGAAATTAGTGAAGTTGAAGATTAATGCCTTTAGGCCGCCAAAAGACGTCATTGCTAGCCCAGATGTGCTTTTGTAGAGCGGGCACGCAAATGACTGTGGACAAGAAGCATTGGAGCCCAGAATGTGCCGGATCACGTTCGCTCGAGTGAAACGGGAGCTGTTCTTCATATATTGCATCCTAATACTGAGACGTATCTAGCGCTGCTCTCGTTTAATTACATAGTCAAATCCAACGTGCGCGAATACAGTGGTGGGCAACATGCAATCCAGCTTATGGGGATGATTGCGATTATGATCGACTGGGCCTAGTCAGCGGGCCAATTTCCAACTTCAATGCGGAAGCAGAGTTTGCGGATGTCCGGGAGTTTTTCCGTCTTACACTTTTTAAGCTGGCCCAGGTTGATTGACCGTCTATTATAGTTCGGGGAGCTGATACCCCAACGAAGAACAATACTACAATCTTCAAACCTACATTCAAACTACGATCTTCTAAACTACAGTCCACGATCCTCAAAACTACACCCGCCAAATTAGTCACCTCGATAGAAAAAAATCTTGGAGCCTCGGAAGGAGCTTCTGCTGATTTGAAACTATGCTGGAACAAAACGCCATATTGTTCCACCACCCTCGATCAATCTGAATTCGCGTCCCTGGGCCCGGCCACCCACTGCGGGTCCCATGCACTTCACCCGGCACTCGGCCCTACATATCGCATCGTTTCACATAAAACCACCCACACCAAAATTCCATGATCCCCGGCAGTAACAATCCTGCCAAGCGGGAATTGGCCGCTCAGGCTGGGCGCTCGCACAGTCTTCAGTCCACCATCTCTATAGACTCTCTGTATGAGAATGTCAACTTAAGTAAACTTTACGAGGCCACACTTAAAGCCGTGTTGCTTGAGTATATCTGTGAAGCACGATTCTACAAGCCCATCTCGCCGCCTATAAAGGAAAGGCCGGCAATGACCACGGCGCGTAATTCTGAAACTCGCAAATCGAGGCTTCTTCGTCTGGAGCCTGATGCCCTGTTGCCGTCTCAGTTACTCACTGATTTGAAGGCGAGACTCCATAAGGTGGCCATGGCCTCCAACTCAAAATACAGCGAGCTCACGCGACGCCTGCTTTTACGATTTTATGGCGAGCTTCTAGATCCAAACTGCATTGACGAAATCAACCGCGTGAACTCCGTGGACATTCTCGTCATGAAGTTCGTTTCCACTGCGAACAAAGAAGTCATCAAAATGGGCCTGATCCCGTCTGAGGAAACCAGCGCCGTGGTCTTTTGTCAGGCTGAGACGTTCATTGGCATTATCATAAAGCTCGTGCAGAAGGACAAAAACTCAGACGCGTTGGTGGCTAAGCTCAACGAGCACAGGGCGTCGCTCAGTCCGCTGAAATCACCCACACCATCTTTTTCGGTCTCTTCAAGTATCTCGTCATCTTCTGGAGCCACGGCGAACTCGATACTTCCAGCCCCGTCATTTGAACTCTCGGATATTGACCAGTCGCATTTGGCCTTGTTGAAGTCCCTATTTGCAGTAGACTCGGCCCAGCTTCAACAAGATATACTGCGCCTCAAATCCTACGTGAATCAGAAGGCCTTGTCTAAGGACATTGAGCAGGTATTATTTTATGTGGGCAAAGATATCGGGAGCAACTCCCCCGCCAGTTTTGCGACTCCACAAGCTTATGAAGAATGGAAGCAACGGGAGACTGCACTCTGTGATCTGCTAGCCAAGAAGTACCCCGTGCCTGCTCCAAAAAAGCTTCTTCCTGCGCCCCTGCTTCCACCGGGAGAGGAGTTCTACATCATGCCCCTCAAATCTGTGACTGTCCCATTCTTCGTCACCCTATGTAAGTTGTGCCTTCTCGATCAAAGAAAAAAAACTGACACCTCTGCTATAAACTCTGAGGATATTCTGATTCTTACGAACAAGTCCAAAGACCTTTTGATGTTGTGTGGCCGTCTCTGGCGTATCGACGCACTGACAAAGGCAGTTTGTTTTTACACCGCCGCCCATTTATCAGGAATTCTTATCGATCCCTTTTTCTCAGCAAATGCTAAGAACTTATGTCCCATTCTGTTGGAATCTACCCGCATAGTTTTGCAAACTTGTAAACGTGTCGCTGAAGATGGGGGCCTTGACTGGGAAGAAAAACACAAATGGACTTTGAAAGACCAAGAAGAATGGGCGAATAATCTAGGGTTTACATTCAGCGAGTTGTTCTACAGCATAAAAGATTCTTTGGGTGCAGTTCTTAGTAGAACCATAAAGCCCAAATTTGGAACATACTTGGCCTTCTTGGCAGATTATATTGAGACAGACCCCCTCTTCTGTCGAGTTGAGGCAACAAATCTTCCAAAAAAGTGGGAGAAGAGACTCACAAAAGCTTTAATTCGCACTTCAGAATCTCTGTATGCTGAATATCTCGCCAAACTACCCAGAGATAACACCGTGAGCGTTACACATGTATTGAACATCGCCGACTGTTTGGTAGAAGACGTCAAGCTTTTACAAAAGAGATACAAAAACCCGTTGTTGGGATTTTTAAACGTTTCCAAAACCCATGCAGCAGTAGTCATGGGTATGTTTGCGTCGGACTCTGAAAATATTCTTCGGCACATCATAGCACATATCAACGCAAGAGATGAGTTTTTGAGTTACGCAGATGCCCTAGAAGTCTACAAATCAATTTGCGAAATTCGCTCCATATATCAGCAAGTGTCGCCATCCAGTCCGTTTGCTTTCAATTTGGAAAAATTCTTCTTTGTTTATCTTCAGAGTTGGGTTTCTGAAAGCAGTGAAAAAATCAAAGCATTCGTGAACAACGCTCTACTTGAAGATAGCTTTCAACCTATTGACATTGAAGATGACGAAAAAAAATACAGTACCTCTGTCCAAGATATATTTACGTTCATCCGGCAATATCTCAAAATTTTAGCTGATTTAAATTGGCAAGATGAGTATCAGCTTGCTCTCATTTACACCACGCTCATCAAAAGCATAAGCTCGTGTTGCTTGCATTACGCCACAGAAATATCAGAGATGATAATGAATGATCTTAATCGAGAAGTTGAAAAGCAAGACACGGGCTTAAATCCAAAGCACCAATCAGGATGGCTCGCTGAAGTAAAGAGTATTGTGAATAACATCCAGCTTGGAAATCAAAAAATTGATGTTGAGCCATTCAACTTCACTTCAAGAACTTGCATTGGTCTCAACAACTTAAACGCTATGATTCAACATCTCTCCAAGATGGAACAGAATTTGAATCCTGAAGAGGTCTCTGCGAAAGTTCAAGAAAGGAATCCTGGTTCTCGTCAAGAATTCACCAGTCACGTCTTCTCCATTCGTGTGGTGAAAGCGGAGAATTTGAAGTCATCAACGGAGAGCTCGAACATCAAACCTTACTTGACACTAATTGATACTCTGGCTAAGAAACGCATAGCAAAAACTAGAACCATGGACTCTGCAAACCCCGAATGGGATGAAGAGTTCGAAATTTCTGTGGAGGCAAATTCTGCAATCACGCTATCGACAACTGTCTGGGAAGAACGACTTGGTTCCCATGGAGTTTGCGGCCGAGCACTAATTCAGCTTGAGCCCAGGAAGTTCAAGCACGATGGAATTCCGCAGGATGTATATCTTGATTTGGACCCTGATGGAAGGCTTTTGGTCGAGATTGCGGTGGAAAACGAACGAGAAGATGCGATTTTCGCCATGGGAAGGGCTCATCGAACCCTCAGCAGATCCCAGCAAAGAATCATTAAGATGATCGTGGCAAAATTTTCTGAATTCATCAGGCATTGCGTCTCTCGTACCACGCTCAAGTCCGTTTGCGGTGGTAACGGAAATGTCAGGCCTAGTCAAGCACAAATGGACGAAGCCATGATGCCACTTTACACCTACTTAAACGTGAATCTACTGGTCTTGGCGCAGTATTTAACAAAAGATCTTTTGACTTGCGTCATGCTTGAGGCATGGAAAGTCATTGTCTCGTGCGCTGATGAGCTCTTATTACCAAAATTAACTAGTGCGAGAGGGATCAAGCTGTTGGGAATCAAAGGCAAAGTACAAAGCTCAGGAAATATGAAAGTTGGTTGGCAATCTGCCGTGACTTCTGCCGTCGCGAATGTGACTAATTCTTTGAGTCTGTTAGGGTTCGGTAAAACACTTACCAACAATGAAATAGAGACTGTCATTGGATGGTTGAACTTTTTATGCTTTGATTTCTTTTACAATGAAGGAAATGGACCACCTATTCATGATTTGAAGAATGAGCAATACCAATCATTGTTATTAATTCCTGTCTACTACGACAAGGACATACCATTTTTGATACATGAAATCGAGCGACTTTCTCCAGCATTTTTACAAACTTTAAGAGAAAAGAATAATGTGTTTGCGGCATGCAGCAATGGTAATGATACTGCAAAGCTACGGAGTAAGGCGGGGTCTATCGCCAGAACTCTGACTATTCAAGCTAATGCAACGGCAAATGCTAGAGCGATTGCGGCGAAGGAAGCGGAAGAATTACAGCATGATCCGCTTGTTGCCCAAACTTCAGCTGAGAACATAATCCTTCGTTTGCTACTAGTTAAGGATGAGAAGCTGTTTGTTTCTAAAAGATTAGAACAAAGAGAACGATTATCACATACTATTGCTACCGAAAGATTGGCAAAAGCTGCTGCTGAAGGTACATTCTTTAGATAGATGTAACTTTTTATTCAAATACATAAATTTCACTTGGTAAAATTTGATTTTTCTAGATCTAGGTAAATCATACTGTCTTATGGATTCCGTGCTGCGTTGACTCCATTTTCAATTCCTCCCACGTCCTCCATTGTGTCATCATTGGCCTCCTGTTGTATGGTGGTATCATTGTGTTCTTGCACTAGAGTGGAGTCCGCATCGATGGTGACATCTGGGTGAGGTTTGGACGCTTTCGTGCCGTTTATCATCTCCGCAGTCTCAAAATTGGGCTTTTCAGCTTTTGCCTTCTCGGCAATATCATTCATATGATTTTCTTGGTCGCGAAGCGCATTTTTGTACTCCTTTGCACCCTTCTCCACGAGAAGCTTGAATTCTGACTCTCCTGAAGGCATGTTATTCCGTTCGCCATTCCAGAAAGACTCCTTGTCATTTAACATACTATCAAGAATCTCAAGTTTCTCTGTCTTCGATTTCCCAGTATCTTTTTGTTTTGAGTACATCGAGTTGGATATGAATTTGTCACATGTTTCAGCTTCAAAGAACAAACGGTATGAATTTTCGCAAATTGAAACCTTCAACTGGGACAGTGCCAACCCATTGCATTGATCCTCATCAACTGAGTTGATGAAGTTTTTGTGGAAAGGCATGCTAATCTTTGACATCGGAACACCTTCCGTAGGATGTGACATGATATAAGACGTCACGTAGTAGTTGTATTTTTCCTCTGAGTTGGTGTGATCATTGATCGTCAAATCATCGAGACCAACAAATTGGATGTTCACAGAATTATTGGATGCTTGAAATGAGATTTTGAACATGTTCTCATCAGTGCTCATCAATGCTCTGGCTTTCATACGATACAAGATTTGATTCTTGGCTGTCGTTGTGGGGCTATGTCTATCCTCCTCAAACAAAACAATCATATCAGAGGTCTTTGAGTCCGAAACCATTGTATGCATATGCTTCACAAGGGATTGAACCACCTTGTCGAGTGTGTAGCACTTGTATGCTTTGTTTCTGTAAGCCTGGCGTAAGCTCTCTTCGAACCATTGATGCTCAATCTCACCGTCTAACAATCTTTCGGCTAATCTAAGAACCTGATGGTAACAAGCCTTTGAACCAGCCACAATTTCCACACCAAGCTCTTGAAGCTGGTGTGAAACCAAATTCAAGTCCTTGGCGAACTGAGGAAACTTACGTGAGCGTATTTCTTTCTCCACATCATCTTCCATGCCCTTGATCTCCAAAAGGCGTTCATACAACGTTCTGAAATGGCGAAAGAACACATACGCGGTCGTATGACAGAAAAAATTGAACTTGTCTCTTTTCTTCCCCTTTTCAGTTTCCTCAAGGGAAAATTTTGCAGATGTGGTATTTATCCACAAATCGCCAGGAGCATCTTTCTCAGCTGTATTGCGTGAATCCTCTGAGCCACTGGATGGAGCATCTTCTGACTCTTCCTTTCTAGACTTTGACTGTTTCTTCAAGACATCACGTAACAAGTCCTGTTCGCGAGCACGTTTCTTTCCAGAATTAGATTCACCGTTTCCATTAGAATCAGTAATATTGCTGTAATCCTCGTGGTTTTTGTCATTGGCATTTTCCTGATCTGCTCTTGAATAACGAGCTTCTAATGCCTTGTAGATTTTCTCAGTCGGAATTCCGAAAAGTAGTGAGATGAAGTATTTGAAAAACGATCCGAGCTTATCTCTGTCATTCAGTGAGTAATTTGAAGAGTGATATATGTAAAACTCTGCAAGTTTTATGACGTCAAATATGACATCATCATCAGTGAAATTGTAGTTGAGTTGCTCCTGTGGTTTAGGTGTCAAAGGATGGACTCTTTTGTTTTGTTGCTCAACTTTAACTGTGCTGATTTCACTCACAAGCTGTTTAGCAGTCAACAACTTCTTGTCGGCCTGTTTGAATGTCAAGCCCAAATGATCTAAGGACTTGTAAAATACCTTTTGCTCCATCTCTCTCCAAACTTTGTTCCATTCTCTTTGAGAGCGCTTCCATTCCTCGTCTTTTTGTTTTAATCTTTTGAGCACGACTGGAACAGCGACTGCAGGGTTCTGATGGAGGGCGTCAATCACCTCAAACCCTCTATCTTTATCGTAAATTTTACGAATCACCTTTTTGTAGATCGTTTGGGATGTATGGCCCAAGCCTGGTGGAAGCTTGAAACTGGCCTTTTGTTCTGGGGTCATGTTGGCGATTCTGTTGGCAATGGTTTCCAAAGTCTGAATAGTTCTCAAATTTGCCTCCATGTGATAGTCAAATTCGAGTCTTTCCTCCTCAATTTTGAAAAGGATTTCCTCGTACTGATTTTTTCTATGAGAAATGAACCCTGAATCCTCAGAAGCCCAAGTTGGGTGGCCCACCAACTCATCGTTCAACACTTCCCAGCACATCTCGTCTCTTCCGGAGCAAGGCATATATGTCTCGACTTTCGGCAACTGACGGTACGATGGTCCGTATGACTTGCACAAAGAGAGCTCAATTTGATGTTTCCTGAACGTGATGTCCTCCATGTGCTGGGTAGGTTTCTCATAACCAACGAATTGTTTGAACCAATTGGTGAGATCTTGATTGTTGTCACCCAAGAAAGACTCGACTCTTTCGACAAGAGTTTCTTTGTCGATGATGTCTTGCGAAAACAAATTCAACATTTTCAAGAACTCGTTATACGTCTGTTTGTTTCCGATAGCTTTCTTGACCTTGTCGAAGAAAGAAAGCTCCTCCAGCAAAGAAGAAGTCTTAGAAACATAGGATGGAGGAACGGGCTCCGGGATTCCAGCCACGAGAGTGGGATTTGTTTTCGCCACCATGACCGAAGAGCTCGGAGTAGCGGACTTTTGTTTTGTGGGGCCCACCTGCGGCGCCCCCCGGATCCCAGAGTAGCTGGCTTCCTCATTGTAGTTGCTTTCGAAAGCGCGATGCTCACTATTTTTTCTCAGAGGGTGCTGAACCATTGGTGCAGTCTGGTCGGTTTCGTGGACATTTGGCTGGAAGTGGCGGTAATGCAGGTCTGGGCTCAAGACCCCGCCGCTCGCGTTCGGCTGGAAGTTGCCGAGAGGCGGCAATTGAGAGGAGCCATTCGTGGCATAGTAGGCCTGGCCGTCGTGCCCGTGCAACTGAGGCTGGGCCTGTTGGGGCAACACCTGATCCTCGGCCCTCACGGCAAACTGGGGCTGATGGTTGCCCGTGTCCGGCAAGAACTGCTTGAAGTCACTGAGGAGATCGGGCGAGTTGGCGAAAAGCTGCGTCACCTGCTCGTAGACCTCCCCGATGGGCTTCTGCTCCCGCTGGTACGTCTGCAAGATCTCCAAGAACTGCTTGTAGATGTCGGGCTGGTTGGCGAAGCGGGTCTTGATCTTGTTCACGTAGGAGATGGCATGGTTGAACTCGATCTGGCCGCCCGCGCCCGCTTGCAGATGCTGCGGGTCCTGCGGAAACTGCGCGGGCTGTGCGGGCTGGCCCTGGTCGGCCCACTGCTGGGGCGGGCCGGCGGGAGCGAACTGCGGCACGCCGCCGAAGTTCGGCCGCGTCGTCGTCCCAGTGGGGGTCGTCACCCGGATGGGGTTGGGGTCTGACGGGTCCAAGGAGCACTCGATCTTGTAGCCGGGCGGCAAGAACGTGTTGAAGCCCTGGATCAAGTTGGGGTGCCCGCGGAACAACGACGAGACGCGGTCGATGACGCCCGGCGTGTCGATGCTCTGCGACTTGAAGTCCTTCATGATGTCCAAGAAGTTGTTGTACACGTCGGTCTGGTTGTAGAACTGGATCTTGACCTGGTCCAAGTAAGACAACGCATCCTTGACGTTCAACGGCCGGTATGCGTTGGACGCGGACGAGCGGCTCATGACGCCGTGCGGAATGGCCAGCAAGTTCTGCGCGCCCTGCTGGTCAGCGGCCACGCTGCCCTCGCGGGCCTGCTCCGTGTCTTGCGCAGGCGCCGGCTGCGGCGCCGCGGCAGCGGGCTTTTCGGGCAGCGGGGGCTGAACGCCGCCGCCCGTGTTCTGCGGGAGCTGCAGCAGGCTCTGCGGCTGGCTGTGTTGCGGCTTGGGCGCCGCGTCCGGGGGCAGCTGCTCGTTTTGGTGCGTGAGGTTGTAGATGGAGTTGGGCAAGTGCGAGCTCAAGGCGCCGTAGCCCGGGACCTGGGGGAGCCGGGCGCCCGCTGGCGGCAGGCGCAGGTCCTCGCTGGAGTTGATGGCGGGGATCAGAAAGACGTGGCCGGAGGCCGTGCTGCCCCTGCTGCCCAAGGCGGGGAGCGACGTGAACGGCGGGAACTGCTGGCCGCCGGCCTCCAAGGTGGCGGGGGGCGGCAAGACGGGCGGGTTCTGGCGGCTAGAGACGGGAGTTAGTGGCGGGCTCGGGTTTTCTGGGCGGGTGTTTGGATACATACTTGTAGGCCAGGTTCATGGGCATGCCCTGGTTGGGCCAGCGGGTCTCCTGGTTGGTCATTGGGTCAGGGGCACGCTGGGGCTCGGAGGGGGTGCTTGCCTAGGGACAGGTGGTGGGTTCAGGGGGTGGCGGTCACAGAGCCAACGCCTGTCGAGCAGATGAGGAAAAACTGGGCAGATAGAAAAAAGCGACTGCAGGCTGGAAAATCACGGCCGGGTCTATTTTTTAATTCCGGGGCTCGGGCGGCTTCGGGACTGTTTCGGAGTGACACTCGTGCAGCCGCTGAAAACAGGTGGCTTTGTGGACTGGGGTGTCGGGGACGAAAGATGTCGGTGCTCTATGGCGGTTAGAGTAGAGGCCCAACAGTGCTTCGAGATAGGTGGAGCAGGTGCGGGTAACCCGGCCGGGCGAGCAGCCGGGGAGACGCGCCTGCAGGACGCCTGTGCCTGGGGCGCCGGCCGTGCGCGGTTTCTGTCCGAGCAAGGTCACGTGCCCGGCACCGTGCCCCGTTGCTGTGCGATGGAGGCGGAACGGAACAAGAAAGAGCAGAGAATAGGAGGGGCCGCAGAGGAGTGACGGTGAGTGTTATATTCTGTTTTTTATTTTTTTTTTTTTTCTTCTAAATTAGTTTGTGTTCTTTTAGTTGATCGTTTTGATTCTGTTGTTCTATTTTGTCTCTGATGATTTTTTTTTGATTCTGTTGTTTTATTTTGCCTCTGATGATTTTTTTTGATTCTGTTGTTTCATTTTGTCTCTGATGATCTTTTCGTTTCTGTTGTTTTATTTTGTCTGATGGTCTTTTTGTTTCTGTTGTTTTATTTTGTCTCTGTTATCTTTTTTTCTGTTGTCTTATTTTGTCTGTTATTTTTTTCTCTGTTGTCTTTTTCTGTAGCTGCTGTTCTCTCGCTTGTCTTGTTCACTGTCATCCTTCCTTCCCTCATCGTCCCGTCCTTGTTTGCCTTTTACAATCTGCCTTGAGTTCTTCTCCCCTCCATGCCGCTGCTTTTCGTTCCTGCTTCTCACGCTTTTTTCCATACTCCTGATCTGCCTTTTGCTTCTCTTCATTTTGCTCCTCTCCTGCTTCGTTCTCACCTGTTTATTAATGCTCACCAAAGATCCGGCCTGTGGATTATTCCGTGCGCCCCGGTCAACTCAGCTGCACTGCCAAACAAAGTGCTGGCACTGGCATGCACAACCTGGCAGCTTGAACTGTCCCCGATCTGGCGGCCAAAATAGCCTCCTGGATCTAGAGGCACGCAGTGAGGTCTAGCATTTCCTAGCTCTGGCCTTTGCCAGGCAAAGACCGCCCATTGGAATTCGGGCCTCCCTGCAGGACGGGCCCGTGACTATCAACTTCCACCTCTATGTCCTCCACAGCTCTCCTGGTCATCTATCCCCTCCACCGAACATGAATGCCCCAGACAGATTCGAGTTGTTCATCTTGCCAGATGGCGTGGAGAAGTATGTTCTAGCCCCTGACACCGGATCCCCCGCCGTGAATACTAACCGTGCTCAAGGATCAAGATCATCCCAGATACAAAGGTGCCCAATGCTGCCATCATAAAGATCGAGCGTGAGGACCACACGCTTGCCAACATGTTACGCGCTCACTTGGCCAAGGACGACAGAGTCATTTTTGCTGCCTACAAGGTCGAGCACCCGCTTTTTGCCAACTTCGTGTTGAGAATCCAGACCGATGACGACTACACGCCCAGAGACGCCTTGAAGAACGCATGCTCCAGTTTGATTTCGGAGTTGGACATCATGAAAACCAAGTTCAAGGATGAGTGGGCTCTCAAGTCCTTGCTCAACAATAATGATGACTAATTTTAGGGGCTGTACAATACAATAAACAACTATATATGAGACACGCTCCCGGGTGACAGAATAGCACGGGCGCATCACCAAGAACCAATCACCAAAGGGGCATGCCCCGCCGGGGCTTCTCCTGTAAATCCAAGCAGCCCGCGCCGCCTGACTCCAAGGCTCTCGCGTGCACTTGTGTGGTATGCTGTGTATTTTTTCTATATGCTAATTTATTTTACTTTCGCTCTGATGGCGGCTTCGATGATGGTAATCTTACCCAAGCAGTCGGGAACTTCGGTATCTAAGAAGTTCCCGCGCTCAAGAACCAAGATCAAAGGATGCGTTTGGATCACCTTGTTGGGCGAGACATGGGTAATGGCCAAGCCATTCTTAGAAATGCAGAATTTGTGATGATCTTTGAAGTTGAACTGAAACGCTCCGTTCGTCATTTCAAACATGATGTAATCACTGTTTCTAGTGTATCTATGCAAGAACACCGTCTCCTTGCGTTCCTCGTTGTCACTCACCTTGGACAAGTTGCTGTTCATGTACTTTGCGAAGAAATCAACAATCTCAAGTTGTCTTCTCGCCTGAGAGGGTGGGTGACTGACTGAGTTTTCGATGCATGACCACCCTTCGTTTTCGTGATGGATCAACTCCAAGAATCTGTCGTTGTTGTGAAGCTTTAAGATTGTGTTGTTGTCGTTGAACAAAACACCAATATCATCGTTGTTCAACTGATATGAAAACCCGTATTTGCTTGAATAATCAACCCACTTAGAGATGAGAGTTGGATTTTCACAAGTGGGGAGCTCTTTCACATCAAATTCCAAAACTTCTCCAGAGCTTGTGAGTGCTCGGAGTCTTCTCATGTTATGAACTGTTTCAAGGAGTGATTGTTCTAGCTTAATGATCACCTTGTTGAACTTTGAGTGGAAGTTAAGCTTTCTAAGGGACTTTCCGCCCTTGCCAACTATGGAAGTTGGCACCGCAATTTCTTGGTACTTAGATCTGGTGTCACCTGGTGACAACGATTCAGGCAACACGGCTCGGGGCTGGCTGGAATGCAAGTCCGTCTTCAAGATTTCCACGGGGTTTTTCAGTTTAGGGGTGTAAATGCCAGCCTGGGTCTTTGCGTTGGCAAAATTAAGCGAGCTTTGAGCACGAGAAATCTCGTCCATCTGATGAGGGGTTGCTGTCAAAGCTTCTTCGACAGTCTTCGAAGGGAAAGAACCTTTAAACCATGGGTAGTCCAAAATCTCATTAATCGTGGGCCGGTTGAGTGGGTTCAAGCTCAACAAATCTTTGATAAGAGTCTTGGCATTTTCCGATATAGGCTTATCAGCGGGAAACAGGTATTCCGTCCTCTTGATTCTTTCGTAGATAACGTTTACGTCTTTGGCCTGAAATGGTGGCTTGCCAACCAACAACGCATACATCATGATACCAATGGCCCAGATATCAACTTCGAATGAGTGGCCAGTTTGTTTCCCACCCAAAACCTCTGGCGCGATATAGTTGGGCGTTCCACAAATGGTGTACTTTCTTGAGTCTGTGGAAGGCAACACGGAAGCCAAACCAAAGTCTCCTATCTTCAAGTTCATTTCGGGGTCGAAAAAAATGTTTCCGAGCTTTAAATCCCTGTGGATGACTCTCCGAGAATGCAAGTACTTAATTGCACCGACAATTTGCACCATGAAAAAGCGGACCTCGGGTTCTGAAACACGCTTTCTAGTCTTCAAGAGTTCCATAAGTGATTGATGAGGGCAAATCTCCAATAGAATGTAGACATTGACGTCGTCTTCAAAGCAATCCACGAAGTTGACTATATTAGGGTGCTTGAGAGACTTATGAATCTTGATCTCCAGCAAAAGCTTGGTTTTTGTCTTTTCATTCTTGATCAGTGCTTTTGCAACTGTCTTAGCGGCATAGATTCGGCCCAGTGCATCTTTCATTTGGAAACATCTTGCAAACCCTCCTTCGCCCAAGAAGACCCCTCTGCGGTAGTCAATACCGTTTCTTGTCCTGACAATTGATGGAGGCGTTTTGCAGAGAGCAGAAAGCTTCTCTTTTTTCTTCTTGGCTTTTTCTTGGGTTTGCTGCTGATGTTGCTGTTGCTGTTGCTGTTGAACTTGAGCATGACTATCATGGTACAAATTGGGTGGTGCATGATAGTAGTCGAATTGTGATTCTTTCCTCCTGGTAGACTTGCTTGGAGTAACATTGTTGACTCTGTTGAGCTGCCCGTTCTTGAGCGGTTGTAAAGGCTGAGTTGAGCGGAAGTTCATGTTTAGAACAATCGTATTCACGGTACAATACAGGAGTCAAGGCACAAAATTGAATGGGTTTCTTAAGAAGATAAAGAAGATTAGTTTATGAAATGATCGAAATTCTCTGGTGGGTTCAGCTGAGTATACTCGATTGTACTCGAAGCTTTCTAAATGCAATGGACGAGGTAATGACGATGTAGAAACACAAGAGGAGATTTGGAGGAAAGAAATATGTAGTCACCTTTTTCTTGCGTCAGTTTTTTTTTTTTTCTGTCCGAATTGTATATATATATTTTTGCGTATACCAGTTCAGATGAAGTACAGCAAGGAGACTATTATGCTTTGGACTAAAAAAGAACTTCGTTGTAAATTTCACCGAGAAGTGAAGAGTGGACAAGCCATCATGTTTACAAATATACCGCATTGAGTAACGAGGCCGCTCAAATATTTACAATTAAAGCAAAACGAGCGGAAGTGACCTGCAGATTTTGCTCGCTTCTGCTTGCAATGCGATGGTTGTGTAAAAGTATGCAACTGACAAGGAAAAGTCCACGTAAGCTTTGAAACAAATAGGATGCAGCAGGATTACTCTCATTGATCTTTAGCTTAGAGAAGCAAATTAATTTTGCACATGCTTCTGCATCAACTTTATTGATGAATTGATCCAAAAGCTGAATCTTCTGTGCGTACTGCGCACATTGCCAACATTCATTTAGATGATGAGCCATTGTCAGGCAGTTATGGATCTTTTGGCTCTCATTAAAAATTACAGTCGATTGTGTAAACATTCAAGCTTCGAATAACGAGCACAACCAATTGCTGAAATCTTTATTAATAAATGAAAGCTGTTCATTGATTTCTGACTTGAAGCACTTGCGGGTTTGTCGCATGAATGGAAAAGTTATAGATATGCAACAACAAACATTCACTTCGGGTGCAGTAGGGTTATAACGGCGGGGTGGAATTATAGGCACGTAGCACGGTTGATATCAATTTTTTATCTGAATAAATTATGATCGCGAGATGTCCCAGGCAACTTCAAATGATTATTACATCGACTGGAGGTTTGAAACAACTCGACATGCTCGGGTGTACCTCATCACAAGATCTAAAATTGCAAACATTCAATTTCTCCAGTCTGAAGACAATAGCCCACAAGAATATTACATTATTAAAGCTTAACGTTTTGCTGGTAAAGCCTCGGATTTTTGAGCAAGTTCCAACCCCTCTCGCTGTAGCTGTGCACTAAACATTTTTTATATGATAGATCAAAAACATGGAGGAACCGAAAAAGTCAGAGGTACAGTGTTTTACTCATTATTGATTCGTTAATTTCGAGAAAAGCCAAGACCTGTCAAAACAATAAAAATGAGCCTGACTGGTAATCCAGACTTCACATTCGGTCAGCACCCTCGTTGGCAAGCCGATCAGCTTGCTCGTTACCTTCAACACCCAGATGTCCCTTCACATGTATAAGGTCCACACTCACGCCTTTCTCTGTGAGAGTTGAGTAAAGATCATGGGTGCGCTCGATGATATCCTGATTTGCGACCTTGGATCCAGACGAGGTCTTCCAGTTGTTCTTCTTCCACCCATCTGCCCAGGTATCAATGGACTTCTTCGTGTAAGTTGAGTCGGTGTGAATTTCGTAAGACTTCGACATGCCAGGATTCGAATTGTATTCTTCGTGAATGTTCTTCAAAGCATGATGCATTGCATGCAACTCTGCTCTCTGGTTTGTGGGCCGAATTTTGGAGATATCGTCGACATCAGAGAGCGGAACAGAGCTGTTCCGCGAGTCCCCGGGCCCATAGTAGACACCGTAGCCTGATTTCGGACAAGAAAATTTTCCGTTTCCACGGGCAGCACCGTCCACGTAAATCTTTTCTTTCGTAGCTGAGCACCGCGTGGAAATCGCTTTGTTTTCACCGCAGTACGATCCGCCATCGTAGCCCGAATAAGGTACCAGGCTTTCCAATGCAGAGTGTGACAGTCTAGCTGGGCTTCTATCCCTTCGAGAATAGTCATCGCGAGAATAACTACCAGTTCCACTACTGTTGCTAGAATAATAGTCTCGGGAAGAGTAATCTCTGGCGTTCCCGCCGCGAGAGGTGGAACTACTCCCGTAGGTACTGTTCCCATAGCCTCCCCCACTTTGCTCGTTTACAAAATTGTCTGCCTCGCTTCGAGTTGCAAATTTTTTATACGTAGCCCCTGAATATCCGTTCACGTTTTTACTACAATCGTCCCAGGAGTTGTAGACTCCTGCGGATCTGCCCTTGGCAACAGCGTAGTATGGCATTTTTTGATGTAAAGAAAGCTGCTTCCACATGCAATGTGACCACTTTTTAGGTCACGCTTATTGGGACATACAAGATCCGCCCACAGTGTTTCACAATATGAATTCACTTTCTAAGGCGAAAATACTATGTCGACTAAACGTTGAAAGTGGTAGGATGGAAAGGATGGAGCGGTAATGCCAGGTGAGTAGGAAATTAGGCGCACCTTTATATGCGCAAAAGTCGCAGCTCCCTATTGTTGGATCCCCAGGTAGCGGAATGATCTCAAATAAGTGACACGTAATATCCTTGAATAAGCAGACGGAACGGGTAAGTACAGTAGATTTTTATTTTACTGTGGCCTCGAAATGAACGCGGCATCGCTGCCGAGAGCTTTGTTAAAAAATTAAACGTCCGAGTCTCGTTTAAGAATGAACCCCGATGCGGAATCAATGGAGTTCAGACAGACATCACTAGTGGTATGTGTTTTCCTTGTAATGATCTCTCATCTCAACAGTAAATATTCTGTGTTTTAAAGAAAGCATTTCTCAATTCAAAGAATTCATGAGTGTGTCACTCTTTGAGCTCGTCGTCCAACTATGACGCGTTGCACTACACTCTTGAGTGTACATTTCGCCGCTGTTCTCTTCAGTGTACGGTTGCGTACGTAGAAGAGCAGAAGAATCAAATAGCCGCATCTAAAATAATTATATATACGAGCAGTTGGGATAAAGGACATGAGAAATAAAAGCGACGCAATGTTTAACTAACTCACTTGGAAGGATTGTGTACCACAGATTGGGTCAATTTGCACGACTGATGTATCCATCTGCGTACACCCAATAGCCGGACTAATATAACACATCATCATGCATAATAAAAGCATGAACTTCATGTCTGAAATCTTGTTCCATCAATTTACGGGAGGACTTATGATATGAAATGCCTCAATTGAAATTATTTAGGGCAGGACGAAAATCTCAATTTGCTCATTGTGATGGTAAGAAAAAACTTTGAAACTCCAAGCTAAAAACCATCGGGCTACAAACCCTTGTGAGCTTTCATTAGCACTCCTGGCTTCTTCGCTTTTTAAGCCTCTCAAGATAGATATATAAGCCGGCAACTGCTGCAAAAACCTGTCAAAAGTAGATACCGGTACGCTGTGTCATACAGACGCGGCCCGCGTGCATTCAAAACCCTACAGTTATGATTCATATGCAGCAAAAAAACCTGAAATCAAGCGCCGACATCTGAAAAGATATTCACATCAGGATAAATCATTATTAAACATGGCTGATTCGCTCTCCCCCGTTGGTGTCTGTCGAATCTCGCCCCTCGGGCTGCAGGAGTAAAAGGTCGTGCAGTTAACTTAAAAGCCATCATCGCGCCCCAGCGAAGTTCGTTTTTTTCGTCTACATTAGGGACGGTTCGATTAGTTTAGTCATTGAAAAAAGTGAAACCCAATATTTCAGCATAAAAGAGCTCTTACAAACACTTAGCATTTTTTCCCGGGATTTGTTTGACTCGTCAATCGTTGCAATAATGGGAGACATCGAAGATTCCGCTCTCTCGCAATTGCTGGTTCTGAGTACCACATTCAGAGAACACCAAGAAGAACTTCCTTTGAATGCGTTAATCAAGCAAAAAAACAAATCCAAAAACGGTACTGCTTCAGGTTCGGATCAAAAAAAGAAGAAGTCGAAAAAGAAGAGGAGAGCTGATGCGACCCTGGAGGGTGAACCCAAGAAAAAGCTGAAAAAGAAAGAGCCAAAAATGGAAGATTCCACTGTGAAAGAAGAAGAGGATATCAAGGTGGAAGATTCTGTCAAGTCCAGCGAGTCGGCCAAGCGTAAACTGAAGAAGAAACTGAAAAAGGATACGTCTGAAACCACAAATGTCTCTTCCACTGAAACAACACCTGAAGTCAAAGATGAGAAGCCCATGATTTCCAAAAGCGAAAGCGAGCATGGTACTTCCCAAAACGGGGACTCCTCGAGAATTGAGGAAGAGAGCGACGATTACAAATGGTGGGAAGATGAGAAATTTGGACAGGGCCCCGAACGTTGGCAGCAACTAGAGCACAACGGTGTTCTATTCCCACCACCTTACGAGCCTTTACCATCTTATGTGAAGATGTATTACGATGGTAAGCCTGTGGATTTACCTTCAGCTGCGGAGGAAGTAGCTGGGTTTTTTGGGGCCATGCTAGAGTCAGACCACACCAAAAACCCTGTTTTTCAAAAGAACTTTTTTGATGATTTCATCGAAGTCTTGAAACAGAGCGGTGGCTGTAATGTTGAAATCGAAAGTTTTGAAAAATGTGACTTCTCTAAAATGTTTGCGTATTTCGAGAAACAAAAAGAGGAGAAGAAGAATATATCAAAACAAGAGAAACTAAGGATCAAAGCGGAAAGAGAAGCTCTTGAAGAACCCTACCGCACCTGCTTTTTAAACGGCCGGAAAGAAAATATTGGAAATTTCAGGGTCGAACCACCAGGTCTTTTTAGAGGCCGTGGTGCGCATCCAAAGACTGGTAAATTAAAAAAGCGTGTCTACCCTGAAGATATCACTCTCAATTTGGGTGCAGATGCCCCTGTTCCTGTGCCCCCCGCTGGGCATAAGTGGGGTGCTGTTAAGCATGACAAGTCTGTCGTTTGGCTTGCCATGTGGAGAGAAAACATTGCAGATAACTTCAAGTACGTAAAGCTTGCAGCAAACTCCTCGATCAAGGGTGTCTCAGATATGCGAAAATTTGAAACTGCTCGGGAGTTGAAAAATCATATCGAACGAATCAGAGCTGACTACAACATTATGTTGAAGGATCAGTACATGCAGAACAGACAGATTGCAACGGCAACCTATCTTATTGACATCTTTGCATTGAGAGCAGGCGGTGAGAAAGGTGAGGACGAGGCTGATACTGTGGGTTGCTGTTCATTGAGGTATGAGCATGTGACCTTAAAGCCGCCCAACACCGTTATCTTTGATTTTTTGGGTAAAGACTCTATTCGGTTTTACCAAGAAGTGGAGGTGGATCGCCAAGTCTTCAAAAACTTCCGCATCTTCAAGAAGGACCCCAAGCAGCCAGGTGATGATTTGTTCGACCGCATATCCCCATCCACGTTGAACAGACATTTGCAGGGGTATATGAAAGGGTTGACTGCCAAGGTATTCCGTACGTACAATGCGTCGAAGACTATGCAAGATCAAATGGACCTCATCAAAAACGAGGGTACCGTGGCAGAGAAAATATTGAAGTATAACGCTGCCAACAGAACCGTCGCCATTTTGTGTAATCACCAGCGTACGGTCACCAAAGGACACTCGACTACGGTGGAAAAGATCCAAGACAGAATAAAGGAAATGGAGTGGCAAAAACTCCGATTGAAACGAATGATCCTCAATATGGACCCTTCAGCGCGTGAGAAGGAACCGAGATATTTCGAAGAATTGGAGGATGTAAGCAAGGAGGATCTCCGGTCGATTGTGCGATTGCATGTGGAGAAGCTTAAAGATCAAGCGAAGAAGAAGTGGACGCGAGATAACGAGAAGAGGAAGATGGAAGAACAGGATCTTCTCACAGAGCAAGACTTGGACACGAAAATGAAGGGCATCGAGGAATTGAGGAAACAATACGAGGAAGAAGTAGAGAGCGGGGTTGTCGAGCCGAAGTCTGCCAGTGTCGAAAAGCTCAAGTCGCAGATCGAAACGATTGAGGGCCGCATTTCAAATGTGAGCTTCCAACTCAAAGACAAAGAAGATAATTCAGAAGTGTCTTTGGGGACATCGAAGTTGAATTATATCGATCCACGCTTGACCGTGATGTTTTCCAAGAAGTTCAACGTCCCCATTGAGAAGCTCTTTGCAAAGACTTTGAGGGATAAATTTAATTGGGCCATTGAGTCTACGGGTGCTGATTGGAGGTTCTAAGCCCCTGTTCATGTTTTTTTAGAAAAAACCCCCGGATAGAAAATAGAAATACATTGTATCAAGAATAAGCCGTTGTGATCACATGGAGCACTTCTTGCCACGAGGTTGTGCAATTAGTTGACATAAAGCCTGCAGAAATGAGCAAGTAATGAAACAACATACCATAAGAAACTTAGAGAGGACCTACAACCAAATCCAGTTGCGTCTTGGCTAAGTGACGTCCTGACTACGTAACGAGAGCAATACATAGAACGGCACTGGTTCTGTTTCTTGGGTGCTAGGCGCCATGCAAGATTTGAGCCAGACAAAAGGTCTTCTGGACAGAAGAGACGTGTATGTTCTTCGCAGAGAGAGCAGCAAACATATGCGTGTGCGCGTATCGGGAAATTGGCTCCTGCCGGTACAGTGCAAAAGCTTGACCCGCGCACCAATCAAAGACGGGCCTCGCTTAACGGAACGCGCTTTCATAATTCTGATGATTAAGCCTCGCATAGGACTACAAGACGCGCGGCAGGATCAACAAACACGGTACGTGTGTATGGAACAAATGCGCCTTTCCTCCATCGGCACGGAATTGAGATGTGCGCTATCGTAGGAAGTGTGTGCCTCACTCTTTTCCTTCTTTGGCCCAGACTTCCATCCCCTTATAAGTCCTGTTTTTGCTTGAACTCCATACTATTTGGCACGCGGCGAAAGACATCAAACCACGTGCCCCGCCCGGACCTACATTCCATTTGCCATGAAAATCGCACCTCTTTCCCCTCCACGCAGCCTGTCGTACGGTGGGAAGTACGAGCGTAAATACCACCATGGCCATGCCCCGTTTAATAAAAGATTGGCCAAGCGAAGCACGTTGCCCTCGCTTAATAGTGCTACTAGCACTGCAAGCACAACTGGTGCCAGCACCTCCAGTGCTTCCACTTCTGGCACCTCTCTGGAAACCCAAGAATCAGAGACGTTTTTTACTCTGTCGGCCACCATATCTTCGTCGATGGCAACGATTGACATGACCACGCTGGTGAGCAACTCGACGACAGCCATGCCCACGGTTTCGACGACTTCGTCATCCTCGTCCACAACGTCTACATCATACACGTACCAGGCCACCGTGCCCACAGACAACGCTGAGAACCCATACATAAGCAGAGAGTCGCTCCCTGTGAACTCCGTGTTCATAATTGTGGGTGCTTTGTTGGGCGCTCTCGCGCTAGGCATTGTTCTGTCGTGGCTCGTCGTGTGGTGGAAGAGCAGAAAACGAGCCAAGAGGGAGAAAGAAGTGCAGTATTACAATCCGTTCCACTACGACAACAGCTCCAACAGCTCGGCGACGCACTTGTTGGCGGGGTCCCTGGGCTCGTCTTTCTTGGAGAAATCGACGGCCTCGGTCAACACCATGTTCTCCGACCCCACAAGCCTAGGCATGGGCACCTCCACGCCCGGCCGCTCCTACCGAGAAATGCTGAATTCCATGGGCAGACGAGGCTCCATGACGATCAGCCCGGTCTTGGAGATGATGCGCTCGTCGGCATCTAATCTCGATCTCCCCTTGTTTCACCCGGCGCCGGACGCTCCGGTGAGTATGCCCCGCACGCCCGTGGAAATATCAGGGCAGTCCAACCCCACGTCGAGGCCGCCGTCGCGGGTCCTAGATGATATGCTTGCGGCAATCGAGTTCTCTGCTGACTACCCCGAAACTCGCGAGAATACGGAAGGAGGCCCGTTGGCACCGCAAGACACGAATGTTTCCTGATTGTTTTGTAGTGTTAATTAGGCATAGTATCGGAGGCAGCATTGGGACAGAGAGTTTTGCAGGTGGAACCTTCTGGGTGCATACATTGCTCGATATATGGCCGCCAAATGAGGCACTTTCATGATTCCACGTTCAAATATGAATACTAATTAGATATCAAATATGTCGCGGTAAACCTGGGTCTATCACGATAGCGTGTGCGACTTATTTTGCATGATTGGACATGGCTAATTATTCCTGTCTGGGATGGCTTTCTGGATATACGACGCATCCCCTGTATTATCGGAGCATGTATGCAGATAGTGGCTATACGTCCCTGGTGAGTAGAGGAGATCTCGTGGACCCTGGCCCAGAAGCTCTTGAGTTTGGTGCGCAACGCTGGAGCCATGCTCGAGGGCAGCCCGCAAGAAGCCAGCAAATGCCCACATAAAGTGCGGGTAATAAACCTGAGTCGGTGCTGAGTATACGAAATCAATTGTTTCCAGTCGTGGAGTATGTGAGCAACGCTGTTGAAGACGAAGGGTCCCGTTGTTGAAGACGAAGGGTCGTAAGCTCATTCCTTAGGGCCAGAGTATAAGCCGGCTGCTAAAGGAATGTATCTGTATTATAGTATCCATTTAACCGGCAGGCAACGAAATGAAAAATCAAAAACAGTTCTGAAAAAACAGGGCCCGAGCTAAATCGGCCATGCAAAGTATTTAAGGACATTCCAGGTCCGGCGACCGTACTAAACTAGTCGCTAGTCGAAAGGACCCGGTCAATCGGGAGATTCCAATTCTGTAGGCTTCGCAATCGTTGAGTCACTGGGGCAACTTTTTTTTTGGTCGCACCAGGCTTCGACTGCGTCTGCCCCCACATTATGGAAATGCTCACGCACCCTTAGGTCCGGGGCGAAGCCGGACCTGGGAATATTTCCCCACCCGCCTAGACGTGCTCAGCGATTGGCGCAACCGCAATACGGTGGGCACCCCTCTTTTCCACATACATATAAATCTCACTTCCATCCTATATAAAGAGTGCCCGGATTCCTTAGCGGATAAAAGCACGAAACAGTAAAACGCAAACCAAACAAAAACAGGAATCCAACCCAGACATTAGCTAATCACCCGTCGTCTGCAAACACATATTTAGCCACACCGCTCACTGCTTGCTTTCATAGGAACAAAATGTCGAGAATTGCCAGAACTTCACAACAGGCCGCCAGAGCCTTCTCCTCCGTGGGCAGAGTCCTCGCAAAGAACGACGCCTCCACAATCGACTCGTTCAAGTTGCCCTCGCAAACATCGATCAACGAGTGGGAGTTCAAGTACGATCTCATGCCGAAAGTGGCCGGGCCCAAAATCCCGCCCGTGAGCCCTGAGGCCGTCAAACAGGACATTGCCCGCACGAAAAAGGAGCAGATTGAACAGGAATTGCTCAACAGAGAATTGCACGCCTCGTTCAAGGTCGAGGCCAACCACGCCAGCGTGCTTCATGGCGGCGAGCCCGTCAGCGCCGAGCCTCTGTACATCCATGAGCGCGGACTGAGTCCCGTGGATGCCTCGACCCCCACTCTGCGCAAGAAGCTGAAGATCGCGAACACGCATAAGTACGTCCAGCTGTCGCTCAACCCCGAAATCAATAATCCTGCCGTTGTCAACTTGGGCCATGAGAACAAGGTCCACCACAAGACCGCCACTGTCGAGGCGCCCCCTGAAGTCGAAGACGCAGAAGCACCCGCCGAGAAACCCTCCTCTTCCGTTAACCCGGCGGCGGTCTTGGGGCTTTTCGGATTGGGCGGCCTCGCTGGCTACTTCCTCTTCAGCGACTCGAAAAAGGCCGCGCGAAAGTAGGCACGTGGCACGTCAGGGTCTTGCAAACATAGTAATAGACGCAACACTTACATCTAGTAAGATATCCCGTAGCCACCCGAGACTGTTGAAATGCAGGTACACGCTCTACAAAGGGCGATGGATCAATAAATATGGTTTTTTGGGGTTGTGTATGCTATGTAAAGTTGTCTCTCTAGTACGAGCGGGCAGCCTCCTGACAGGCCTTCAATTGCTGCAAGTAGTAGTCGCAGATTTGCATGTTACCGCTGTTCTCCTCCAAACATCTGGTGAAGGATCTGGCATCGGAGTCGCAGGTTCTGGCCTGTTCCTGGGTAGATTGTTGTTGGGTGGCGGCGACCTGCTGTTGTGGCTGCTCAGCTGGAGTGGACGAGCCGCCGAACATGGAGGTGATACCGGCACCCAAGGTGTGACCGATGGTCGAACCAACGGCAACACCGGCGGCAGTAGAGGCCATCTGGCCGAACAAGCCTGGGCCTTGAGACGCAACTTGTGGTTGGGCAACAGGGGCAGGTGGGTGTGGGGCAGCGGCGACTGGGGCTGGGGCCGCAGCGGTGTGGGCAGATCTCGTCTGAGTTCTGGGTGCTGGAGCAGATCTTCTTTGTCTAGCCATTTTGTGTTGTGGGTATGGTGGCGACACTGGGATGGAGAAAAGCTTTTTTTATTTATACCCACGCGCAGGGGCGAGCCGACTGCGAGAGCGAGAAAATGTCGTGCCGTGGTCACGAGTCAAAATGTCGCGCGCGAAGCTTACCCCGGAGTTTCATGGCACCTTCCAGCGGGTTCCAGCGCGCGCCCGATTTGGCTTCTCTATATTCTTCGTATTCGCAGCTGGCACGTGGACAAGCTTTGAGGGAGACGACGTGCGCATCGGCCAGAGTTTGGCCAGACTTAGGACCACGTGTTTATGATGTTATCTGCTTCATCTAGCTGGCTTCATCTGGGGATGCTTCGAGATGTCGGGCTGTATGAAGTCGGGCGTGGTTGAAGCAAACTTGCTTGTATGATCTGTAGTATCTTTCAAGGCGGATGTTGGAGGGTCACGACATGCATGAGGCTGTTAAAAGACACAGCTTTCGTTCCGAGCCAGCTGTATAGGAGGATACCATTTATCCTCAGCCTGTCGGACTGGAGTTGACAGCTTTTCAGGCACTGGAACGCGACACCGGAAACATTCCGATACAAGTGTGCCAATCTGTTAATACAAAAAAGTTATATACCCATTTTGTGCTGTATTTCCACAGTATCCAGCTTTCTTTTATGTTTTCCGAGCTTTCTAGAGCAAAGCAGGGTGGGATTGTGTTCTGCTTTGTCGATGTTTTCACGTTGGGCAAACCATTCTATGGCCACGAGCCTTGACCATACTGGCTTTCCCTAATCATCAGACGTATAACGCCCAAACTTCGAAAGTACGGCTTCTAAATTGGATTCAGCAAATACAAATGTGTGAATGACAGAGACTCATGTTGTTACGGGCCAAACTGCGGCGGTTGCTCTCAGTCACATCGAGAAATGGTGCGGAAAACCGCCAATTTATGTATTGCCCTTCAGCCTTTTGACAAGCCGAATCGGGCGAGGCGGTTCCTTCACATAATGGCAAATCAGACCAAGTTTGCTTCAGGCATACGCGATAGGCGGAACGTGCAAAAAACGAGATCTGTGTGTTTCATTTTTTACGGCCTTCCAATTTCTGCCCAAGTACCCCGCTTAATACTCTCCTTCACAGCAAAGCGTCTATTACTTCCCAGAACATGAAATGCGGCGTGTTGTTTAGCAGAGGCATGAGGGCCACACACTCAGCTATTACTTCAAGAAGGATGTATTCGTCGGCACAGCCAAATTTATACCAGGTCTTGGAGCTACTGCCAAATGCTTCTACAAAGGATATTAAAATGAAATTTAAGCGGTTGTCCAAGAAATATCATCCTGATGTAAACGCGCATCTCAGTGACCAAGAGAAGGAGGCAAATAGCAAGAGATTCGTGGAGATGGTGCTGGCATACGACACACTCAAAGACAAGAAGAAACGCAAATTGTATGATGCGACTCTCCTGTCAAGCCCTCGAGGAGGCGGATCGATGTATTCGCGAAGAAAGCCACCGTCAGCGTGGGAAAACGAATATTACGGCGAAGCCAAGCATTACTCGAGGGCACGAGCTTCCGGAAGCTATACCTCTCACGGCTACAACTACACTAGACACAGGGTACACAACTTTTACAGAGCTAGCAATGGAGAAAATGGGTCCCAGCACTTTACGGGCGAGCACAAAAACCGTGGCGACAGATTCGATGTGCCTCATTTTGACTACACTAGCCATCTCTCCAAGCAATTAAAGTTCGAGCAGCGGATCATCAGTAAGCACTTGTCGGAGGCGGAGAAGGAGGCGGTCTTGCGGCAACTAGCACCGGACGGTGATCTCTCCAAGGTGAGCGAAGAGCTCATAACCAAGCATTTGATGAGGCAAGCAAAGAACGAGAATGCAGCCAGGCAAACTCACTCTCACCAATCGGGCGCGGCCAGTAACCCATACATGTACCGAGGGCCACAAAATAGCAACATGGACTCCGAAGAAAGCGGGGTTGGGTTCAAAGCACTAGTGATTGCCGGAGGGGCAGGATCGGCGTACCTACTATACCATTTAATTCTAGCTCAATAGAACACATCGATGATATGGATCCGCCGCAGAACATGCGTGGGAAAGCAAAAGCTATTGAGATCGTCTAGTATTGATCTATAAAGTATACAAGAACAAAGCGGGAGGTAACGAACCGAAGCGTTAGTCCACCGTGTGTGTGATTATGCAAAAGGGTGAGAAGTTGTGGCAGCTTAGCGGGTCTTAACGGTCGACCTCACCAAACACCAAGTCCATGGTACCAATGATGGCAACAGCGTCGGCCAACAAGTTGCCTCTGGAAACGTGGTCGAAAGCACCCAAATGGGCAAAACCAGGGGCTCTGATCTTACATCTGTAAGGTCTCTCGGAGCCGTCGGAAACCACGTAGACGGCCATCTCACCCTTTGGAGCCTCGATGGCGGTGTAGGTCTCACCCGCAGGGACAGCGTAGCCCTTGGTGAAGAGCAAGAAGTGATGAATCAAGGCCTCCATGTCCTCCTTCATCAAGGATCTGGGAGGGGGTGAGATCTTGAAGTCTTCGACCTTGACCGGGCCTTCGGGCATGTCGTTGATACACTGCTCGATGATTCTAAGGGATTGTCTGAACTCGGCCACTCTGCACAAGTAACGGTCGTAACAGTCACCGTTGTAGCCCACGGCCACGTCAAAGTCGACCAAGTGGTAGGCGTCGTATGGCTGGGCTCTTCTAATGTCGTAGGGCACACCGGAACCTCTGAGCATGACACCCGACAAGGCGTAGTTCAAGGCGTCGTCGGCAGTGACGACTCCAACGTCCTGGGTTCTGGCCTTCCAGATACGGTTGTCGGTACACAACTCCTCGACCTCGTCGATTCTGTCGCCGAACTGCGTGGCCCACATGTAGATGTCATCCAACAAGCCTGCGGGCAAGTCCTGCGACACACCGCCGGGTCTGACGTAGGCCGAGTGCAATCTGGCCCCGGAAACTCTCTCGTAGAACTCCATCAACTTCTCTCTCTCCTCAAAGCCCCACAAGAACGGGGTCAAGCCACCGACATCCATGATGTGCGACAACACGGACATGCAGTGGTTCAACACACGCGTGATCTCGCCGAACAAGGTACGGATGTACTTGCCTCTCAAGGGCACCTCGACGTTCAACAACTTCTCCACGGCCAAGGCAAACACCAACTCGTTGGTCATCATGGAGACGTAGTCCAATCTGTCGAAGTATGGCAACGCCTGCATGTACGTCTTGGACTCGATCAACTTCTCCGTGCCCCGGTGGAGCAAGCCCACGTGCGGGTCGGACCGCACGATCTCCTCGCCGTGCAACTCCAAAATCAACCGCAACACTCCGTGTGCGGCCGGGTGCTGCGGCCCGAAGTTGATCGTGAAGTGCCGGATTTTCGTGTTCTGCTTGTCCACGTGCTTGGGGTCGTCGTCCCTGCCCCACGTCATGTCGACCTCGTCCAAGACCTCTGTGAACGTGGTTTTGCTTAGGGTGGTGCCTTCCTCCGAGACTCTGGAGGGCATGTTGCCCATGGCATTGATGTAAGGCTTGACCGGGTCCGGGGCGGCGCCAGCTCTCAAGCGCGGCGCCATGGAAAAGAGTCTGTTTGCCGACAGCCGCGAAGCTCTGGCCAAGTTTCTGTAGGAGAACATGGGTCTTGTGGGGAGTGGAAGCAGCAGGCGTGGAGCGTGTTTTCAGAGCGAGAAAAAAGACTGCGTAGGATTTGAAAGGCGCCCAGTTCATTGGCGGACGCGCACCCGTGCACCCTTGCACCCGTGCGCAGGTCCACGGTCCGCGGTGGCTGCACGCTTGCAGCTATGGAGGAGGGGGCGGCGGAGAGGGCAGCCAGGTGTGCCGAGGAATCGAGGGAGGACACAATCAAAAAAAAGAGACAAAGGGAAAAAGTGATAATGGGAAGCTGGGAAATGGGGTATTGGGAATATGGGATATTGGGAATATGGGAATATGGGATATTGGGAATATGGGATATTGGGAATATGGGAATATGGGATATTGGGAATATGGGAATATGGGATAATCGAAAATGTAGGGAAGAGAAGTGGGTGCGGGATGGATAGGAAAGAGAGGGAACGGAAAGGAAAATCAAAGGGAAAGGGAAAAACGTGCGAGCGATAGAATACAAGGCCTGCGAACAAATAATATATATGGGGTGAGATGGGGAATCTTTGAGAGAGGATAGGGAGCATGTGCGGCGAGAATGTGAAATATGCGAGGGAGCACATAGCTCAGATGTAGAGAGATCCAGACGCAACAAAGAAAGCTGGAGAGGGAGGGCGTAGACATCCGAGACACCAACAATAAGTACAAGATCATGAAGTAGACCAAAGGTGCTGGACAACAATGTATGGCAAGGTTCCAAAAGGAAGAAAACGAACAAGAAACAAGAAACAAAAACAAAAAATGAAATAAATAACAAGAAACAAATAATACAAGTTGGACTGGACACTTTCTTAATTGCGTGGGGCGCGTCAAGTTACCACGGCCCCGACTGGCTGCAAAGTCGCTTTGAAGAGAACTGCCCACGCACACTTACCACAGAATTTGATACCAAAAGTTCACTTTATCAAACTTAACTTACCGGCTGCCCTGCAAGCTGTTTGCTTGGTGACTACTGTCATTGACAGCAACCTGCTGGCAGTTCGGGCTAATTTCACCGCACCACCCCTGACTAGAGCCGAATAAGCGCACAGATCTTCATGTAAGCCTTCATCGCAAGTGAACTCTGATCTCCGGTGTTTCGTGGCCCTCGACACACTCTGTCCATTTGAGCGAGGAATGCCCTCTTTCGTTCACATCTTGAATCTGGCCTGTCTTCTATAAATCAATCTCTTCCTTTTTTTGGACATATTCATCTGATCGGGGAAGGCCGTGATAAGCAGAATGAATTTATTGATCGTTTTGTGAGTGCTAATCATTAGATCTACCAATGTGTAGTTTGGGATTCTACTTAGGTTTTCATGATTTGAGGAACAGAACTACCGACTCCCCAAAATGTACTTTTTTTTCTAAGTGTCTAAATGCGGTCCTTCAGCCTCGAATCGTGGTCTGTCAACTTGAATTTCTTCGGTGTCCGAGTTTAGGATGTTCGATGACTTTGCATGGGTCGCCTTTCACAACGTGAATAAACCATAGCCTAGGCACATTTGCCCACACGCGGTGATCAGAGTCTAACCCCTGTGCAGTTTGGGCCAATAGATGCTCACCGCCCAAACCCCAAATTTCGGTTTAGCCAAGGCAGAAGGTGGATGTTGCTTTGCAATCAAGCCTATGAAGAATAAAGAGCCTAATAAAGAGCCTCATGCTAGGACGTCTCGAGCACCCTAGGCAAAGTATGCACCAGGCCTCTCTTCGTGCACATGAAAACAAATATTATTTAACATTGAATCAACCTTTGATATTGATAAAGGATTTGACTTTTACTTTTAACTATGTTGTACAGAATAATTCGTTCTTAGCCTCAGAGAATTTCACAGAAGATGCGGTGGCTCAATGGTAGAGCTTTTGATTCCAAATCAAAAGGTTGCAGGTTCGATTCCTGTCCGTGTCAATTCTTTTTTGACTTTCTACTTCCACATTTTTTGACTGTAATCTCAGTTCTGCTCTACCCGCTTTCTCACGAATACCTTTCGTCAAACTCCAATGGCAAAAAAGACAAAGAAAGACCCTCCTCCGCCCGACCCAAAAGAGGCCAAGCAGAAGAAGAAGGCCGCGAAGACCCTGACTCCAGAGAAGGAGGACTCGGCTCCTTCGAAACCGCAAAGAGGTTTGGCCATCGGTGACAACTTTGGATGGACCGGAAAACTTCCAGCTACACTTCTCTACGAACACTGCCTGAAACAAAAATGGAACAAGGTTGTCTTTGACATGCGGAAGACAGGAAAGGGCTTTATTGGTGTAGTTGATCTTAGCTGGGAAAACCCCAAAACTAAAGAGGTGATCCATCTCAGATGGTCTCCGGAAACTGATCTCCTCCCACCAAGGGAAACGACTAATGAGGCCCGCCATTTTGCTGCTACATATGCCATGTATAGACTCAACTATGTGAAAAACTTGAAGATGGTGTTGCCCACCATATTCAGAGACTACTGGGCTGATATGGATGCGAAAAGGTTACAGCTTTTGAAAAAGGACAAGATGGCCCATGACAAGTTCTACAATGCGAATCCATTCCAAGTACACTTGGACACTGTTGCTGAGAAGAACCTCCGTGAGAAGGAGAGGAAGCTGAGGGAGAACAGCGAGTCCAAAGTACGGAAGCCCACAGCTAGCATTGGAATCACCGTTGGTTCCACCAATGAACGTTCAACCACGAACAAGAAGCCTAACACCGGAATAAAGCAAAACAGAAGCAAAGTCACGCTTAGACAATTCCCCATCGGCAAAAAAGCCTGGGAGAATGCTCCATTTGTCGACTTCCCAACCGACATTCGAGCTAAGATGGAGTCTTCCATCAAGCATCATATTAACTGGGTGGAAGACTTGGGTACCACTGAGCAAAAAGATTCTTCTTCAGATGGCTGGGCTGACCAATTGACAGATCTTGGCTTCAGGCCCTCCCATGCGAAGGAGGCCGTTTGTCATACGCTCACATTTGTTGATGCATTAGAGTGGTTGTTGTTTCATGTTCCAGAGGACGACTTGCCTGTATTTTTCGCAAAGCGTGACGAAGACAATAGCTTGTCACTCAAGATTTCTACCGACATACAAACTGAGTATTTACTCCAAAGGCTTTCTCTCTCTGGTTTTGATAAAGATGAAATCTTGGCTACTTTTCACGAAAATGGAAGAAGTGAATTACAAACTTCGATTGCATTGACTCACATGACTGCATCCTATCACCCTGAACCGTTCGATTCCACCGGTGACGAGTTTGAAATGTGGCTCATGGAGCTTGAAGGGATCGAGTCTATTGGAAGCAATAGTATTGCCTTCATGGATGATTTGAAACGCGTAGTAACTGTTTTGTTGAACGCGGTAGGAATAACTAAAGGCATGTTGCTGGTGAAGGTCATTTTTGCCAAGGGATACCCCAATGTGTTACCTGGTGTTCAGATAGTGGTGAATGATGCATCTTTTAAGTTGGCGAATTACATCAAGCTATCAATCGTGCGCCAGCTATTAGAATACATCTTAAATGACAATCTTATTGGGCAATGCATGGTCTTTACTATGGTTGAGTGGCTTGAAAACAACGTTGCTAAAGTCATTGAGAACCCGGGACCATTGTTGACTTCTTCACACACACAGATTTCTGGTGACTTCAAATCCTCTCTGAACAATAAAAAGTTGTCTTCCGCCCGCTCAACGTCCAGATCACGTATGCTTCTGAAGTCTGATATTCAAGAATTGCTGCGAGAGTACGAGGAAAGAATTAAACTGGCTCTGTTCAAGACGTCGTTGTCACAAAGACAGAGGCTACCTGCTTGGAAAAAGAGAGACGAATTGGTGAAGATTATCACTTCGAACAAAGTGACATTGATTACAGGCGAAACCGGTTCGGGTAAAAGTACTCAAATTGTTCAGTATATTCTCGATCATATGTGCAGCCTGACTAACTTTGATGGTTCAATCATCTGCACGCAGCCAAGACGTATCTCGACCATCGGTTTGGCAGAGCGTATCTCAGATGAAAGAGTCACAAAGGTTGGAAATGAAACAGGTTATATCATTCGAGGGGAGAATAAAACACTGAAACGGACCAGGCTACTGTTTGTGACTACAGGTGTGCTTTTGCGTATGCTCCAATCCTACTTGTCGTCAGGCAACGCAGCTGATGCGGGAATTTTTGAGCATTTGGAGTACATCTTCATAGATGAAGTCCATGAAAGATCGGTTGATAGCGACTTGCTTTTGATTATTTTGAAAAAAATTATCGGAAAGCTTCCAAAATTGAAAATTGTGCTTATGTCTGCCACAATCAACACGGATGTCTTTATGAACTACTTCGACACCCCAGTGAATCATTTGCACATTGAGGGAAGAACCTTTCCCATCGATGACTTCTACCTTGATACTATTTTACAAGATCTCGACTTTTCAATCCAAACATATGATGGTCAGATCATCAAGCCCAAGGCTGATTCGAATTTTTTTAAAACCGGAAACCTCAACTACGATTTAATTGCTCAACTTTGTCTTTTCATCGATGAAAAGCTCACCAAAGAAGGCAACACAGGATCGATTTTGATATTTTTGCCCGGGATCATGGAGATCAGCAGATGTATCAGAAAAATTGAGAGCGGTTATGCTTCTTCTGGAAAGTCTTGTTGGTGTCTTCCATTACATTCTGCGCTTTCGCTGAAGGATCAAGCAAGAGTGTTCAAAAGCCCACCGAAGAAGACACGTAAGGTGGTGGTCTCAACCAACATCGCAGAAACATCCATTACAATTCCAGACTGCGTGGTAGTCATTGATGGAGGTCGCTCAAAGAGCATGTTCTTTGATGCTAAAGCCAACACTTCGCGGTTGGTCGAAAACTGGTGTTCTAGAGCGGAAATGTCCCAAAGACGGGGTCGTTCAGGTCGTATACAGAATGGTAACTGCTATCATCTCTACACCAGAGAAACGGAGAAAGCTGTTCTAGGACAACCAATCCCTGAAATTCGCAGAACACGCCTTGAGAATTTGTATTTGGTGGTGAAATCTATGGGCATCAAAAAAGTGTCTGAATTTTTGAATAGTGGGCTTGATCCTCCCGAAGAGCAATCTTTAAATAAGGCCAGGTCTATGCTTTTCGAGTTGGGCGCATTAACCGGGGATGACGCGAATGAAGGCTTGTCACACTTGGGAAAGTACTTGTCCTATATTCCCACAGACTTGCAGTCAGGCAAACTTTTAATCTTGGGATGCATATTCCGATGTGTTGAAATTTGCTTGACAATTGCGGCTATTTGCTCTGGAGGAAGTCCGTTCTCCAGCAGTTTTGATATTAAAGATGAAGTTCGCAAAGCAAAAAGCAAATTTGGTAAAAACCAGGGAGATTTGATGGCATCAGCTCTTGCGTACCATGAATGGGAGAGCCTTCCTCATCCGCAGAGAAAGAAGTTCATATCTGAAAACCATTTGTCGTACCTCACGCTTCAAGATATTCAGTCAACGAGGACGCAATATCTACTGACACTTAAAGAAATTGGGTTTTTACCATTCTCCTATCGCTCAAATGTTGAGGGTAAGTTCAATCTGAACTCAAAGAACTTCACGCTCATCAGGGCGATAATCACGGGATCTTTCACCCCACAGTTAGCGAGAGTGCAACTTCCTGATCCAAAGTACGCGCAGACCATAGTTGGTGCAGTGGAGATCGATGCTGATGCCAAGCTGACAAAATTCTGGATCAGAAATGAGAAGTACATTGATCAGTGTAACAATGGAGAGAGCGTCAGTGAAAGGCCTGCCACGCGCGCTTTTATCCATCCTTCTTCGTTGATTTTCTCTGATTCTGGAGCGGGTGCTAGCTTGCCAAATATTGAGGACATGACCTTGGAGGATGGTAGTCTTGATATGGGGAAAATCAGAGAACAGTATGACATGACACCTAGTGCAAAGTATAATTCAAACGCGATGCATAAGTCTCCGTTTGTCGTCTACACATCTTCGAACGAGACTTCCAAATTATACTTGCGGGATATCACTCCAACAACTACAGTCGGTGCGCTTCTTTTCGGAGGAGAGATTCTGTTTGATGTGTCGACTCATATATCCACTGGCAAGCGGTGCCCTGGAATCGTTCTAGACAAATGGATGCCAGTACGGACTTGGTGTAAGAACGGTGTGTTGTTAAAAAGACTTCGAGTTCTTTTGGATCAAGTGATTGAAAATAGATTATCCAATCCTGAGCAAGAGAAGGCTGAAGCCGCAGACGATGAAATACTTGATATTGTCACGAAAGCGCTCACCGTTGAAGCTAGACAAAGATGATAATTTTCTTGAAGATCAATATTTCATCAAAAATCTACAATTAATACATCATTCATAGAACACGTCCTCGCCTCCTTCAATGGAGGAAGAAGCTTGCTTTCGCAGCCGGCTTTGCATGACATTGTGCTACGTGCCACAGCACGTGACCAGACGCAATCAGCGCGTATCTGGGGCAACCATAAACATTTAAAAGTCTTATCTGATCGCGATAAGTAAAATAAAAATCTCAGAGCAGGGAGTTTTCACCAGAGAAAACGCTCACTTTAGACTTTTCTTGTGTCTGTCAAATGGGCAGCTCTGGATTTGATCAGCTGGAGCAATCGCCTCTTATTAGAAATGAGCATGCCAGGAAGAAATACGGAGATCTTCAAGAGTCCACGAATGCAGTGCACAGATCTGAAACTAACGAAACCTCGTCGTCTGTATCACCAATAACTGATGCAGAACGAGGACAACCTGAGGAAGAGGAAGAGGATTTGAAGGACCTTTTGCAAGTAGTGAAAGAGACCGTGCCATTGCACGATGATCCAACCATACCTGTTTTGACATTCAGGTTTTTTATTCTCTCCTTTCTTTTCATTGTTCCCGGAGCGTTTATTGACACTCTTAATAATTTCCGGACAACGGCCGCGGCTTACTCGATCTTCTTCGTACAGATTGCGGCTCACCCCGCTGGAGAATGGATGGCGCGTACGCTCCCCAAAAAACAAGTGAATCTTTATTTCTTTTCTTTTAACCTCAATCCAGGGCCATGGTCTATTAAGGAAACCGCACTAATAACCGTGGCAGCGAAAAGTGGTGCTACAGGCAACTTGGCTACGAATGCGTTAGCATTGGTGGAGCTTTATTTTGGCACCAAAGTGCCTCCTCCGCTTGCCATTTTGTTCATGTGGTCAATTGTTTTCATTGGCTACTCATATGCTGCCATTGCTAAAAACGTAGTTAGCTACGATCCTCAATTTCAATGGCCGCAGTCGCTAATGCAGACTGCACTTCTTCAGAGTCAGGCAAAAGACAGTGAAGAAAAGCACAAAAAAGCTTCAGAAATTGAAGCACAAGCCAATGAGCTTGGTGATGAACGAGCAAGTCTCTTGAAAAAGCAAAATGGTGATAATTTTCCTGATACCAGCGGACATTCTCAAATGACGGTGTTTTTCGTATGCGCTTTTGCACTTGCAGTATGGCAATTGCTTCCCGAGTATTTCTTTCCTTTAACCTCCTCGGTCGCGATTCTTTGCTACATCGCCCCTCGTAACCACAACGTCAACTTTATCGGGTCAGGTTTGGGTGGAATGGGCTTTCTTAATCTTTCATTTGATTGGGCAAACATCACTTCGCAGGTCATGTTAATTCCTTATTGGGTACAAGTTATTCAATTCATGGGATTTGTAATAGGGGCTTGGATTCTCCTCCCACTTGCAAAATGGACGCTGTTGTTCCCCTTCCAATATGGGTTGATGTCGAACCGATTATTTACAGAAACAGGGGAAATTTATCCCACAGAACAGCTAATGAATAATGATGGAACATTCAATGAAACAGCATACGAATCATACGGTCCTGTGCATTTAGGATCACAAAGAGCATGGAACATGTTTTTTGACTACGCTGCATATGTATCTGGAGTGGTATGGGTGGTTGCATTTGCCTGGAACAAATTGCAGGAGAGCTGGAATGGCACTCGGGGCCAGTACAACGATCGTCTCAACAAACTTCACCGCGCTTATGACAACGTGCCTTACTCGTGGTATGGAACGATGTTTTGCATTTCCATGTGCGCTTTGGCTTTAATCCATCAATGTGGTTACTTGTTCACTCCATTGTGGACTTGTATTGGAGCTCTTATAATGGGGTCTATAATTGTTACTCCTTTGATGTGGTTGTATGCTTTGTCCAATTTCCAGCTTCCAACTGGAACGTTCAACGAACTACTTTATGGCTACATTGTGCAAAACAAAAGCCCGAAACACCCCGGAGGGGCTGCTTTTTTCGGCTGTATAGCGGGAAACGCCTGGTACCGTGCCCAGATTCATTTAGAGCTGATGAAACTAGGATTCTATAACCATTTACCGCCCAAATCAGTTTTCTTCGCACAGATCATGGGAGAATTCATTGGAGTTCCGGTAAATTATATGTCTTTCCGATGGGTTTTATCCACAAAATGGGATTACCTAGTTGGGAAAAAGACAGACCCACTTCACCAGTGGACGGGACAAACAGTGGTTTCCTATCACACCAACGCCATTCTCTATGTTGTTTTAGGGCCTCGGAGGCTTTTCCTGAAATACCCTGCCCTTCCATATGGATTTCTAGCGGGGCTTTTCGCTCCTTTAGTTGTTTTCTGCCTTCACAAGAGGTTTCCACGAAGCAAACTTAACTTCCAGCTTTGGAACACAACAGTGTTATTTTCCACACTTAGCACATTCTACGGAAATGTATCAACAGGATTTCTTTCCAAGTTTATTGGAGGAACTTTCACCATGTTCTATGCGTATAGACACAAGCATGCCCTTTGGAAAAAGTACAACTATGTGGTTGCTGCTGCGTTGGACACCGGGTTCAACTTGTCGATGTCCTTCATATTTATTTTGGTTTCTTTGGGGATCAACGCCCCAGTATGGTTTGGAAATAACCCCCAAAATGTTGAGCGATGCTTTGCTTTATGATTAAATTTCTCAATTTAGAACCTGAGTGTTTTATTTGGTAATGTGCCTTACCTTTTAAGTGGCGACAGCACATGACCGAGCCCCCTATATACATGTGAACAGTCTGTTCCCAATGACCGAGTACAAATAACAACTGTTCTGGCATTGAAAGATTTATGGACAGTAGACGGTCTGAGATACATCACAACGTCCTGACAGCATTAGTTAGATTCTAGAATATTTACCACCCGACTAAGTTTTTTTTATTGAAAATGAGACAAACCAAGTCTGAGCGTTGGTCTGTGGGTGTTTTCATAAACATCAGTGAGTCACTAGTTTGAGATTCTTTAATGAATGTGAACATGTATTAACTTTGATTACTGTGACTTTCTAGCTCAGGTGAAGCATTGGTTTTGTTTTTCCGAGAACACAACGAACGAATAAAATAATTTCTTTGGAGATTCGAAGGAAGGTAGACCGAAAAGCTAGGTGCAGAAAGGTATGAAAGCGGAGAATTCAGCACGCCGGTATTCGGATTTCGTGAAGCAAGGAAGCAAGACTCAGGGCAAGACTTATAAAAGCGAAAGCACTGCCCTACGTTTCAAAATCCGCAAGCCAGTGAAGATATCACGCAGCCTGAGTCTTCTCATATATGGCCTTACAGATGAGTAAAGTTCTTTGATATGGAACAAAATTCGACTTTGGCTGGGCAAGTGAGTAGCTGGACCCAAGTTAATTCAGTGAGAGAGCACATAAGAATATACCTTTTGAAAAGACAAAAACAAGAAACAAAAAATACAAAAAAACAGAGAATCCGTTGCTAGACTGTAACATTGTGATGCTACATACAATGTAAAAGGCCAGAAACCAGAGAAAACCCGTATTGAGCTGGAATATTATTTAGGCGACGCTGTTCGACCAGTATTTGTATGGGTTCCCTCATAGAAGACTGATGCTTATTCCAGAAAGCCATGGAGTGCACTGGCACTAATGTGACTCCAGCCCCTCATGATATCAAGCAGCACTACGAGAAGCATCATCATTCCAATTCTCCTTATACCTGGTCATTCAATCTATCAATAATACCTCTGCGTCTCTCTGGCCGCGACCTTCACGCACCGGCCATACTAACCAACAAGCCAGCAACCACCAGATCACCCACCAGCAAAACACCCACCACCAAAGCAGCCAGAAATCTTACCCCAATGGAGCAGCCATATCACACACAGCAACACCAACAACTCAAGAAATAAACCACCAGCCGCAAAACGCCGTACCGCCCCCATCCCGGGCCTGGAGAAACAGGCCTGCCGGAGCACCCGTACACCACGCAACATCTCAGTGCAACAACCTGATGCTGTAGTCTCCCTCCAACTACTAGTCTGTCCGCACAAAGAATGAGTCAGGCGCTGCCCAACCCCACCCAGCAGAACATTATCCAGACGATCCAGCCGGCACAAGCCACCAGGCTCTTGGAGGCGCTCAAGGAGGAGCTAGCCAAGGCCAAGGCTGCGGGACCAGACACGGCCAGGGCAAGACAGCATTACGCCCGGGCCGAACAAATCAAGCAGGTGCTTGTGAATTACCGCCAGCAGCAGCAACAAAGACAGGCGGCCGCGGCTCGTGCAAACACCACGGGCGCGTTTGTGGGCCCCGGCCCCGGGTCCGCGCCAGGCATGGCCCAGCAGGCCGGGAATGTGCCTGGAAGTGCCCCTGCGCACGCCAACCAGGCCCAGTTTCACAGCAGCACCGCCGGCTCGCGCCCAGGCGCGACCGGGTTTGCGTCGGGCGCGAACACCGTGGGCAACACGGGCGCCATCGGGGGGCCTGCGGGCGGATTGGGCCAGAACACCGGGGCCTCGGCTCCTGGGGCTGGCACCATAGCTTCACAGCAGCAACAGCAACAGCAACAGCAACAGAGATCCGGCATATACGCGTCTTCCCAGATGCCCGGCGGGCTTTCCGACGCCGGCGCCTCGCAGCAGAGACCGCCGTCCGTGGCGCCCGGGGTCACGACCGAGAAGTACAACCAGGTGCGCACCCGGCTCCAGGACTTGGAGCGCAAGATCCGCACACTCGAGGCCGGCAAGCGCCCGGACATGGGCGCGGACGAAAACACGCAGTTTGACAACCAGCTCCGCGAGCTCAAGTTGAAGTACGCCCAGTACTCGAAGTTTGCCTTGTACATGAAGAACCAGTTGCTAGAACAGGCCCGTTCCGGCGCGGCCACGGCCCCCATGGGCACGAGCCCGGCGGGCACCAAGCCCGGCACCCCCGCCGTGCCGCCGGCCGCTCACACGGCCCATTCCGCGGGCACCCCGGGCCAGTCCATGCACACGCCAGCAGTGACCAATGCGCTGCAGGCAGCCAACAACGCCAACGCAATGCAGGACCACAGCCAGGCGGCGGACCATGCGGCCAAGTCCGCCAGCGCCGGTGCAGCACCGGGCGTGAAAGCTGCCAGCAGAGGGCCGTCGCCCTCCGCGAAGGAGCCCTCCGTGCCGGGCGTCAACCTCTCTCTGATCACCAAGCCAAGCGTGCCGTCCATTCCAATTTCCAGCACCATCAATGTGAAGCCGCACAACCCCATCACGTTGAAGCCGGGCGCCAACAACGTCAGGCCAACGTTGACCGCGGGCGGCTCCTCGGGCTTGGGGCAGGTGGTCAACTCGCCTGCGATGATGCGAATGCCCACGTTCGACATGGCGTCCACTGGCCCCATCCAGGACAACGGTGGCCGCGTCTTGACGAAGAGAAAGTTGACGGAGCTTGTCAACACCATAGGCGCGGACGAGGGTGACGGGAAGACCACCATTGACGGCGACGTCGAAGAGTTGCTCCTAGACCTTGCAGATGAGTTTGTCAGTTCCGTCACGACCTTCGCTTGCAGGTTGGCCAAGCACAGAAAGACCGACGCAATCGACGTGCGCGATGTCCAGCTCCACCTCGAGAGAAACTGGAACATCCGCATTCCGGGCCACGCCATGGACGAGATCCGCAGCATGCGCAAGTGGCAGCCAAACTCTTCATACACACAGAAGGTGTCCGGCGTGGATATAGTCAAAGCTGTCAACGGACCGCTAAACTGAACCGTGACGGTCTTGTTTAGAAATCGAGGATGTAAAATTACGTATTCATAATGGCTCACTTGTGAACTGCTTTGTATACATCGCCGATGCCAGATAGAATGCCCTTGCCGACCCAAAACTTCAATGCCTGCGACGCGGTATAGCTGGACATCCGTGTCGCCAAGGAAATCGTCAGCAAGGCCATTTCATCCATGTCATCGTGGAACAACTCGATCACGGTTGCCTGTGCGGGTGTCACCTCATATTCCTGTGAGCCATGCTCACACAAAAGCTCAACAGTGACAGTTCCCAACGAAGGTATCAATGCCAAATCACGGCCGGGCATAAAAGACCTGAACGAGCCGCAATAAGCCTCGAACCCATCATCCACAGGAACGTTGAAATAGTCATTGTCTGACAACGAATCTGCAACTGTGGGCCAGTAGATTTTAGAAAGAATCGTGAGCGAGAGTTGTTCATGCATGACTCTGGAGTTGATTGCGGCACTCTCTTGTATATCCCTAACCATGACGTCCAAAGTGGCAAACTCATTCACTCCAAACCTCGCTTTGAGTAATTCAACGTGGTTTAAGATATCCATTACATTGTATTTGCCCCATTGGAGAAGACGGTCTCCAAACAACCTGGTAAACTCCTCGACAAACACGCCCAGCAGAGAGAAAATACCAGTAAGAGCTTCTACCACATCCAAGACCCTTCCCTTCTTAAAATCGGGCAAAGCATCAATGGGGTCCGGATACCAGTTCAAATCGGTTAAGTCATCGATGGGTGCAGAAAATGGGGTGATGCCCTTGTTGAGCTCTTGCGCCAATTCTACCAACGGGTTTGTCTCGGGGTTCAAATCAAGCATACCTCGCACCAACTGCGGTACTAGATCCATCCGTGACTTGAGATATTTGCGAATGGGACGGGCCACCTTGTCAAGAAGAACACCTGTTGGATCCACCAACAAGAATGACTTGATGGTTTTGATATAAACCTGGGTGATGCCGGTTGTATTTGATCCCAGGTGAAGCAACCGTGCTTGGCACTCATGCGTGAAAGTGTCCACTAGTTTGGCTCGATGTTGTGCCTGACTTCCAGAGTCAAGGGATAAGCACAGATGTAGTTCACCAAGGGCAATTTCCGATTGCGGGAAAGCCACCACCATGCTGAAAATCTCCGAAATCCGAAGCGAGATCAACTCGTCGCGAGCATTCCGCACAAGATCGTTGCTAGAGGACGATGTTAAATCCACACACCCCAATGCAAATATGGGGTATAAGTCCACGCGTACCCACTCTTCGATTTCCACGAGTAACTGCTTGTCCCACTTCCCTGAACAAACCGAAGCGATGTGCTGGCTGATCTTCTTCGCCGAGATCCGCACAGCGGTTTCTTGAATGATGGGCTTCATGCCAATAGCAGCCAATATGTTAAGCCAAGTTCTTGACTTTTCATTGTACAGTGAGCTGAGAATATCGTCTAGCAGCAGAAGAAACTGTGACCGGTTCAAGCACCGAAGAAAAAGCGAAGCGAGGCCTCGCGAAAACACGTCGGAGGCAACCAGAGAAAGATCTAGTAACGAGATCTGGCGGCGATAGAATGAGCTCAAAGTCGCCACTTGTTCCACAATGGATATGAACGTGTTGGAGGCCACAAACGGCTCGAAATGATGGTGGAACTGCACGCTGATAGAGTTCAAGAAAAGACGGACAAACTCCTGATGCACCAGTTTGTCCCGTAAACACCGTCTTGCTGCAGCACGCACTCTTGCCAGTGGTTCGACAGTTTCTGAGCCGGCTAATGGATAGTATGGCAGGAGCCAGTCTAGGAGCATCCCAAGATCGTTTTCCAAATCGTGGGGCTCGGCTAGCAAATCCGTAAGGGTTTGTGATGGACACAACGATTTAAGCACGGCCGGCGTGAGCTTCACTAATGGAACCATGGTGTGTGCTTGAAGGTTTGCCTTGTGTGATTCAGTGTGGTTTGCAAAGGCAGGATATGACAGTTTCTGAGACCACACAAAATGAGGGTCAGAGGTCTCCCAATTCTTAAAAGGCGATTGCGTCTAGAAGAACCGCGTGTTTTGAATATGTGTCTGCGAATGCTTAGTATTCGCTCAAAAGCTATAGGCCCTAATGCTACCCAGACTTTAAATACATCATGTCGCGCATACATCTGCCTGGTGCATGGCCAGCTGGAAATTACTGGCGAGTCTGGGGCCACCAATTGGAACAGCCAATATAAGATTTTTGTTGAATCTTTCATTGGTGGGTTATCTACGAAACGGCAAAATAAACCAACTCACTTATTTTTAGTTTTTGGACTTTGGTATTTTCCGGCCGTATGTGCACCGGATCTGTCGCCAGGTCGCCCGCACTGGGTCCGCTCAATCGAAAGGTTGTCGCAGGCTTTAACCGTTATTGGACATTGATCCGAACCCGCAAGGCATATCCTGGAAGATTGGACCACCGCAGCTGCCTCAGCATTCCGTATCTGAAAAACCCATCAATTATGGTATGTGATGTTTTCATAAAGCGAGCTATCTATTCTTTCGTTAGATTTTTCATCGCACCTGTACTGACCACCAGCCTTCCAGATCCGAGTTAAGAAAACAATTCTGTAACATCACCAGATCCTCGACGGAAGTAGCCACGCATTTCCTAGAAAACAACCAGTGGGACGTCAGTCGGGCTGCTCATGCCTTTTTTGATGATGCTTCCAAAACCCTGGATGCGATTCCCTCGGAAGCACTCGTTCACTTGTTTGACAAATACAAAGACCCTCAAAATGAGGCCATGCTCCTGATTGACGGTACCCTAGACTATCTTAATGATCTCGAGATAGAGCCGGAGGATTGCCGAAGCTTGACGCTAGCATTTCTCTTGGATTCCCCGCAAACTGGCGAATTCACCCGCAAGAGCTTCCTCACATTCTGGGCCCTGGAGTGCATCACATCCCTTGCGGAGATGCGTGCTTTGATTCTAAAGTGCCATTCCAGCATAATGAAATCTCCTACTGAGTTCGAAAAATTCTACCAGTACTGTTTCAATTTCATACGTGGATCCGATTCGCGCATCAAATCCATCACCCATGAAGATGCTGTGTCTTACTGGAACTTGCTTTTTGGAGAGTGTGCGTACTTGGAGCCATGCTCTGAGAGACTCAAACAATGGTACGAATTTGTGGGCTCATCGAAAAGACCGGTCAGCAGGGACACGTGGGTGATGTTCTACAAGTTTCTCATTGAGGTGATCAGCAAGGATCCTGCGCTGCTCTCTGGGTATGATGAGATGAGCTCGTGGCCAAGTATGGTTGACGAATTCATTGAATGGCTATATGAACATGGTCACCTTGAGGCGAAGAGTGAAGATTAAGCAAGTTAGTTTTATTTCATGACTGCCTATATTATGCGCTGGCAGAAAACATGTTGGGAAATCTATGAATTGAAGGCATATTTCTTGAAGGATGTTATAGAATCAGTTAAGAAGCTGACCTATGCTTGGTTTTCGCAACAGTAGTAACATTCTCGACGCGTTCTCGAGTTTGTCCACCTCCGTGTTGCTTAATTCCAAGTGACCTGGCTGTCCATCCACGTTGGCAATGAGATTATTAGGTGGCACCTGGCTTTTGAAATACATCTTGCGTGGGTAGGCCTGGCCCTGGCCCATTACATCATTGTTCATAGAAACGCTTTCCGGAGATATCAAACCACAGCACCTGGCATTTGTCGATGTCAATGCAGGGTCAGGTAAGGAAAACATATTCTTTTTTATCAGCGTCTTGATGGGTATGGTGAAGGGAGATGTGGAGGTGGAAGTATCATTTGAGTGGCCACTGGGATTGGCGAACAGAAATGACTTTCCCATGAACCCGGAATTGAGAGTGGTGCTTGTAAGCGGTTCTGCGTGGACTTGATAAGTCTGAAGGTTCGTGGAACATATTGATGAGGAGAGGCGGGGCTGCCCGTTGTCTTCACTCTTGTGTTTCCCGAGCATGGTAAGAATGGGCGAAATTTCAGCAGCTTCTTGCGTTGCGGTAAGCTGGTCCGTACATTGATCGATTCTGGAGTTCCACGAGATATAGTCTGCACCTACAGCGGCTTTTGCTTCTGTATTTGCTTCTTCTGCACCCTCCTCGGTTTCGGCAATTGACAGGGCAGTGCTGTTCAAATTCTGAGACATAAAAGTAGCCTGCCTATCCACATTGTCGCTTTGAGAAGCACAACGAGATGCAAACTCATGGAAATCGAATTCCTGGTCAATGTTGCGGTATTGGTTGACGTCGAGGGGTATATCTGCGAACGAAATGTCGAATTCAAAGTCCTCCATTGACGAAGAGAGCAAACTGTGCTGCTTTTGCAAAATGTGATGCAAATACAAGATATACTCGACGGCGGTTTTCAATATGGTAAGCTTGTACATGCCGTCGATTTTGTTTGCATTGTTGCTTGCTGCACTGACCCTTCGAGAGCTGTGATCAGCAGTCCGACACGCTGGAATTAAGTACTTGAGGGCCTCAAACTCGCGGTTGATCTTGATACGCCTGCGTTTCTCAATCATGGAGTGAAGCTGTTTCGTTTCAGTGCGTCTCTTGGCCAACTCATCCTCACCAATTGTTGAAGAAGACCGCCTTCTCTTTTTGCGAGGCTGCTCTTCGTTAACTCCAAGTGAAAACGAGACTAATGAGTTCTTGGTATCGCTTGCATAGTCATTGGAGAGCACCTCATAGTTGTTGTCCTCCGGATCTATGTCTTTGTTCAATTGAATGATGGTAGTTTTTAGCTTAGGGGGTGCAGAAAGTTGCATTTTCGAACGCGCCATTTATCAAAAATAAGCTCAACGGGCGAGCAGTGGAGATTAGTGGTATATATTAATGTAATCCGTAGCCTCGAGCACGTTTTGCGACCACGTTTTCGAAAGTGAGATAAATAAATCGATGTCACACGATATGAGATGGACGGTGCGATATCAAGAAGAGAAATACCAGTAGTGCACAGTTTTAAATTAGGCGTTAGACAACGATATCAGGCATCTCCAATTAATTAGGTTTCTATGCAAATTCGAAATCCCTGTGATTAATTGCAGTGACGCACGTGATGCGGTATACCGGAACACGTGGGTCCATGTGGGGACATGTATTGAGTCGCGCGTTTTGAGTACGCGAAGTCGAAGCTTCTCTTCAGCTTATCACTAGATCTTTGCAGATTTAGGAAGGATATCAGAACAAGAAACTGGCATGACAGCAAGACTCAAGTAATTGGAAATAATATATATGTTAAGTTTAATATTGTGTCCCCAATAGACACGTATGACGGGATCGTGGTGTCTTGGCAGGCCAAGCACTATCTCGAATGTGACGTCAAAATATAAAAGTGCTTCTTTATTGACGCAATGTGCAGTGTCAGATACTGAGCATTTTCCACATTCGCAAGCCTGTCAAACATCCAACATATTCTCTCTGAACTTTTCGATACACCGGTCGACCATCAAAATACCGCCCTCAGAAACTTTCGAGAAATCTTCATGGTAGGAGATCACTACATTCATTCCCCCCTTGGGAGTACTGATCACCGATAAAGTGATGTGAGAAAATGTCACTCCCTGACTGAACACCACGTCGGTCACGTGCCATTTTCCGGCACTAATATCCACCCGGCCCAAATTAGAAATTTCGAATGTCTGTCTTTCTGCTTTGTCTTCAGCATATGGTTTCATGTAATTCCATATGTTCAAAAGTTGGAGAAGACCCGTCTTGTAGAAGGAGTGTCTATTTTTCATAGCCTGTGAAAGACCTTTTTTCAAAACTTCGGTGGCATCCTTTGTGGACAAGCCAGGAGCAATGTAGGAGGTGAAAGCAGAGAAAAAGAGCCCGTACCTTGTGATTTGCTTTTCTTTGGGGAAGTATCGTCTCCCACAAATAATCAATTCACATGACTGAGAGAACGTACCCAAATGGGCCGTGAAAGATGTGCCAATTGCCAGATAGAGTCTGGCAGCCATCATCGGCGTCAATGTTGTTCTTTCTTGCTTGCAGTGTGTCAAAATCAAGCTGACTTCTTCGCGACTAAAATGCACGATCCGGAAATTGGCCTCGTTCAGTCCGTTGAAAGGCACTAAATTGAATGGTGGATGCTGGTAGAAGTTTGGCGATGACGGCCATACGTAGCTGGAAAACAATTTCAGGACGAATGAAGGAATCAACATTTGAGAGGCCAATGTTGAAAGCTTGAACCAAAGTGGACTGTCGTATAAATTGGTGACGTTTTCACTTGAATCCCTCAATTTGCCAGGTGAATCTACTTCAGAGTCGAAAAGAACTTCGGCGACATCCGAAAGCGTATAACCCGACACAATGTCTATAGTCTTGACGAGATCATCAAAAAAGTTGACAGCAGAGCGCCCATCAAACATAACGTGGTTGCAGGCGAATGTCAAGTATTGATCACCAGATGACTCTACAGAGATACGTGTTAGATACCACCCTGGCTTCCCCCGGTTGACTGGTAATCTGACTCTCGAAAGGTCTTCCAAAACTCTGGCATCAAAATCCCTGACGGTCTTTCGGTAAACGAGTTTTGAGAACAAGAGTCTTTTTACAGGCCGTATATGATAGTTCTTACCATCAGCGAGAGTATCTTCGGAAATTGTGACTTCAGGTTCAGAGAGTTTTAGTGACCCAGGAGAATCGGGGGTTTCGCTCAAAGATTCCGTATCTGGCTTCACTTCTTTGTCTTCTGAACGAAACGCGTTCACTGTCAAGTACGGACAAGATATAATCACGCGTCTGAGAGCATGTGATAAAATAAGATCGGAGACGGGCTCATTTAATTTCACCGACATGTTGAAGCCGCGGCCCATTATACCTGTGGTGTCTCTACATATGTAGTACCTTTCCAAGAAGCCAGGGGCCCTGGAGACTGGGAGCTCGGACATCTAAATTATTCGAAACGTGTTTCTGGCCCGTGTTTTGCCTGATGAGTAAGCACTGTATATGTCAGCTTTTCCGATAAATAATCAAAGAACGAACGAAATTGATACGTGGGGAAAGAACGAACGCCTGCAAAATTAAAAACACTGTCTTATCTCGTGAGTTTCAAATTGCAAGTTGCTATCGCGATAGCGAGTTCGACGACCAGCGGATGGTCACATCGCACATAACCATGCACTTCAATCGTAATAATTGACATGGCAACGTAGCCGGAATTGTGAAGCACATTTATGGACACACTAAGTCACACTAGAGCCATATTAATTTTGGTTGACACAAAGAAGGAAAGAAGTAAGAACCTGGCAATTTTGCAGAACATCACTCATGAGGATCAACGACACAACTAAGTTTGCTGTTGTACTAGGTCGGAATATATATGGACTAACAAGATTCACTGTTTATGAAGAGTTTTTAAATACCACATATAATTAAAAAAAAACAAGCTTTTTTGAGTTCTTGCAAAGTTTAGCATAGCCACGACTCCCTCAACAATTTCATGCATTGAGCTGCCTTTAAAAGACATAAATGATCACATAAAGTAGAGTAGGTATTTTCGGGGACATTTTGCTATCAAAATTCACAATAATTCTGTTGTTATAAACACTGCATGGTACGAGGTCTTTTAATATTGTCGCATACTTCCTGCCAGCGTTCCAGATGAAGATCAAGATTCATAATTGATCCTAGGGTAGCTCAAGAAATGATATCACTATTTAGAAATCAAGAATTACAGGAAGAAACGCTTTTTGTTTGCTTGTAAGTCATTCCATCACATTTGAGTTTTTCTATGAGCTTTTAATTTTGCTGTGATCGTAAATTCTTCGTTCTTAAAGATACTCTGAACTAAAAGCGAAACCAAAAGAAAGAAAGCGGATTGTGGATTTGTAAGATCCGCCTACCAATGCAGATCTATCAATGTCATCAAGAATGCCGTGAATTCCCTTCTATCACAAATTAATCCATGCACAGAGGCTCGCATCGTAACATTTAACAAACGCACTAGTGACCACGCCGCAGGTAAACCAGTGCGCATCACAGCTTTGTCAAGTGCTGAGCGCATCGCACCTACGCCTACTCACCAGAACGAATTAGCATACTCTCATTTCTGCACATATATCATGTCTAATATAATAATACCCGGAGACTCTCTATCTAGCCACTTGAATGAGGAATCAACCATCACTATAGGGCCTGGGATCTACAAGAACCCGAGGACCCAGGACATCATTCCTCTGCAAGCAGGCTTCCTCAAAGACGAGACAACCAGCAAGAAGAACAAAGAACAGCTAATCTATATTGAATCAAACTCAAAAAGATACATTCCCCAGGTCAACGACTTGGTTCTTGGTATTGTCACGGGTAGTTTTTCCGAATTCTTTAGAGTACAGCTCCAAGAATACTCCCAACCAGTCCAACTTTCGATGATGGCTTTTCCAAATGCCACGAAAAAGAACAGACCAAACTTGAAGGTAGGCCAGGCAGTATACGCACGTGTCTCGGAAGCTGTGCCCGAGGTTGTGACCGAAATTGAGTGTATTGACCCGGAAACCGGAAAAGAAGGCGGCTTCGGTCCGCTAGATGAGAGAGGCTACATCTTTGATGTCAACCTTAACTTTGCTCGCGAGTTGCTCTTCAACAAGAGCTTTGTTGTTTTGGAAAAGCTTGCTGCCAAAGTGCCTTTTGAGATTGCCATCGGAATAAATGGAAAAATCTGGTTAAAGTGCGGGGCAGACGAACCCGAAGAGCAGAACGAGGATGGAGATATCGAAATGAAGGATTCTGCCACCGTTACTTTGAAGCAAATCAAAATCACGTTGGCTGCTGCGAAATACATCATTGCGTGTCAGCATATTCCGCAAGAAAGGGTCGATGCAGAATTGAAAAAGGCATTGAAGGGGGCTTTGTAGGCCGAGTGACCAAAGAAGCTGAGAATATTTGTCAATTAGCCAGAAGATTACATAGAGCTTTTGAAGTGATGAGTCAAGATAATTTTATTCGTACTTGTCTATGTAGCCGTCTCGCGATAATAGCAATGCTGCAGGGTCGCGATGAGACAGTGGAAAAAGCCAATTTAGGCGATCTGTCTGGACTCGATTACTGCAAAAAGTACAGACATCCTTTCCACCTCCTCCTAGATTCACCATGGGGATTGCTGATCCTGCTGCTGTGGCGGCACAGAACCGGAGAAAAATCGAAAAAGATAAACGCAGAAGAAATTATCATGACTCACAAGTGCAGGGCACTAACAACTCGTCCATCGTTTCTAAAAGATCGGTCGAGAAGATATACAGTCCGATCACAGAGCCAGAATCAAAAGAATGGTTCAAGTTTTTTGTCCCAAAGGGAAAGAGAAGATCGCCAGCCATTAATAGGGGATACTGGGTACGCATGGAGAGCATCAAACAGGCAGTGCAACGCATTCGGAACCAATACGGAGGCACAATTAGAGTGGTGAATTTGGGGTGTGGCTTCGACCCGTACCCATTCAAAACCTTAGCGGAGTCAGGAGATGCTTTCGAATTTTTTGATTTCGACTACCCGGATCTTGTAGCCAGAAAGTTGGCCTTGATCAGAGATGCACCTGAAATCATGGACGTCATTGGGGCAGAGGAACTGATACTCCCAGAACACAAGAGCTTGGGTGTGGTCATGTCCACGGCCTCGTACAAACTAGTTGGCTGTGATCTCAAAAACACTGCCTTATACCAAAAGCAGTTGAATACTCTATTGCACTCCGGGGTGGCCACAGTGTTCATAGCAGAAGTATCCCTTGCGTATATGAAGCCTGAGCATGCAAACCCTGTGGTACAGATCCTGTCACAGTTACCAAATTCACATGTCTTGGTTTTGGAACAAATCATGCCATCGGGCGACTCCCACTTCTTCGCCCAAAAAATGTTGTATCACTTCAGTCACCTAAGATCACCGTTGCAGTGCGTGGAGACATATTCCACAAAGAGAAGCAAAAGGCGAGATTCCAGGAGTACTTCCCCCAAGTGGAAATTATTGATCTTTTCGAGAGTTGGAGTCAATTGGTGTCCTCAGACATGAAAAAGCTTGTCGCCGAAGTGGAAGATTTCGACGAGTGGGAAGAGTTTATCGTTTTTTGCCAGCATTATGTGGTGATCCACGCCACCAACAGCGAAAAACTAATTTTTGAAGCCACGCAAGAACCGCCTGCTTTCGATAGCATAGAACCATTGAAGATCTCTGTCATGGACAATCCTATCAATACCAAATTCCCAGCTTGTACAGCCACACAAACAAGAACTTATGTACACGGCGGAATGTTTCAAACCAGGTCAGACGAGCTTATTTTTCTTGGGCAGAACACACCCGTTTTTCACGCAGAAGAAGCGGATAAGCCATCTGCCCGGATGTGCCACACCTTGAGTGATTTGGGCAATGGTAATCTACTTTTGATTGGTGGGCGTACAAGGCCTGGTGTCGAGCTTGACGATGTGTGGGTCTACCAAGAGAGAAAAGAAACCTGGAGACTAGTGGGTGACATTGGAGAGAAAATGGCAAGACATTCTGCTGTCAGTATTGAGAAGGGGAAAGTTCTTGTTTTTGGCAAAGGCAAGTTCAAGCTTGTGAATTACGTGGAAGACGTGTTCAGTGTCGTGGATTTATCCTCTACAGGAGATGTACCGGTTCTCTCGAGTTGTGGTGTAAGTTACAATTCCAGCAGTGGGGTGGGCTACATAGTCGGAGGAACCTTAGAGGAGACAGGGCCAACAATCAGCGAAGAGCTATTCTCATTCAGAATCAGTAATTCCGGAGTGTTTATGCAGAGCGAGGGAACGAGTGCGCACTTTGCAAGAATAGGGTGCCTTTCCAAGATTGAAGATGGCCAACTATACATATTGGGAGGGGCTGGCCATACCCTTCAAGACCAGAATTCGACAGTGGTCAAATACGATCCTTGCCGGAAACGCTTTTGTGGCATGAGATTCCCCGATACTATATGGAAGACATATCCCCTATTTATTGGGAGTCAACTCGCAGGAAACGCTGTTGTGGGAGGCGGTGCTGTGTGCTACTCATTTGGAAGCTGCTATAACAACGGTTATCTTCTTGGGTAGTTTTTTATATATAAAGGCAAGTTTTCTACCCAGCATGGGAAAAAAAAATAGATCATTTTGGGTCAGAATGCATAGTTTATGAATACGAAATAGTGATATGCTCTGGGATAGGTGCGGAATTTGCACCCATTGTCCGTAGAGTGATATTTGCCAGACTGGAGACAAAGTGCGAACCGAGAAATGATGAACCAAGATCGATTTCACATACCTGAAGCATCTTCCCCGGCACAAACTCTATTTTTCCGAGCCACAAACTATCCCAAAGAATCAGAAACATTCACTTCAGAGGTTCACCAGAGCTGAAAAAGCACGACCCTTTTACAGTGAGTTCCATCTAGTGGAGGCGGGAAGCAGCGAAGCTAGTCGAGCTTCTGACGGCAGTGTTTTAAATGTTGTGTCAGATCATGCATTTGAAAGAGCATCAAAGTCTCCAAACCATGGACCGTGTTCCATCTAATCCCAATACTCCAGCGCTCCAGTCACTACATTTTCATCAGCAGTTGAGCGACTGCTACTGCCCATTAGGGTTCCCGGTGCATCCGATGTACGGGATAACCTGGGATCTGCACGTTAAACAATGTGCAAGCCATGCGTGTAGTGCCAACACCTCAGCCCCAGCGCAAGGAAAAGAGGGTATACAAGAACATCAGCGAGCGGACCGTCATGGCGATGAGCAGTACGCCTGTACCTCGCGATTGGCATCACGTGATATGGGGTGCAGGGCGCAAGTCTGGCTGGGAAAAGGCCGGTGCTCGTAAATAGCGACCCGATGGTCGGCTCACATCAAAACATGACTCATTTGCATGGTCACACATTGCTCTTTTCCGACAACACAGATAGATGGGCCTTGCGTGAGCCGACCTGTTAATGTCAAAAAGTAAGAATCGGCAGGCAGGCTCCCTTCTCCTTATCCCGGCTTTCAGATTAGACTTCGCGCACACTCACGCCACTCTTAGAGTCTGCATCGCCTGAACCGTCGCGGACCGGCCTGGTCCTGAGTGTAAGCATGATCAATCCAAGAGCAAAAAAAAAAACGGAAATCCGAAAGGACGGCCAGGATTTTAACCGAAACACCAACGAGTGCAATACGAGGGAGTCGTACTGGAATGATCGAGATGCTTTTGCAACGGTCCCCGTCCGGCTGCTAATTCGGAGCCTCGCCCCCCTGGATGCCTCGTTTTGCTATCTGAAGGAATACCTTAATGTTCTTTGCTGAAGCAAATTTGCTTTCTGGGCGTAAGTCTCCACTGTCAGAAAGACCGAGCCTCGTGGCCGAAGAAATGTCTCACCACCAGTGGCCCGAACTGGCAGTGCAGTCCCGCAGTGTTCCGGCTGACGCACGTAGCGACTGATTACACCGGAGCCGCTCTTATCATGTGTGTTTAGTTGCGCTGCCTAAGCCGCGCAGACATGTGACCCCCTTCTCCCAATTTCTCTGTCTGGGCGGTGCGCTTGTTTCTTATTTTCCAGGGAATGTTCCTTTCGGTTCTTGTTTTCTTTTCTCTCTCCTTCCATCTCCTCTTGCTCCTTTCCTATTTTGTTCTGTGTGTCTGCCCACTTCCTTCCAGTTCCCAACGTGTGTCTCCACGCCCCACTTGGCAAGTCTTTTCAATTGCGCTTTCTGATATCCGGGATTCGGACTAGAATCTCATCACCTGCCGATTTTTGCTTGTTCTGGCGACCGGTTCCTCTTTCCATTTTCCTGTGCTGACCCTACGTTGTGTCTTCTGAAGCTCTCGAACTCTGGCCACCCAATTTCTTTGTGGGTCGTTTCCACCGGACTCTCCTCAAGTGTACATACAACCCTAGCATTTAGCAACCACACTGGCCCCGGCCACTTCACATGTCTGACCCAGCCATGAGTCCTACCAGTAATCATCACGCAGCCGCCCACGCTGCTGCCACAAAGAAAAAAAGCAATCGTGTCAGCTCAGGGGATACCCTGGAATTGCCCATGTCTGCGGGCAAGCCAAAAACAGCCAATTATAGAGGCCCGTTGGGCGTTCCGTACAGACCCGATCTGGGCCTTGAGAAATCCTCCCTATCAATGAGGCTCATGCATAGGCCCTCTCGGGCACAGAAAGAGCTCGAAAAAGCCAGCGACCCCACGAGAAAAAACTCACTTTTAAACTCGCTTTGTGCGCCCGATCGGGACTCGGACTCAGAGCAGGTTTCTCCCCAAGAGGTCAGATCACATCTGAGTGTTTCTGAAGATGCACTTTCCCTGGACTCGACTCCTTTGTGCCTGCCCCGCCATAATCTTGTTCGGAAGAAATCAGGCGAAATTGTCAAGCCTCTTTTGAAAGATAAGACACTGCCCGTCAATATGCGCTCGCGGTCGCTCCCTTCGACCCCCACGTATAAGCAGGTGCACTTTGGTGGCGACACTGATGTGCGCTACTTCAAGAAAAAAGACAAACCTAATGCCATCCTGGCACAGAACTCCCCAAAACTGTATGACGAAGATGACGACGACGACGACGAAAACCACGAAATCCCGAGCCTCGAATTCGAAGGCGATCTGCGCATGCAGTCCTTATTTAATCCAAACCGAAAGAGCTATTTCGAGTATTACGACGAGGAGCTCAATTCGCATGTGGACGACGCAGCGACCCAATCCAAGAGACAGCCCCAGCTGCCCAGTCCCAAGGACTGGCTGCTTGACCCTCTAAATTTCTCTCCCCGCGAAAATGCACTTACGTATATACGAAAAGGCAAGCAAGTCTTTTTGGAAAACATCTTCCTTTCCGCCGACAAGCGATACCTCTTGGGCCAGGTTGCAGTGCAAAACATCGACTTTGAGAAATCCGTCACTATTCGCTACTCAGTCGACAAATGGTGCACAATAGTCGAGATCCAGGCGATCTATATACCCGATATTCCTCACATTTTGAAGGCACACAACTATGATCGCTTTATGTTTAAGATCTCGTTGGACCTGTTCGTCAATGGCTTCCACACAAGTGTGGACCCACTATCCACAGCCCCACCCGACTTCCTGGCAGAATTGTGTGTGAAGTATCGTGTCAATGGTCAAGAATTGTGGGACAATAACGAAGATCAAAACTACTTGTTCACTTTGAAGAAAGGTGCAGACTTTCAGCTGGACCAGGAAAAATTACCCTCTTCGGCCCGTACAAAGAAAGAAGTGCATAAAAAGAAACCGAAATACTCATCATCGTATCTCAAGAGGATCAAGTCAGACTCGTCCCTATCAAAACATTCGGGATATCTGTCTGCAGAAAATTCCCCACAATCACTGGAACCATCCTCAAAAGTTTTGTCCCCACATCAAGGGGCAGAGACAGTGCATCTGACCAATGACTATGAGAGTAACGGCTATTATCTTTCTTCATCTCTTTTCTCAAGTTTTACCAACAAGAACATTGACGCCGACTTGCGTGAGGCGACACTGCGCCAAAACTTCAAACAACCCAGGCTGAGCAGGCCTTCGCTCTCGGGTTCCAAATCGCACCAGGGAGAGACTAATCGCGCTGGTAGAATCTATGATGTTTCCCGTGAGTTCAGTCCCGAAGCTGATGCCTTTTCTTTACCTCGTGTGTCCAGGAATCTACAAGAACCGATGTCTTATAGAGATTTTTTGGATTCCTACTGCTTTTTTAACTCACAGAACCACGACAACAATTCCAAAACGACTTTAGTGATGAGCGACGGCCCTTCTTCGAAAGAAGATGCTGGAACCGCAAACAACGAACTTGGCGTCAACTCGGACCACGTATACTCGGTGTCCTCGTTTTTGACATAGCTACATCATATTTTTATCTGTTACGTATTGTGTTTCATCTCTCCTGCCGCCAGTTTATTGGCATCGGGAAGGAAGTGCCACAAATGACAAAATTTAATGCCGAGTAATCGAAAGTGAAAGAGATCAACATTTCTAATCCAATCCTAAAATTCCAGTATATAAATAGTAAGTCTCGCTAATAAAAAGAGTGAAGCAGACCGAGAAGCTCTTGTAGTACCCTGTGATATCCAAATCTTGGCAGCGAAGTCTTCTGCTCATTCGAAATTGTACATCTTAATCTTACCATTCTCCAAGCCAGCCACGAAACGATTACTTGACAATGCCACACTGATGACACTGCTGTCGTTTCCGAAAGTATGCAAGCATTTCCCATTCTGCAAATCCCACACCTTTATCAACTTGTCGTGTGCGCCACTGACAATTCTGAAAGTGTCAGCGCTGATTGACCAAACACCCTCAATATGTCCGAACTGGGTCCTGATGCACTTCCCTGTCTTGACGTCCCAAAGCTTAATAGTATTATCCAACGAGGAGGTGAGCAAGTGGGTTGGGTAGTCGGGATTCTCTACAAATTCAGGTGTTGTGAGCGCCGTGCTCAGGGACAGGGTTCGCAGTTCCTGTTCAGTCTGCTGCTGCTGTATTTGCTGCTGGTGTTCGTATTGTTGCTGTGTGAGACTAAGAGCCTCCTCCGCGTCACTTTCAAGCTTATCCACGACCAAGTCATCGAACTTGTATACGAAGGGGATCACAGTTTCGATCTGCCCAACATGACCTTTGTTTCCAAGACCCCCAAAGACGCGAATGCACAGGTTCGTATTGAGATCCCACATTCTGACGGTAGTGTCATCGGAAGCACTAAAAACAGTGTTTGACGGCTCATGGTACTTGACCGAGTTGACACATTCGGTGTGGCCTCTTAAGGTATAGCAGGTCCTCGTATCGACATGCCACACTTTGACGGTGGAGTCAGCAGAGCCTGAGACAATTGTGCGGTTCAGGGAGTCCACGCTGCACACTGTATTTTCATGGCCCCTGTAAGTTGAAATGCACTCGCCCGTACGATAGTTCCACACCTTGATGGTTGAATCGTAACCGCCAGTGATCAACTTATGGCAGTCAAAAGAAAGAGAGCGCACGCCGGTGGAATGGCCCATGAGCGTTCGTATGCATTCACCGGTGTCGATATTCCACACGCGAACAGCCGAGTCATACAGTCCCAGAATGAGGATTTTGGTGTTGAATTGAAGACACGTGATGCCATCTGTGTGCCCAATGAACTCTGTGATCTTGTAAGTTCCCTTGCGCCAGTTTTTCTCGAGTTGGTAGCGCTCGCTGTAGACACTCTTCCATGGTCTTTTCTTGACAATAGTAGCGGCATCTCCCTTCCGCCTTTTTGGGTCATGTTCCGTGCCCTGAAGACGTTCTCGGGCTCTCCTCATGTGCATGAGAGGAAGGCCCCAGCCACAGTTCGGGCATTTGCGGTCAATGTGCTGCTCGCACATGTGATGCCACACGCGGTCATCATCCGCCAACTCCTTCCATTTGCGGGACACCTGTGCCGCTTCGCAGAGGGACTTGCAGTCGAGGTAGCAGAGGATTTTGAGCGAGATCTCCACCGGCAAAGTTGCAATGAAATCGATTCGAATGAGCTGGTTGATTTCCTGCGATATCGTCGAGAGCTGGGGGAAACAGCACTGGCTCACTAGCCCTTTCAACATGAGTGCTCGCTGGGGATGCGGCGCGGCAGAGAATATCAGCCAGACATGGCTGATGGCCTCGCGGTCTCTGGGCGGCAACAGCTCGAGGCACGACTGGATGCTTTCCATCTTCACCACATCCGCCTGTTTGTTGCACGCAATGTCGGGGTTGTGGCGGTAGCAGAACTTGTGGATGTTGTCCTTCGGGATGTTCGACTGGTCATCGATATGTTCCAAGAGAAATGGGGTGACGACCGACTCGTTTTGGCCCTGCCGCAGAGCTGGATTTTCTGCTTCTAATGCGCTACTGCTTCTTTTTGTGGGCGGCTGGGTCGGAATTTCGTTCTGTGTTTCAGGGCTATGCTCACACCAGAATTCTGTCGGCAGAGGGGTGTGTTGAGGACCCTCTGGCTGACGTGGCAGGGACTTTTCGTCTGGTTTCTGGCGAGGCACACAGCATGAAACCTGATCCATTCTTGATTACGGATAATAAAAATCTGGATGCAGCTGACTGATATGATTTCTGAAACAGGAGGTGTTTATGCTTTGGGTGGGCCTTCCACACTTGTTCTTCTGTGTGATGGTGCCTCAGCGGGTATGCTTAAAAATAGCAGATCCACACTATTGATTCAACGAAAAAAAAAAAAGTCAGTCGGGAATGTCTGGTCCAACCTTTGAGAATTTCAAGATGTTTGACTAATAGCCTGTTGTATGATGTGTTTTCAGACGTCTTCTGTGGTGTGTTATAGATATGGTCCAGGAGAAAAGTGCGAAGTGTGGCTCCAGGGTGTTATTTTTTATTTTAACTTTTTTCCCTCACCTCCGGGATCCGTACACGAGCGGCTTTCACGTGTAGAAGCGTGCTCGTATGCATGCTTGCGTCATGCGTCTGGAGTGGCCCTCGCACGATACGCCAGCCAGATTTGGGTACAACAAGCAGATCACTTATTTCTGTATTTTTTGTAGAAGCGTTACGTTCCTTAGCAAATAAATAAAGATGCCCCTCCTACTTTCCTGGAAGCGGACCTAGTTCAACACCAATGAAATCACGTAGGGTTGGAGAGCCTAGTGATGTAACTATCTCGCTGGGTTCGGAGAGAGCTTTGATCTTATATAACCTTCGGTCATATATGATTAATTCTACTCTATTTAGTTGAATAGCTACTATCCGGTCACATCACGGAAATTGCCTCCAGTGTCATTTGGCCAGGTTCGGTATCTTCTTCTTACTAGTTTTTCATTGTGAATAGTGGTAAACCCATGGTGCACTGGGAACAAGAGGGCCAGGGTACCTAACTGAGCGTGGGAATCAATTAGCTTTTCCGCACTGCATGCAAGCGTCACTATTGTTTACGGAGTATCGAGACTCGTCGTGGCTGTGTTTTGGGTGAACAAAGACAGAATAATAAACCATGCATCAGCTCAGATATGATTCATTATGCGGGGCGTTTGTAAATCATGGGGCGACCGAATTTTGTGCTGACGCAGTTGGGCAGTCTGCTATAGAAGATATGGAGCGGGCTCACTTGCATCGCACTAGACATCTCAGTCTGTGTCGTCCAGTTCTTCCTCTGCCCAATATTTCTTAAATTGCTTTAATCAGCCTAGGTCCGTCAGCTCACATGATAATGATAATGTGGTTGGATGCCCTATTGAGACAAAGAGGTGTGCAACCATGCAAACCACGCTCCTACTCCTGCCAGATTCATATTCCTGAATGGCCATTGATTGTTCCAGTTTTACATGACATCTCCCCAAGCACTGGACCACAAAAAATAAATAAATGGGCCCCAGTGCACTGGGCCACGGTACTGGGCCAGGGAAATATAAAAAAAAATTTGCCCATGACATTGGGCCAGGGAAAATAGAGCACTGGGGCAGGGAAAATAAGAAAATACAAGGACACAAAAGTTGGGGCAGGGAAATAAGTAAGTACGGGGCCCGAAAGCTGGGCCAAGGAAAATAAGTAAATGGGCCCCAGGGCACGGGCCAGGGAAAATAAATAATTACGCGGGCCCCAGACTTCGCGACTTCTCTACTTCCATCTATATTACCTAGTCTAGCCTTCCCAGCACACGCCTTCACATGAAGAGCAGAGTGTGAGTCCCAGGCTAAACATTGAACCTGCCATCAGATTCTGAACGACAGAAGATTCAGACGGAACCCACCATACATTCAACCCCCGACGTTGCCATGCCAAAGACAGAGCATTGCAGCCGGGGCGCGCACGTGACCAGCAGGCCCAGCAGGCCTCTGGTCAAAAGGGCCCGGCTTACCATAAAGTTGCCCATTCCCATACTTCCATGGGCTCCCCGGCGGATCAGTCAACGGCTCTTCCAGAACATTCTGGATTTTCTGCCGTGGCCGAAACATTCCATGGAAGAGTGTGGAACACCGGCTGACTAAACGGGGCGGTATGTGCACTCCCCGGAAGAGCAAGCCGTGACAGCGATGAAAAAATCACGGGCCTCTTATCTACTACAATACCCCCGATGAAAAGAACCGAGCTGGTCCCTGCAGAAGCACCCGAAGACAAAAAACCCAGAATCGAGATGCCAGACACCCCAGCACAGCAGCAGCAAGAAAACTTCAGCTCAGTGGGCGACCAGGCCCAGGGCATTGATTCGTCCATCAACGATACCGGGGCCTCCGATGCACAAGGCCACCCCGTGCAAGAGGTGGAGTCCCTCTGCATGAACTGCCACAAAAACGGCACCACGCGCATGCTTTTGACCAAGATCCCGTTTTTCCGCGAGATCATCATCATGTCGTTCGAGTGTCCCCATTGCGGCTTGAAGAACTCAGAGATCCAGCCTGCCGCGCAGATTGCCGAGAAGGGCTCGCGCTACATCTTCAAGATCGAGAACAAGGAGGACTTCAACCGCCAGATCGTGAAGAGCGAAACCGCCACATGCATGTTCACCGAGTTGGAGCTCGAAATCCCGCCCGAGAGGGGCCAGTTGACCAACATCGAAGGCTTGCTCCTGGAGATGGTGCTGAACTTGTCGGCAGACCAGCCTGCCCGCAAGGAGGCCCAGCCTGAGGTCTACGAGAAACTTGCTGCCTTCATTGAGCGTGTGCAGGCGTGCCTCAACGGCGACGCCGGCTGCTTGCCCTTGACGTTCTACGTGGACGATCCAGCCGGAAACTCGTGGGTCGAGTTCACCCCGGGCCAGCCCTCGCACAAATGGTCCATGTATGAGTACAACCGCACTGCGGAGCAGAACGTGTTCCTCGGCTTGATCTCCGCAGACGACGTGGCGCAGCACCGGAAGCTCGAGTCCGAGCAGAAGAAGGCTGCCACCAGCACCAATGTGTCTTCCACGCTCAACAATGACAACCCCAAGAGCTCGGGCTTCACAGTCCACGACCACAATGACATCGAGAACTTGTCCAGCGAGGTGCAGACCTTCCACGCCACGTGCTCCTCGTGCTTTGAGCCCTGCGAGACCAACATGAAGTCCGTCGACATTCCGCACTTCAAGGAAGTCATCATCATGTCGACGTTTTGCGAGCATTGCGGCTACAAGTCCAACGAGGTCAAGACCGGGGGCGCTATTCCCGACAAGGGCAGAAAGATCTCCTTGAAGATCACGGACCCAGATGACTTGGCCAGAGACATCTTGAAGTCCGAGACATGTGGCTTAAAGATCCCAGAGTTGAACTTGGACTTGACCCCAGGCACCTTGGGCGGCAGGTTCACGACCATCGAGGGTTTGTTGTCCCAGGTCTACGACGAGTTGCACTCACGTGTTTTCACCCAGACGTCCGATTCCATGGAGGAGGAGACCAAGCAGAGATGGACTTCTTTCTTTGCCAAGTTGCAGGACGCCAGCGAGGGCAAGATCGGCTTCACTGTGGTCATGGAGGACCCTTTGGCTGCATCGTATGTGCAGAACGTGTATGCCCCAGACAACGACCCTAACATGACCATCGAAGAATATGACAGGACGGAGGAGCAAAACGAGGACTTGGGCTTGAACGACATGAAGACCGACTAGTCTCACAAGAGCACTGTATATTAGAGACATACGAGGGACGTGGGAATATAATAATAATTGAAATTTTGTATGAACAGGCTTATCCCAAATGATCAGGATATGTGTCCTCCTGATAGAGTGATTCGGGAAGGGGCTGAGGGTCTCTCTTCAAAAACTCTTCTGTCAGGATCTTGCCGTGTTTCCATCTCAAGAACCTCCACCGACACGCGTACCCTTCAATTAATTCGTAGCATCTCTTTTTTCTCAACCTCTCGGCCACTTTTTTCTCCATGAGATCGGTCTCCATGTAGTCAATGAAAATCAAGCATTCATTTTGGTTGAAAGAGCTGTACAAAGGTATTTGTATGAGAAGCTTTGTGAATGAAATCCCTGGCTCCTCGTGCAATTGCATGCTCATGATGGCCTTTTCGGTAAACTGCTCATACACTTTTCTCCGCTCCTGGATCTTTGAAATATTGACCATCAGTAATATGGAGTTTATCTCGCTGTAATCAATGTCAATATCGTACGGATTGGTCAAACTATTTCGGGTAATCCATCTGGAGCATAGTTCCGGAACACTCAACACACCGCTATAGAAGTGAAAGCTCAAAGCGCCATCAAGCAGGTGAAGAAACCGGGGCAAGTCCTGTGGTGAAATGTACCCTGTGCCTTGTGGGTCGAATTTTTGCCAACATTTCTTATACTTTCTAATCTCCGGACGGCTGATTAAATGAGCGTATTGCTTTCCACCAGCAATATAACTAAAACTGTCCAAGATAAGCGAGACGAAAAGGTTCAACATGATATACATCGAAATCACATTCCATGACATGAACAAAAAGTATGCATATTCTTTGCTGCCGCAATCAGAATCTCCATTGGATGTTCCCGACTGGCAGAAAGGCTCTTCTAGGGTAAAATCATCCATAATGTAGTTCCAACCTTCTCCAAAAGAGCATCGAAAAAGAAGAATCAATGACTTCGGAACCGATCTCAAATTTATGTTCCCGCTTGTGTTCGGGCCGATTTTGGTCATTCCAAAAATCTGATTCATGGCAATTGCATACATGATGAAAATAACAAACCATGTGAATATCAAGGAAAATAACGATGGGAACGATGCGGATGCAAATTTCATCAACTGATTCAAGCGATCACTTCTCGGAAAAAGGAAGATTAAAAGGCCAACCAAGAACATCTTGTTAAAATTAATGAATAGATTGTCGGAGTTGATGAAGAAAGCTAAGATTGTTGTGATCCATGCACCAAATACAACAAGCAGCGAGAAAACATTCCATTTGTTTTGAATGAATCCACCAAGCTTCTGAGCGATAATCAACATGATGAAATGGGCAAGAAAACAGGATGATACTATCATGAAGCAAGAGTAACGGAAAGTATTGGGAACAATCGAAGGAAACGCCTCAAGAAGCAACACAAAGATATGCAACAATAACCCTGAATTTAGAACAAATGTCCAAACCCGATTTTTCTCGACAGTTATCATGTAGCAAAATTTCCGAATGCCAGTCAAAGATTCAGCTCCCTTCCTCTGGGATGGCTTGACTTGTAGGAGAAATTTTTTGACGTGATACCACTGCACTTGTACCGGTGTTAAGTAAGCCCTTCCAGTAACTTTCGAGTAATTATTAATAATGACCGAAACAAACAAAGTAAGAATGAAAACGGTGCTGACAAAATTAAAAAGAATGACAAACAACCCACTTACCGGACTTGCAAACATCTTTTGAGGAGTTCCCACGCCAGTGCTTTGCATGACATTGACCAAAAGATCACTCCATCCTTCCAAGGAAACAATCTGATATAGAGATGAAAATGAAGATCTGAAATCGTTAAATTCAAGCATAGGCTCAACATAAACTTTGGGGCTTACGATTTCCCAGTCATATACCTCATTCCGATATTCATTGTAGCATTCAGCGACACCAGAAGCCTCATCGAGACAATATCCGAGTCTTCCGTTGAAGATATTCAATCCCCATACGGAAAATGGAAGAAGTAAAGTAAGGGATATGATTGCAGCACTCAAAATCTTCCCAAAACCGGAAATCATGGTGTAATGAAAATTGTTTTTTGCCGTCTCACTAATCGTGAGAATTCTCAAAGCTCTTAGTGCTTTCAACCCCCGCACAATTCGGGACAATTCACTATCATTCTTCAAAAATGCGATGAACTCAATCCACAACGAGCCAAGTGCACCAAAATCAAGCCAATTCCAGGAAGACCTGACATAAGCATTTGGAGTAAACAAGAAGCCATCAGCAACAACTTTCACAAAAAATTCAATAGTGAATATTGCCATAAAGCAAGTATCAATGTAGAAAGTCCAGTTCCACTTTCCAAACTTTTGAGTCATTTCACTACGATAGAGTGGTGTTTGATAACATGCTGTTGCAACAATACCAATCGTCGAAAGAAACATGAATAAAGAAAAAATTTCTGCCACAATTTTATTGGGCTCTGTGCCATCAATTCTTTCACCGTGACTAGATGGGACAATTTTTTGACATAATCTCCTTAACTTATGGCGAGGTCCCAATACATAGAACACAGTGTTGAAATTTGGATTTTCCTTCAAGTACTGGTCCTGTTCAGAAATTAGCTTTCGCCTCTCCGTTATAACTCTTGTCGCAAATTCAGCGGGATTGAAATTGGAGACATCTGTCTCCATGGATCTTTTGGAATAAAACGGATTTTGGAAGAACTTTTTTGTGCTCTTTAATTTCGAAGCCCACCACCGTACGATAACATTTTTATGTGTTTCCAAATCATTTTGATTTCTCTCAGCCGCAAGTTCATCCCCATCTAAGAATTCATTCACCGCTCTTCCACTCAAAAGCAAATTTGTAATGGCTTTCTCCATATTTTTTTCTTCCTTTGGCTTGAAAGCTTTTGATTTTAGCTTTTGGATCCACCCTGGATTTACCCTGACAGTCTGAAGTCTTTCAGTCATATCGTTAATGAAGTGTCTTACTTGATACTTCTTACGACCCTCAATTGAAATTTCCATTGGGGCTGCAATGACAGCAATAAAAATATTCATCACAATCAAGTTGGTGATCATGAACCATAGCACAAGTAATATCGAGCCCATAGCTCTTTGAAAGGTGCTAGTAGCATATTCTTGAAGGCCGTACATGATATTCGCCCAATTTTCTGTAGATGTTATAACATAAAGAGACATTAGCGTGTTTGGTAGTGTGTGCATCGCAAATATAACGGTATCAACATCATCGGGAGGAATTGTTCCCTCGAAGTAACGTGCAACAATGATCCCGCCCAAAAACAAAAGAATGAAATAAAACAACGTGAGATCATATATTGGCTTGAAGTTTCGAAAAATCTTTATCCAAAGATCAGACGTGATTCTGGATGATAAGACCACTCTGTAAAATCTGGCACATTGAAAAAATGTAAGCCAGTAATAAGTATGGCCGAGTTTGTTTTTGACAGGGCCAAGAATCATTATGGATGTGATAGTGGCAAGAATCAAGTCGAAACAATTTCCTCTGGACAAAAAAAATGTCTTAACGCTTGGCATGTACAACGTAAACCTGATAATGATTTCAAGCAACAAAATCAGAGTGAACACAGACTCTACTATGTACAATTTATGCGCTCGCGCCTCAGACATGGTACTATCTCGAAACATCTGGGTGATTAGAGATGCAAAGATGACCAAAATGAATATGAATTCAAAGCGGTAATACATCTTCAAGAGTGGCTTCTTTTCAATCAACTCAAGAACCTTGTTGTTGTGAACTTCGTTGTTGAAAATCTGCTTTATGAGGGTCTTTTTTTTCAGCTTTCCCGAAGCTCGCTTTTGTTCTTCCGCGGCCTCAAGTTGTATGTTTTTAAAGGAGGAAACAATAATAGCAGTGAAGATGTTCATGAGCCACACTGTTAAAATGAATATTCCAACAATATAGAACAATGAAGCAGCTAAGCTGTCCGTGTCGGTCAAATTGTACATAATGTCCGAAAACGTGTTAACACTTATCATCACGAACACCATTTGCATCGATTGGAGAATATTATCAAAATTCACCGTCCCATTGTAAGGATTCTCCCCGCTCTGGCATACTGAATTCACAGGACATCTGAAACCCTTGGGATAAGCGGCATGATTGCCGTTCCTGTCTAGATAAGAATAAATTTCACCGTCTGTTCCTAAGTATGAGCCACAATACAGATCTGTGTCAATATACACCTCAGATGGATCATCTGGGTTCGTCCAGACACAATGTCTTGTTAGGGATGATTTGAAGGATTGAACACCAACAATTCCAATGATGAACCAGAAGCAGGCAATAAATATACCCACATCGATCAACTGCGGTAGACAAGATTCGCAAGCTCTGAGTATCATGTTGGTACCATCCGTCAATTTGCAAAGCCGGAGAATACGAATACAGCTCAATGCACGGAAAATCATCACATGATGAGCGGCGTCCCAGTGATTCAATGACATCGGTAATGAAATCCAAAATGAAAGAATAGCTATGAAGTCCAATCTCTGCCAATTGTCACGAAGAAAAGCACGCTTTATTTGCAGATCACCTAAGACATTGCTCAAATAGTCCAGGCGGAAGAAAGTATTCAGCTTGAAAAGACCTTTTCGTCTTGGGTTTGATGGGGAAAGTGAGGACAGTGCATCGTTTCTATCTGATATTGAATTGTTTGATCGCGAGATATGAAGACCAGGATACTGAAACTTTTCTCGCGTGGAGACTTGTGCAGCTATCCCATAAACGGACGTTGTGTTGTCATTCATACTTGACAACTCTTGTCCTTTATTTGACTTGGACTGATTCGGCGACAATGTTGACCTCAAATGTCTCAAATAAATAATGCCATGAGAGACTTTTTCCAGCAAAAGCGAATAAAAGTAGCTGTTTCCTAAAATTGAGTTTCGTTTTGGGTATTCCATACCTAAATTTTTGAACATGACTCGATCATCGTAGAGCCCGTATGAAACAGTCTTCATCGCCATTTCAGCGGTGTATAAGCAATTTATGATGACTAAAATATAGTCCCCCGCAGAGTAGCCGTCAAAATAATATCCGTAATCCTTCATGGGATTCCATTGTCTGTGGGCCAAAAGAACAGTCTGGAAAAAGATGATGACGGTGACTGCCAAGTTTGTGAACTTGTGGGAAACAACTTTGTGACACCAATTTCTGAAGGGGGACTTTGGACCAAAAATCCCGAGCGACTTTCCGTGTAAGGAGGTGTTGTGGTCAGAGACAAAATAGGAATCATCTAAAGAATCGCGCATTGGTAAGTCTAAAGACGAATTTGCTGAGACGCCTGACGCAGCCAAGTTGGTGGTGAATGGAGTGGGTGTAAGATGTGTGTTGGTTTGACTTAAGCTTTGAGTCCTGGGGTCCCTTTGTCCATCGACAGAATGTATACTTTCCATACTCGAGTGATGAGAGCGTTCGTGGGGAGCCATGAAAGGCAGCGAGGGACTCAGGAGAGAAGTCGACGAAGAATTGATAGGATCGCCGATTATGGATGAAGAGGGGAAGTCTTCAACGATCGTCGACGGTCTCGGCAGATGGTCAACAAGGTCATTTTTCCAAAACGTGTTTTTGTCGGACAGGGGTGTGTGAGGGTTGTCTGTTCCAGCGATTCTATCGGAGATTCTGGTGATGAACCCAGAGAATTTAGAGGGGGACCCTGGAGGGGGCCGTGAAAGATGATGCAGAGACTCGCGCAGTATAGGGGATTCGGGTTGCGTGTATATTCCCGACTCCAAGTCCGAGAATCGATCATATTTAGTGGCCGCCTGGGGCAGGGGCACGCCAGCTGTGTTGAGAGTGATCATGGGAATCTCGAATGTTAGGTCGCGGTCATGCGTGTCGGTAGAGCCGCGCCTAGAGTAAATATACGAGTGACGCGATTTCCTGGATACTTCAGGATATCGTGCTATGTCTTCGCTGTCTCGGGTGTCGTCATCCTCTGATTCTGAGTCAGTCGGAGGGTGACTATAAGGAAGCCATGAGGGCGAAGTACAATCCAAACCAAGGGCCTCGCCCATGCCCTGCTGGAGCGCTTGTGGCTGTGAAAACACTGCCTCGGCTAATAGCGGGTGTGAGTCCAAGGGGATGTCGGTATCCGGATACTCGATATCCTGGAGCGAGACACGTCGTTCGGATCTATCCAGAGACCTCCTGGGGCGATTTCGAGCCGAGGCAAAGGATTCCTCTGGGGATAGAAATGGGCTTTGTTCTTCCGCATCATCATTTGTGGGCGACTCCCGGCCGCTTCGGAGCATATCGATATTGGGTGGAAGTAGATTGGGCGAAAGACTCGCGCTGTGATCGGATCAGACAGCTGGCTTTTCGATGCCAACTGCGATGGCGCTTGGGGACAGCAACTGCGTTTGTGACCTCTTCTGATCTTGAGGTAAATAGGGCAGGCTCTGGTGAAAAGTCTGGATCGTCTCCCTTTTTCTGGTGTGTGTTTCTACAAATGAGAAAATATGTATAGATGCGTGGAATCTAAGAACTGAACCTTTTGAGAAGGTATAGTGGAGCGCCTCATGTCGCGCACTCAGCCTCCGATAGGAACTCGCACAACAATAGTAGGACCAGAGCCTGAGTCTATGTGTCGGAAAGACTATCGATTTTCGCCCTCGGAGAAAGGGGTTTTTATTCTGAAACCCCGGAAATTCCATGAGTCCACTGCGGCTGTTTTTTAAAGCTTGCGAAGCTGGCGGACTGTCGAGCCGTGGCTTTTGTTCAGCCGGTCCAGAAATAGATGCGGAGCGAGCTCGCGACATTGCAAATGAGCCTCCATGGAAATGAGGATCATGAGCGTAGGGTTCCCAGCCCTGTTTAACACAAGACACCTGGGACTTAAAAAAGAGGGAAGCTGTGAAAAAAAAGCACCAGATTATTCAAGATGCCATGATATTCTTCATCTCTTTTTTTCCTTTTTTTTTTGCTCTTACCCGCAGGCTGACCTAGCTTGTCTTTAAGATATCAAGCGCATCAAAAGACATGTAGACGTGTAGTAATATTAGAATGAGGAAGTAATTAGCTGATAGCGGGGTCCAGAACGAACGTCCTGTTTCATTGCCTCCTTAATATTCTCGAGGTCCAGATGCGCGCTAATCTCCTGCCTTATTGTCTTTCAGGTGTTTTGAATCGCGAACATCAAGCGCCTTGTCATGAAAGAGGCCCATTTCTTCGGATTTGATTGAGCCTCAGAAATAGAAGTATTATTTCTTTGATAAGATAAATCTATTAGGAAAAAAGAGGAGCCTAGGGCGTGTTTAACGGAGATATCGAAAGGCAATCTGCCACTAGGAACCATGTTTATTTGAAGTCAATATACTCCGTATCTCGCTCGATCTAAGAAGCATTTTAGGAAGTTCAATAAAAATGTTGAGGAGTTACTCGAACAATATTATGGAAGCCCAGGCGCACAGGTTAGGTGCGGCCTGTGGCTGCAAGGCCCGGCCCGTGCGAGCACGCACCTGTACACCAGAGCGACGAAAACACCTAAACTTTTTTCAATAGGTTGTAGCCATTGACCACCAGCTGTCATGTCCGCCTTTCGCAAAATTAACTTGAACCAGCTCAAGCAGGTCCAGAAACTCTCGGCGGAGATTTTCGGTGAGACGTACAACCCCACGGGAATCAGAAACGGGTCTGAGGTCTTGCGTGCTCCTTTGAGAGGTAAGGAAATTGCGTCATACTACGGAGTCAATGAATCTGCGCCCACTTTCAAAGATTTCAAGAAATGGTTTCCCGAATTGAACTTCATTGATCCAAAAGAAACCTACAGAATGAAGATGGTCATCGATAGGAAGAAGAGAGGCAAGGGTGCGCCAAAGAAGAAGTCCAGTTGAGGCATGCCGGATGCTTCTCTCTGCTTCATGTACATATACCACATCAAACCTTACCCCATTAATAAATATCACGTTTTATGAATATTCAGCCAATAGCTTTGGTCTGGATTGTTTGCCATCCGGCATCTCAACTAGATCTCCTTTCGCGCATGACACTTTTAGACACTTTGATGACCTCACATTCATTTTCTAGGATTTGCTCGCTCAAAGCCTTCTCCTCTTTTGGGTTTGGAACGTGTCTGTAATCTCTTCTGCGGGGCCAGATGAGTCCGAGAACTGGCCTGGCTGAAGATCTTTCACAAACCTATGCAATATGCTGCCTGCATCCTTTGTTGCATTGAAGAAAGGGGGACCTGTGTTGAGTCCGACCTCCTTCATTGCGATTTCTGAAGAGTCTGTTTCCTGAGCGGAATTTCTGTTGCTGCTGAACTTGTATTTGAGCTGTCTCCAAGCTGAATTATTTGCGCCTGTTTCCACAAGCGAGATTGTCAAACCTTCATTTTCTTCATTCACTTTGACCTCTGTAAACTCCGTGGTGCTCGATGATAAGCTCTCCATGCCAGCTGGAGTCCGTAGAGCGACATGGTCATTGAAAACCAAAAGATGGCTGCCGTTGTGTAGCTCTTTGGCTTCAAGGAGGGCCAGGTTGACGACGATAGTTGCCACGATGTCAAATCGTAGCACCTTATCGAACAGTGGCCTAAAAAGAACGACACAGTTGTCTGTGGCAATCAAGTGGCTTGAACCAAACGTGCGGATCTTGGACCAATTATGCGGCAAAGATGTGGGAAGAGTACTGTCCCTCTTGTATTGCATTTTGGGCCCGCTTTGTGCGCGGGTCCAGATTATCCCAGAGCGCAAGTCTAGTTCGTGTATTTGTGACTTGAACATGTTCAAAACGTCGCTGACGCGTAGCCGTAAAGTCAAAATGGTGTGTGTTGGGACCACCACGATATAATCAATGTGTTTCACGCGTCCCCAGAGCGCTTGTGGGAAGAGACCCGCCATACGTGACTCGGTTGACTCGGGCTCGTAGCTGAGCGTACGAGTAGTCTGTAGCACATGGCAAGTGATGTCTTCAATGGCCTTATCGTGGACCCCCAACGCGTTGAAGACCAATAGTTTGTGGGCATCAAGCGAGTGCGCCGTGTCGAAGTACAGGAGCCATTTCCCCGACATTGACCACGAGAACGCGGCGGCGGGACTCGGGTCGAAGTCGAGTTTCAAAGATGCAAGGAGCGAGCACAGCACGCCGTCTGTGTGAAAGTGCAACAAGGTCGGCCAGAGCGCCGAGGGGTCATCTCGGATGGCTTTCTGGCGCGAGTTCTTTTCGTAGTATGCCGAGGAAACGACCGACCACACGCCCGTGCTGTCTGGCCGGACAAACACCTCGCCAATCACAGGCTTGGGGACTGTGACTAGCACGTGTGTGTGCATGAGCGAATAAAGCCTGAGCTCCAAGCCGTGCTTGGTGAACACGGCCAAGAGCGTGCTGTTTTTGTACGCGCTTGTCTCACGCAGAAGCAACGGGAGCCACTGGAGCCGCTCGACCCCAAAGGCGTCCGCCTCGATGATGGCAGGCCATGGTTCTGCCAAGCTGAAAATGAGTACTAGGTGGAGGGCGTCGTCGGAGGCACAGACGGCGACTTTTGTGGACGGCGCTGAGGCCACGTGCTCCCACTGGATAATCGAGATGGATATGCGGGGTTTGTACAGCGCCCAGCGGGGGAGCTTTCTGTGGCGAAAGAAGATCTTGGAGAGATCGTAGTGGAGGGGGGAGTCCGGAGACTGGAGGCTATGGACGTGCAACTCATGGCCCGAGGGCACGGCGATGAACAGTCCGCATTCCGATATCAGAGCACGAGCATGCATTGGCGGGATGTGGCATGTACGAATGCTTTGTTTGTTGTTTCCGCCGAGTATGGAGGAGCCTGCCATGGCCATGTTATCTCTGGAGTGCACGGGCGCACCAGGTCTGCGCGAACGCGTGTGGAGCTGACGGTAGGGCCAGATTCCGGGGCCCGTGATCTCAGGCTTCTGGGATGTTGTGTTTTGTTTTGTTGATAGTTTTCTGTTGATTGTTTTTGTTCTTTGTTCTTTGTTTTTTGTTCTTTGTTTTTTTGTTTTTTGTGTTTTGTGTTTTGTGTTTTGTTTTTTGTTTTTTTGTTTTCTGTCTTGTTATTTGTTTGTTGTTGATCGCTGCTTTTGACCGTCTGTATCTCTGGTCCCTGCTGGTTGGGCGGGGCTTTGCTTCAAAGGGTAAGCTGCGAAGGATACGGACCAGTCTGGTCAGGGCACAACTGTCACGTGGTATCGGCCATGTCACCTCTCACGTGGCCAGGAAAAAAACTTCCGTAGAGAAAGCTTTTTCCTGTTCTTTTTCTCCTCGAAGGGTTTATAGAGTAGTCGTATTTTAAGGGTCCTAAGTACCGTGCATACTTGAATTGAGAAATCTGATACTGAAAACAACGGCCCGGCCACTGCGCTTCCATTCGCACCAAACAATCGCACCAAGCAATCGCACCAAGCAATCGCACCAAGCAATCGCACCCTTTCAGTATCAGATTGCTCAATTCAAGTATGTACGGTACTTCGGGTCCTTGGAATACTACTAGCTCTAAAAACCCTTAAGGAAAAAAAGGAGGGAAAAAGCTTTCTCCACGGAAGTTTTTTTCCTGGCCACGTGAGGGATGGCTACATGGCGGATACCACGTGACACACCCAAACAGTCGCACCAAACAATTGCACCCAAACAGTTGCACCCACGCCTCCATCTGCACTTATCCAGATTGGCATGGCACGGTTTTCTGGGGCCGCTGGCGACATGCACAAGTCCAGCCACGTGTTCCCCCACCCCTGCCCTCTGTTTGCCGCGTTGCGTCTTCTGCCGGCGGGCTCACACGCGCTCGCGAGCCATGGGTCCATGGACATCAGAACAACCACAAGCAAGCCCGAGCCAGCCCCCGCTCCCGCAAGGAAAACAAAAGAATGAAAGAATGAAAGAATGAAAGAATGAAAGAA